ACGTTTGAGCCTTGGCCGTTCTCTCCTCCATTCACCCTTGGCCAATCGTTGCTCGAAGCGACATTTTCTGCAACGCGACGAGTAATTCCATCTTCTTCAAGGGCTTTTCGAAGTGCCACATGGCGTTTAATCCGGTTAATCTCAAGCTTGATGCAAAGGATTGTAGTGTAAAATGTGAACAGCAACGCGCAGTCAAAAAATAAAATCCAGGCAGCGAGAAAGCAGAACTGTCGAAGGCCTCCTTGGACGCCAGAAGCAGCACCGATCACCAAAATACCGATCTCTATGCAATAATCTCTAACGATCTCAAAGCCTTTGTTCTTAACGGCATGTTGGATAGCGTCTTGGATGGATCGGACAGGAGGAGCCTTTCGAGCATCACTCCCTTGACCCGCAGCGCTTTGGCTGGAGCCTCCCAAAGATGCCGAAAGTACAGCTTTGGTGAGGATAATCGGCTTCTCAAATCCAATTGTAACAACAAGGAATGGCAGCCCCTCAGAAAGCAGCACCATATTGATCGGAACACCGAGCTTGGTAGTGACGAGTAAGCCGAACAGGAAAGCGAACCCGCCAGAAATGAGTACCGTGGCAGCAAGCCAGGATTTGGATCCAAGTCGTCTCATAGACAGAAACAAAGACACAAAAGTAAGATGCATGGAGAGGTATCCCAGAACCATGATAAGTATATCAATCGTTTCCGCATGCTAGCCGGGTCAGTGGCGGGTTATCTCTAGCCTTGGATTACTAGCATAAGACATACCTTTAATAGGTCAATAAAGGACGTCCAGGCTTCGGTCAGCCAAATTCGCAAAGCGGCACGCGAGCCAGACACTGGGCTGCGAGCGGCCTTCATTATCCATCTCTTTTGCTCCGTTCCATCTTTCAGACCGGATGAGTCAGGGATCTCTCGTACAGCTTGAAGGAAGGGAGATATTTCATCGTAAGGGACCGCGAAAGCAAGAGAAGAATCCTGCGAGATTGGAGCCAGGAGACTAGGGGTATGTGGAACCGAGCGGGCCGAGGAATTGGGAGGGAGCGGCACATTCTCCGCCAGCGGAGCTATCTGAGGCGAACGGGCCGAAGAGTCAGGGAAAACGAAAGTGGTTAAGGCTAGATGTCGTGCAGCCTAATGATAACCCCAAAGCGTTAGAACTTGCTAGAAGAGCAGCGTTTGCGTGGGGATATGGGATGGGACGTACGTCACTGTCTCCCAGCTTGAACGTATCGTCGACTTGCCATCTCCAGCCCGTCTGCTGGCCAAGTCGTAGGTTTCTTCCACCCGCAAGAAGCGTATCGACATCGAGGTAGCCGGGACTATAATTTGCTTGCTTCACAGAATCAAATAATGTACCATCCAGCAAACCCACGTATGTAGTACTCGCGAGCAGAGCAATGACGACGATCGTATGGATAGGATGAAAGCAAGCTCGACGCGAAACCACCTGCAGCAGCTTCGTCACATGGCGATTCATCCATCCAGCATCCGCAGAATCGGCAGAGGTGACCTCGCGAAAACGACGAGGGAGCAGGGAGGAGCCTCTCATGACGGGCTCCTTGTTGAAACGCTTCGCTTTTCCCCGCCCGGATATCTAGGGAAATTTGAAAATAGGAAATTCGGAGTATAAGCGACTAGAAAAGATGCTAGCGTATGATGTTAGTTCAGACTTCGACGAGATGCGGTCTCAATCAGAAACAGTCTTTTTCTTTTCTTTTATTGTTTATTTATAAAAAAAAAAAAAACATAAATAAATAAATAAATAAAAATAAAATATAATAATAATAATAAAAAAGGAATATTTCGTATCACGAAGTACGGCACGAATGAAAGGAGCCATTGAGAAGGTAAATCCTTGGTATGGATGACTTACCTCTAGCTAAAACGAAGGACACGGCTGGACGATTGCGATTGACCACATTCAAAACATGAATCGGAAGCTCTAAGCTGGGAGGACCGTGGCTAGGAAGGCTTTGTTAAGGTAACAAAAGCGGACGAGGGTGGATGAGTGGCGAGGGCGTTATTTGGAGCTCTGCGAATCCGGATCTAGGACAGAGACATGGCGAGGAGACAGGCGGAGGGAAAACAGACGGGAAGGCGGAGGGGAGGAGGAGGAGGAGGAGGCCAGACTCTGGGGAGTCAGGTTTATTATCTGAGGGCGGAGAATTAATATCTCGGTGATCTCAGCGCAGCTTTCGCGAAGTTTGTGCCCCCTTTCACCCAGCGAATCCGCAGCCGAGCCTGTGATTAGCTAAGCGGGGGCCCGTTTTGTTGGGACAAGAATTACCGCTAAAACAACGCCTCTTCACACCACAGATGGGGATCCCCGTTCGTACCCGGTACATACATTCATACATGCCTCAAGCAGGCGGCAGTTAAATAATGGCTGGCTGACTCCCAGAACGACGCAAATATCTCAGTCTTGTGATCCAAGCAACTCCTGCTCCAGTGCTGTTAAGAATACATAATTATTGAATCGCAGCTCTCACAGACTGCTTCAGCTTCCGCGTCGCGCTTCTGCAAAACGAAAACGCCGAGACGCTGGGGGTATCAAGTTACATACTAACCCAGGACTTTGGTAACCACATTGCATAATTTACGTACCGTCACTTGAAACAAATCTCGATCGTCACGAAGATCTTTTAAATGTGTTGACGAGGATGTTATGTCTATTATGTGAAAAGGAAAATTCACCACGGGGCCTCTCATTCGAGGCAACGTCTATCCCCCCGACGAATTCGTGGGTTGATCTTTTGGGCCATTACTCCGTACTGATAACTGCTTTTCCTCCAGTTTTAATCTGGGCCTAATCGTTGGTTGCAACCAGAGCCCCCCGGAGATTGCCAACAACGCATTCACAAAGGTTTGAATTAGCCTCATACTGGCGTCCAAGCCAATCAGTTGTACGTGCAGGTTCGTACTGAGTTCGGGGCTGAGGTTTGTTATGCAATAGTCTATTCTCATCTGTTGAAATGGTCTATATGTGGCGACCTACGGTGCACGTCGAGTAGCTTGAGAGACGACCAAGATTTCGGGAGTCCATACCTTGGAGAAAGCGACATGACAAGCCACCATAACCTTGGTCTCTCCGAATCTACGATCTTATTTGGCATCCATTCCATCCAAATAGTTATGATTCCTTCAAAACTAGTCAGCAGAGGCACGCAGTGTACAGCATACAGCGATGCGCGAGGGACATCCGGAGTCCGAAATCGACTGGGGGGCAGGTGAGGGGGAGCAAGAACTAACACAAACATACTGTTGCAACAAATGTGGACGAGAGTACGGAGTATTCTGTGGAAAATAAAAAAAGTTTCAGTCGAGAAAGTACCTGGTACATCATCAGATCATCAAGCTTTCACCGGTGTAGAGCTTGATTCCGCTGTTCCGAAAACAGAACCTTGATTTTGAGACAAGCGAGCCTTTGGTTCTTCTCCCGCTTGCAGTTACATTGAGGATTTCAGGAACAATACTAACACGCTGTCATTCAAGGCATGTGACCTCCTTCACGAAGTTGGGCGTGGCTGTCAGTTGAGTCCTTTTTCCCTTGCGATGACTGTAAGACTGTTGGAAGTAAACATTATGTGTATGGACAAGCATATATCCTTGGTAAACCTCAGGCATTCGGCACCATCCCCTTGACGGCAACTGAACTTGTGCAAGACTCTCAATGAAGCCGCCCCTCTGAATGCCGCTCCGCGCGTGGTCGTGGCCGTGCTGTTTGTGGGCGCGACTCGTGAGCCTCGCGCCAAGACCTCGCGCAGGGAGCTCGAAGCTGATTGGTCACAGACTGGTCCCTGGCCACAGAGGCTCCAACGGCCAATCAACGGCTCCGCCAAGCCAGCGTTTCTGACGACATCCGCCATCGCGTTTCACACCGTCGAGCAACACCACACCAGCACGTGCGAGCACTGGCAGCAGCACAGCGGCGGCATGGGCACTGAGTGGCACTTGATAGCCGTCCGAGGAGGTGTGTGGAACCAATCACCCCGATACCAGACACGGGTGTTTGTGGTTGCATCCCGCTGGGGAACTTCACCTAGCAGCCAAACGGACTGGAACATCACCCATGCCAATGCTTGTACGCGCCTCCAGGTCGGATTTCGGGGTTATTTCTGGCTCTGAAAGCAACGGTGCTATCCAGCTCCTTGAAACGCTATGTTCGTGCTTCTCCAAGGCCCTGTCTGGCTGATGCCTAAAACCTCAAGATCGGTTGGCTTTGGATCATCCATTGTTCAATCCCTTCAGGGATGTTGGAATAAGTATCAAAAAGCATTGATAGAGATGTCAAAATATTCTATTTTGCAACAGGAATCCAGGCTTCCAGGGTTGCCCTGATACCCTGGCAATTTGGTCCAATGCGTTGTTATTATATATTGGAGTCATTGAAGCCTTCTGGCACCTTCACAGGCTGCTTTTTGAGTCAATTGTTCTCAATGTGTATTGTTCACATTGTTACTCATCAGCATGATTGATGAATTTTCTGTCAGGTATTGTTAATTATTTTTTTAACGGAATTTTCACTCTTGCCTTGTACAGCATTCTGTTTCCTTTATAATGAAGTAGATATTTCTCTCAAACACATTTCTTCGTCAAGAGTGCATACTTTCGAGTCACATAGTTGATCTGATCCTTTGTTCGCCCTTAAATTCATAAATTTGAACGGTTTTTGAATCGCTGGCCGATTCCTTTTTTTTTTTTTTTTATTTTCTAGTTGACAGCCTCGCAACCCTTCTCGGTAACACTGTCCTCTGCTCACACCACCCCTCTTTTCATGTTTCGAAACCAAACCCAAAGGTATTATTCAAGCATGCTGTTTGCGAAAATAGACCCAAGCAGGGTCTTGATGGTCCTTTTTTTCTCTTTTCTACTAGCACCGACTGTGACGGGTCACAGCTGGGTAGAGCAACTCATTAATATTGCTCCTAATGGTACCTTTATTGGCGAGCCAGGATACCCTCGTGGGAACGTCAAGCGCAGCGACCCAGGGTTTAGCGATCCCAAAATGACATATCTTCTTCCTCCCAACACTCGGCCCGCCGATTCTGGGATATCAAAGAGTGACAAGATTTGCAAAGAAACACAACGCTCTCCTGAACAAACAGAAGGAAGCCCACGATTAAAAGCAAACCCTGGAGCCGCTATCGCTTTAAGGTTTCAAGAGAATGGTCATGTTACTCTACCTGAAAGCCAGCCTGGAAAGCCAGATAATCGCGGAGACGTTTACGTATACGGAACCACCGATCCTCGGCCTGATGACACCCTTCTATCAATTCATAAAGTTTGGAATTCCGACGGCACCGGAGGCGATCGGAGAGGGATACTACTGTCACGGCAAAATTTCGACGACGGCAGATGTTACCAGATCAATGATAAGCCGATTTCAAAAGAACGTCAGAAGAAATTTGCTCATAAACCTAACGAACTGATGGGGGCGGATTTGTGGTGCCAGCAAGACATCGCTCTGCCAAAAAACGTCCCTATCGATAAACCCTACACGCTCTACTGGGTGTGGGACTGGCCTACTGCACCGAATGTCGACTCTGGTCTTCCCAAAGGCAAAGCTGAAATCTACACAACTTGCATGGATGTCGATATTGTCAAAGACCGGATCTTTCAGAATTTGAACGGGGGTGATGGGAAGAAGGAATATGTTAAAGATCAGCCCCTAGAGAACGCGGCTATCCCCTCACAAATTGCTGAGCTGAACAATGGGTTGGTGATACCGGACAAGTCAGGCGGTGCGGGCAAATCGACCTTCAAAACCGTAGCCCGACCATCCACGAAGGTCACCCAGGACAGCCAAGGTCTTATGCCAACAGGTATGCCATAAGCTCAAATCCACCTTCCCTTCAAAAAGGAAAAAAAAAAAAAAGAAAAAAGAAAAAAAGACACTAACGAGCCGCAGGAGCCTCTCGCTTGTCCACGGCCCCATCAGGCTCGATAACCGCTCCGCCATTCTCGAACACCACCGCTCCCTTTAGCTCTCGACGAATGTCAAATTCGGGAACCGGAACAGTTCCAACTGTTACACAGACTATGGCGCAGCTCGATGAAGTCGATGGCAAAAGTCAGCGAGATAGAAACGCTCCACAGTCTTCTTCGCCCAGGCTCCCTGCCGTCCAGCGTGTGCGACGGTTCATTGTGTGGTAGGCGGAAATAGGTGACTTGAATGCGCTATTGAGCTCTCTAAACTGGCGGCAAGGGCTCGCAGGTTCGAGCAAGGTTATTCACACATTACATTTCTCTCGCGCTCTCTTGGAAGCTATGCATCTAAACGTGTTGAGAGCCTATTTATTATCTAGTGTTAACGGAGTATCTACAAGTTCCAAATCTGGTTGTATTAGCACTTAGGCCGGAGAAGACTTGCATGGATATGCGAAATCAGCGGGCCCGGTGTGTTTACACTGCTAGGTTGATAGTTTGACCGAATGAGAGTTAAAACATTGATCCCGCTTAAATTCATTATTTTTGCACGTGTAAATTCTAACAGCGACTTTCTTAGTCAAAGTCGCAATAGCAATGTAGAACATATTCTGTGGCAGATGCTGGCTCCACGGCCTCGGATGGATATATATATGGTGGTCTATGGCTTCCATGGAATACGAAATAGAGCTCTGGTACGGAATATAGGCGCCCTGTTTTCTTTTACCGAAGATCGAGAACTTTTTGACGCGATGATGCGACCACTTGGCACACTGACAGCGCACACGCGAGGTGCAGCAGCTTACCAAATACATACTACCTAATGCACGTCGCTGAGGCTTACGTGCATTTTCCAGAAAGCTCATCCTGTGCCAAGGATGTCGCAGCAAGATTTTTGTGGATGCAGATTCCAACCAGGGAGGAAGTGATCTGCTTACGAACGTAGAAGAGTAGACTGAATGCTAGGCACGTATGGGCCTGCTGGTCATGACGGGCCCCTCCTATATAAAGTGCCGATAATCAGGACTCGGATATGTATATTCCATTGCATCGTCGATAGAAAGCAAGGATCGATATTTACTGGAAAAGCGATTGAAGTTGAACGAAGAAAAGCCACGTCCGCATCGTTTTTAGTTCGTCCCGTGTCCACTGATCCCGCTTATCGGTCAGAGATGATCAAGAAGGCGATGGGGATCACGAAAGCGGTGTGGTCAGGAGTGGAAGGCTTAGGGCAATTCGCAGGTCTCGAGGTCTCTTATTCCTGTGCGCATGGGGACTTGTCGACGTTAGCAGTTGGGAGACGTGTGAAGAGGGTGCAACTCCGTAACTCCGTTATGTGCAGTCTATCCTGGGGAACAGCCGCTTAGTTCTATTAACTATGTACTCATTTATATCTTCCTCCGCCGCGGATGGTCGTCGATCCGGCCGTCCTCTTGCGTCGCGCTGGCTGATCATTGCGAACCCGTCCGGACGTTGATGCCGACGGCGCTGCTATTTATAGCCGGGCCAATCGTGGAGCGTGCTCGTTCCCCAAACATCGTCTCGCGCCTTTGGCTTTTTCGCACCCCTGTGCCGCCAGATGAAACTCGCCGGTCGTCATAGCTGGCTGGCCGGGTTAGTGCGGTGTGTTTCATCTCTCGTGGCCGCCTGCTCGCCCGCCAATTTGCTCGATCGCTGTTTCAACTGGATTTTTCGCACTGTGTCGTCGAGAACTTCCCCAACCCTCTCCCACAGACGTTTGTTTCAACACAGCCCTATCGCTTCGAGTTAGTGATCTGGCTAGGCGACTGCCTGAGCGTCCCGGCCACGCGGTGTTTTGTTTGGCGTGGGCGCTTATTCAACAATCGGGGGTTGACTTTTTGTCGCCTTGGACCTCCACCCTTCTTCGGCTGTTTGTTTCACTCTCCGGGACACCATCTTATTTTTTCTTTTTGGAGTGGATGCTTGTGATGACTTGCATAATAATTTCTGAAAGCCTATTCTTCTTCAATCAACAGCCCTCGACTAATCTCTTGTACGATCTCTCCGACGCTTGCTCGGTGTTCCTTTGAGAGGGGAGACCTCCCCCTAGCCTGGCGCGCTCACTCGCTTCATGAGCCTGGCAGGTTAGCGCATTGCGAACCCTTTTTTTTTTTTTTTTTTTTTTTTCCCCTTCCCTTCCCTTTCCCTTCCTCACTTCTGAAGCCGTAGAAAGAGAGGCAATCCAGTCGCTCAAGGTTTGTCATCCCCTATCCTTTTTTTGCCCTTGTTGACAACTTCGAGTCTAAGCAAACTGAGACATCTTCAACCATTCTAATGTCCTTTGTCTTCCGCAGGTCCTCTCATAAATTGACCCAGAGTACCGGCCAGTTTGCGCCTCGATTTGCCCTCCTCCTTAACCGTGTCTTGCTCTCCTCAAGCCAATTCGTTCCTATCGAGTCTTCTCTTGGATGGCGAAAATGGCCACCATGATAACCTCTCCCTCTTCGGCCCCGCCACAACTCGATGCTTCCTCCCCACCCACCCAGCTGTCAAAACGGTCATCTCTTGCCGCTCCCACAGCCCCAAGACGTCAATCCTATGGGAAAAATCGCATGTCCACGCATTCTGTCGGCTCCATGAACCGTTCGCGTCCCGCCTCGCACGTCTTCCCCTATTTTCCTTCCAGCCTTCCCTACGCTCTCGTGCGCGACTTTGCGTATCCACCCACACACCCTCTACATTATGGAGCGCCTCCAAAAGATTCAAGCGTAACAACACCAGTCAGCGAATCGCGACGACTGTCAGATCCACCCAGCTCGTGGGATGCGGTACGCTCAACATGGCCTGCTCCGCACTGGAATCCTGAAGCCATGTATGGCCAGCAACAACTCCCCGCGTTGGCTTTTGGAGATGGCCCGCCGTACAGCGAGGACGAAGATTTACACAGCCCCATCGTGACAACATCGAAACACCGGAAACACAAATCTGACTCACGGAGAACCAGAAGCCCCGCGAGAGGGTATATGGGGCCTGACTCCGGTCAGGAGAGTGACAGAGGCGTTTTTATTGGAGTGAATGGGGATGGCAGCGAGACCTACTATGTAAGAGGCGATGATTCTGCCGAAGATGGGCCAGGAGGAGAGTATGTCACATACCCAGCTGATGGAGGAAGCCAGTCATACCTAAGTGCTGGTTCCTATGCCCATGGAATGCAAAGCAATTCACACTTCACCACCTCAGTCCAAGGCCAACCTCACGGCGGCGACTTTGAGCTCGAGTCTGATGACGATATTTCTGATGACGAATGGCGTGATCCCTCTCGATACTCCCGAGATTATCAGTTCACCATTGTTTCACCTGATGAAGAGATGCATGGAAAAGCGGTTGCGCTTTTTGATTTCACCCGCGAACACGAAAATGAGCTTCCATTAAAAGAAGGCCAAGTTATCCTAGTCTCCTATCGGCACGGGCAAGGATGGCTTGTCGCAGAAGACCCTAGGACCGGAGAGAGCGGATTGGTGCCAGAGGAATTCGTCCGTTTGGTTCGTGATATCGAGGGGGGATTAAACAGTTTGAACGGGGCCCTGAACACATCGCTGGACAGCCCAAGTGCCGATGCATTGGAGTTAGAGACATCGCAGACCGAGCCTACTTTATCAGACACCCCAGCAAATACGGATGCCGTAGCTACTTTAAACGGTGACACCGAAGTCGAGAGTGCTAATGCAACGACCGCCGGCTCTCCAGACCAGGAATCGCCCCAAGGCTTTAACACGGATAAGCCAAAATCAAAAGATAAAGAAAAACACCCGCCAGTCGTATCTACTTTTTCAACAAGCAGCCGCGACTTAGCTCCATACCCATCACATCTCCTCAGCGGGCATCAGCACAGCAGATCTACACCGCCTCAAATCGAACATTTCAATACCAATATCAATGAACCAAAGACACAGTCAAGACGATCAAAAAGCATATCCAAGCAGGGATGATCAGGCTAGTTTTATGTTATTTTATGGATTTTCATGAAAATCTGCAGGGTTGATTTCTGCGGCTTTGCTTCATTTTTCCTACTCTTTATTTCACAATACCCAGATGTTAAAGCTGGTAAAATGGCACAGGAACTTTTTAGGAGGATGTGGTAAATACCCTTTCAATTTTTCTTTTCCCTTGTCTCTTTATTCTTGATATGCTCTGTGGCCCGTCCTGTGTTTTGGCAGCACATCATTCTCACTATGTTTATCCAGTGTTTTATGTGTTCAGCCTGGGATTAGCCAAAGATTCATGGGAGTCATGTTCTGCTTGTGACAATTTCCTCTTTGCCCTTTTGGTTTTCCCTTGGCCCGACTCCCCATTTTTGCTGCTCTTTGACATTTTCATCTCCCCCCTTTTTTTTTTCCTTTTTTGCATGTTCATTGCCCTCTTCTGTGGCTTCACGATTTCTTCTCTTCAGTCACCCATCCACCTCCTGCCTCTTTATATTAGAAGTACTGTGTACGATTCTTACAACGACAGACTAGTCTCCCTTGTCTAGGTACAAGGCAATACTACTCCTATTCATCCAGTCTTAAAGCTTGTAAAGATATCCAATATGCGAATGTCTGTTTGTTGTCCGTACAAGGTCAACACCCTATCTTTGCCATTAAGAGCCGAGGATGAGACCACTTTCGACAAATTAAAAGGACTCGAAGTAAAAAACGCTGTGTGGAGTCGGTGACTGACCGCGCACCACATAAACATTTTATATATATATATATATATATTTTCAAGAAAAAATGGAAAGATAAGATGGAGCTTCCATGGTTTACCTCAAATCATTCCAGCAGGGTCTTCTTCCAATGGGAAAAGGAGTCAAAGGCATTGACTGGGGGTTTAGTGTGCGAACTTCTGGGGGGTTCTGATGTTGATGGGTAGGTATCGAGGAGCATCTGAGAGCGGGAAAGGGGAATCGTGAAAGAAAATGTCTAAGCCCCATCATCCTTTGTTTGTAGTTCAAGTCGAAAACTGGCGGAGTGAAGGCGAGAAATTGTCTTCTCTTTCAGCTCCCCAGGCCTTCAAACCAGATAGCAAACCAGGCAGTGCCTGTTTAGAGTTAAAGGACTAGTAGGTGATGAGATCCGTTTTAGCAGATTTAAGTGAAAGCTGGTCACTTCAGCTAGGAACACGGATGTGTACTTTGATCTTGGAAAGCATGGAAAACAGACGCAGCACATTTTAAAGGAGGCTTGGGCTCGCTAAAACTATGCAGGAGTTATAAAAGGTAAATGTGACAATTAACATCTAAGCCGAGAACATAGCGAATCGGATATTGGCAAAATGACAACAAGAATCAAAACATAGAAGCACAAACAAGCATCGTGTTCCGAATGTACGTAAACAATAGGTTTTTTGACTCGTCGCGTATCAACCCAACAAATCGTCCAATCCATGTCCAACAGGCGTATTTCCTGGCTTCTGTTGCTGCTGCGATGCGCTCATAGCTGTGCTACCAGTAGTGTTACTGGTAGCTGACATTGTTCCTGCTGGCGTTCCCCAAATACCAGCACTGGCTTTCTCTTTCGCCATGCTGGCCAAGTTGGGACCCTTGTTCTGGGTTGCTGCAGTGGACTTGATTCCAGCGTTGGCACTGGCCGAGGACCAGAGGCTCCCGAATACGTCACCGGACGCTTTAGCAGCGGCGGCTGGGGCTGGCTTGCTACTTGCAAAAGAAGAACCACCCGATGGGGTTTTGATACTGGACTGGGATTGCTGAGCTTGGGGCACGGGAACGGAGGTGAAATAATTTGGTTGGACAGCCTGGTAACCCATTGGCTTAAGAGGCTGGGGATTCATGTTTGGCGAAGTCATATTTGGTGTGTGTGAAGCACTGCTTGAGACGGAGGGAGTTGGAGGCATAGACGTAAGGCCCATAAGTCCATTCAAGTTTGCGCCTTGCGTCCCTGAGACTGGCTTCGGCGCCGCAAATTGCGTCTGAGATGGCATGGTCGATGTGGCTGTTGGAGGTGGGAGGGAAGCAAACTGTGATTGGGGCGCGGTGGCTTGTGTGGTTGGACTTCCGGATTGGAATTCGTCAAAGTCATCGTCCTCAATAGGTTGCGAGGCAAGGTCAGCCAGGCCATTATTACCCGCGGGCTTCTTTCCGGCCGATACTGAACTCTTCTGTTGTGATATCGAAGGGGCGGATGGTGCAGGTTCGTCCATGTCACCAAAATCGACTAGATCGGGCTCAGGGGCCTTCGGTGGTTCCGGTTTCCTTGTTTCTTGCCTGGATGCCGGCTGGGTGCTCCGCTCAGTCCTCCTTTGAGAAGTGGAATAGCTTCCATCATCCTCATTTTCATCGTACTCCTCGAAACGGTTGCTTCGTCTACCAGGGTCGTTGAATCCGCTCGTGTTGCCGCCAAAACCTCCACCGTCACCATAAACACCACCACTGTACCCTCCAAACGAAGCATCGTCACTTCCAAAACCACCGTATCGAGAATTGCCCGAAAAGCCACCCGAGAAACCGCCCATACCACCTTCGATGCCGCCAAATTTGTTCCTATTAGCCTTAGCCTTCTTTCGCTCTGCACGGATTGCATCAACATCGCCCAGCAGTTTAGCCAATTCCTGGGCACGGTTACGAACGTTGACACCTTGATCTTTGCCGTTATTATCGATATAGTGGAATTGGCGCAGCATACGAAGGAGCGAAATATGAGATCGCGCATCATCGACAACTCGTTCCGAGCCGTTTTTGATCAGGAATTCAAGAAGTTGCAAAGCCTACAAGATGCAAACCAATTAGAATCGAGCCATTGTTGACTGATTGCTGCGTATAGGTATTGTGTGCCGTACCTTGTAGATCTGCCTCCATTCCTCTGCCGTCTTTTCTGTAAACCGCCGATAAATCATAGGCATAATTTCGTTGAGCAATTGGCTACAATCGCATGTCAATTACCATAATTCGATAACATAAACAGCCAGTCGTGTGCCTCCGGGAGGGGGGGAGGGACTAACTAGCTGTGTGTTCCATTTGCAATTTCCTGCATCAGCGTCGACGAAGCTCCCCACGGCTCATTATTCGTCGCTTCACGGACTTTCGCCTCCATTTCGGTGTAATTCATCATTGCTACCAGAAGAAAATCACCGTCAGCGGGGGGGCGAACCCAATGCACATAAATCCAACGCCTTTAGAAGTATCTCCTCGTTCGACCCCTGGGGCCACCACCGAGATCCGTCGTCCGCATGGCGCACAATACAACGGGTGAACTTACCATTCTGTACTTTCCGCACCCCCGCCTTCACATCATACATGGTCAGATTGGAAATCTGATCTTTGAGTGAGTTGAAATCCATGGTCAAGGTATTAAAACGACGAGGATCGAGGACTTGAATCCGGCGGCGAAGTAAGGATGGTACAGGTCAACGATAGACTTGCTAGGGGGGGAGGGAGTTCCCTCTAATCTCCAAACCAGACGGTGAGTGGTTGAAACAAGAGAGTTCAAAACATGAACTGGCGATGTAGGTGCAGGCGGGTGCGCAAGGCGATTGAATCTGCTTGGCCAGCAAGGTAACGATGGAGCCGATGGTTCTTCGCTTGGAGAGACATCTTCAGCCAGCGTTTCGCGGAGCCCAATTTTAGCGGGTTCTGGCAATAAACTCACCGCCCGCCGGCCAATCATCCCGTGCAGTTCCCGGCCGCAACACACGCTTTCGACTCCACCGATCGCCGCGCCAACCATCTTCACGGCTGTGTGTATTTGGTCGATTGATTGCCAGCTACGGAGTGCACGCATACATTACTGCGATACGCTTCTGGACGACTACTTGATCTCCCTTGAAGAAACCCACCCTCTCCAGTTCTTTTTCCCTTTTCACCCCGAACAATGCGCTAAGGAACGAGAGACCCTTTTTGTTTTTGTCTTTGGGATTCGGCTATGTATCCCGAAGAGCCCGCCAGCATATCCACACAGGTCCAGGGGATGGACCAACATAGTAAAAAGGCAAAAATCATAACCATAAAAGAAGCAATGAAACCACAATTGGAAAAGGCCAGCATTGGAATACACTGAAAAGAATGTATTGGTTGGATCGCCCCTGTCCCGCCTCCTCGCTACACCGGATGGAAGCTAATGCAGACTGTAACCAAAACCCCCCACCCTCTCCGAACAAGAATTTTGATAGAAGCTAAAGGATGCTTAGAGCAATAATTGATAAACAGGAAAAAGGGCAAAGGATAAAAAGAAAATAGCCATATACCGGTAATGGGTATCTTGGTACATACTCCCAGAGTCAACCCGAGCCCCACCGTACTACTAGTCATATCCCATAAATGATCCGTCGCTTCATTCGTTATAGAACTTCTTCATGATCAAATGCAAAAATAAGTTAACGTTCACCCGCAGCTGCCCTTCGAAAAAGTCCATAAACTGCGTGTTGTTGAATTGTGCCTGAAGCAAATCGTCAAGAGGAACCTGGGCGTTTGCACCGGGAATCATCATATTCCCGCTGCTGCCGTCAATCATGAAGACACCAACTTCGTTACTTGAAATTGTAAGGTCCACCCGATCCCATTGGCGCTCCGTGTACCCTTTCCAGTGAACAAGCACCCCCCTATCTGCCAGATTGCGGGCTGAATATTTGTACGACCCGAACTTCAATACTCTCCCGGACCGCTGTAGTTCGCGCTCATGGTCCCACTGCTTTGTGAAGGGCATCAGAAACCGCTTCTTGCCCTTCTTGTTTTGGAGAGTAATCATTGCTTGTTCAATATAGTCGTTGTACGTTTTTAGCTGCTGCTCAAGGTACACGGCTTGGTCGTTTAACCTTTCGAGCGTCAGCCGAACGCCTTCAAGCTCACGCTGCCGCTGAATTCTCCGGCGATGCTTTGTCCTAATGTCGAGAGCAATTTCGTTTAGGAGATCTTGATAGTGATTATGTCGTGTGATTCTTCCCGCTTGCTCGAGTCTAACGATATTTTCTAGGGCTGTTCTCTTCAGTTCAGGGTAGCTCATGGAACCAATATCCACAAGCGTGTTGGCATCAGAGTATGCTGCCCGTTTCTGGCTGTTGTGGGAGAATTCCTCCTGGACGAGAGTCTCCCATCGTTCTTCATCCTCTAGGGTTGGGGGTTTCACCAGAATCTCCATCAAGTTCGCCCCAGATTGCACTCGAATGATATACAGAATGCATCGTTTCGTCTCCATAAGGAGCGCTTTGACTTCTGCATCAGGGTCTGCCGTGGGTCAGAATGCCTGCTCTTATTCTCCTTTACGGGCGAACGACTCACCTTCGACATTGTGGAGTTTGGGCGTCAGTGTAAGGCTTATCTCTGATGAGCTGACGCTCATGAGCTCGCTTTCATTGCTTTTCACACTACCAAGGTCGCGAATAATTTCTCGCAGGGTGTCATCTTGACCACAGATATATGATATCTCCGCGGCGACAAGTTGATGAATCGAAAAAATATCGGACATCTTGATGTACAGAGTAGGCTTTGTCTTTGCATATAGATCATTATACTCGTCAATTTCAAAATGCGCCTCGGCATCTTGCACGGTGATAACTATAGGGAGATCAGCATAAATGGTGTCGCATGTGTGGGTAAACACTTACGATTGCCCCAAACGGACCCAAGTCGCTGGATCGATTCGCCAATGTACGCGTTCAACGGTTGAAGGTATACGTTATCATTACCAAACAATCGACCAGACGCAACCTGGGCCATAACCCTGCTGATTTCGCCCAAACTGCGCTTTTGCTCTTGGGTAAGAGCATGGTTGACAATGCCAGACTTTTCAGGCTCCATCATTGCAGGTTGGAGATAATTTTTCCAAACCCATTGACCCGTAATCTGCAAAAGGTAGCCTTGATCCTCACCCTCGAACTTTGCAAGGAGACATTCATACATCTTTTTGGCAACAAATCGAACACCAAACGGCATCCGATGGAGCAACTCCTCCAGAGAAGTAAAGACCTGATCAGCGATATCTCGAAGGTCCTGCAGATTTCTGATAAACGTGGCTCTCGTTTCGGGATCCTTGATTGCCTGCTCCCTAGGGACGTCCGGTGGGCGTCTGCTGCGGCGTCCTGTGCGAAGCTCTTCGTTATTGATGGCAGACCGGTAGATCTGGATCGGATCGCTTTCCAAGTCCAACTCAGGGTTATCGATAATGTTTTCTTTGACGACTTGGCCTAACAGATCCTTCATATATTTTCGGTCTCGCGGCGACTTGGTATATGCGCCAAAAAGTTTGGCCCAGAAAGAACTGCACCTGAGGTAATCTTGAACAGAAGTGCATATATCGGTTTCTTCTTTGATGCATATCACAAGCAGCTTCAAAAGGTAGTACTCCTCACGTCTCTTCTGAGCATAACCAAATAACCCCATGATAAGATGCTTGATTCGCTCGTTTTCTCTTTCAGGAGTCGCGAGCTCTCTCAGTCTTCGGAATAGTTTTGCCAAATATTGAGGTTGGGTCTGGAGAATGAAGAAAAGCTCTTGATAGTATTCGAGTTTCTTTCTCGACGTCTTGTTGAGCGCCTTAAGGTCAAAGGGATCTTTCGATGATAAATCGGCATTGGGTAAAACGGCGCCGACGTGCCCGCCAAAGTGCTTCTGATGTCTTACCACCTCATCCAGTGTAATCTTGTTCTTGACCAGGAGGGCGATTTTGATGTCCAGCTGAGTAATATACTGATCTGCCATCTCATTTTGCCGAACCTGTTGCACAACCGTCTTCCTAAGGCGCTCAAATTCGATTTCCTCATCAAAATCAAAATCACTGTCATTGAGAAGATGGACGAATCCCTTGATCGTTCCAACGGGAGGGTTTTTCCCACTCGTTAAACTTTTATATGCTTCTCCTTGGATCTTTCCCCTGACAAAGCTCTGAACTTTGATGACCTTATCCATGTTTTCACGATAAAATCTTTGCTTCTCCGCGAAGCGCCTCCTCACCAAAAAGCCTCTAATAAATGACTGAAAGTCGGTAATAACCTCTTCTTCCGCCTCAAGATCAGCTAGTGCATTGCCAACATCGAGCCGCAGCAGCATGGCTCTGGAGAGGGCCTGTAGCTGGACGATTTCGTCGGTGTTCTCGTCGAGTTCAATAAGGAGATTACCAATATCTATACGAACAATGGCGGCCCTTGAAAGCGCTTGAAGATGCGTAATCACAGAGGTCTCTGCAAAAAGATCCCTACAAACTTGATCGAGCCGACTGCGCAGAAGGAAGGCCCTGCCGAGTGCCTGAAATGAAGTAACGGTCTCCTCACACTCTCTGAGTTCGGAAATTGTTGTGGAAAATATTTTTCGGAGGGCAGAACCCCTGACTGCAGCTTGTATCTCTATAATTGATGGAGTCTGGTCCCGAAGTTTCGCCCGGAGTTCTTCCAAATCTTTTCGCAGCGCAGACCCACGGGCAGCCGATTGAAGTGCAATCCATGTGTCTGCCATATTCTCCAATGCTCTTTCCAGGTCCAATTTCCTTCTGCGTGCGGTGAATCCCCTCGCGGCCGCTTGCACCGTGATAATCGCCCCAGTTTCCCTTTGGAGTCTCGAACCATCCTGTGAAAGAGCATAACGCGCTAGCATTCCCCGAATTGTTGCTTGAAGGAACTGGACGCTCTGCTCAGCATCATTTTTAAGATCCAACGCATCCTGCTGAAGCGCTCGTCGTTTTAGCATCCCCCTTATTGATGCTTGGAGGCCCTGGATATATAGGCCAGCCTCCATTTCAAGATCCGAAATACCCTGCTGAAGGGCTCGTCGCTGCATCATTCCCCGGACTGCAGCTTGAAGGAGCTCAGTGCTCTGGACAGCCTGCATTTTGAGGTCCGTGGTGTCTTGTAATATAGCACGTCGCGTCATCATTCCTCTAAAGGCGGCCTGAAGGAATAGCACTTCAGACTCGGCTTCCCTAGTTTCCTCGTATTGGTCATATGCTACTTTTCGCGCTAAAGCGCCCCTTATAGCTGCTTGGAACAATTTGATACCCGGTTCTTCTTTTTTTGCTCTCACCCTGAGGATCTGAACCTCGGATCTGGCACGTTTTGCACGAATCAAACTTTGCAGTTTCAATATCTCGGGCTCAGCGGTTGCACAACCAATCTGGCGGTCCTGCCAGGTCCTTCGAATCAAGAAACCACGTGTAATAGCTTGCAGGTCTACAGCAAATTGCCGCATGCTTAGCCTATAGTCCATGATTTGCCTTGTCCAATCCCCACGGATTCTTGACTGGAGGTCGATGAGCATTTCCTCGTTGTCCCAGAGATGTTGCATCAGATTTCCAAGTTTCAGCCTTAGCAGAGCACCCTTCATTTGCGCCTGGAAATCGGATATCGATCCTTCGTTCTCGCGTAGCTCACGGTCGATCCTTTCTTTTTCGGTTTCGACGGGTTCTGGCTCGGGTTCAGGTTCAGGCTCAGCACCAAAGCTTGCACCCATTCCGGAGAAACTGGGCATAGGAACACCGGCTTTATCGAGGCCCCGTTGGGTTTGTTCAAGTTCATGGTGTTCGAACTCAAGCTGGCCGACTAAGTTTCCGATTCTAAAATCGATAACGCCCTGCTTAAATAGAAGCCAAGACAGAGCGTGGATGCAATGGATAACTTTGGGAATGTTCTTTTTCTCGTACAAGTCGATCAACTCAAAGCGGAACACCTCAGGGAGCTCAACCTCATCTAAGAACTGAAAGAAAAGGGCAATGTTATCGGAATGGCGGAACTGTAACTTAGGATGTCGGAAAATCCGGAATATGCGGTGAGGATATAAGGCCTGGACCACTTCTGCTAGTGTAACTCCATCGCGGAGCGCTTCTTCCAATTGAACGATTGGGGCAATTGGCTTTTCGATAACGTCCTCAATCCACTCCTTGGCTTCACCGATATGACAGAGGTACTCGTATGCCTGCAGAAATTGTCGCTGTTTGTCCATCCAATCTCTTTGCGACCATAGAGCGGCACCTGATGTTTTTGCAACAGCTGCTGTCCTGGATCCACAGACTGAATCAGTTCTTTTTAATTGGCGCCGGCCTTGCAGTCCAACAACAGAGGGAACGGGACTTGTGATTGAGAATTCATCGTCTTCGGACTGGGCAAATTTGGACAGTGTTCGAAGATGCCTTGTGGAGGATCTACCCAGCGATTGGAGTTCAGGGGCTGTAAGTGCAGCGGTAAAGGATGAATGGTTCGGAGTTGAACGTGTGCGCGCGTGGTATGAAACCCGTCTATGGTTCTCGTCCTGAGGGGGCTTATTTTCCTCGCTTCGATACGCATCGTACCCAGGTTCCTTACGGACGATATCGTGCTGGGGAATAAGGTCGATCACCGTTTGACTTCGAGTATGGCACGAGCCTTTGATTTTCGGGGGAGTGCCATTGGGCGCCTGCTTGAGAGGCCGCAAAGACCTACGAATATTTTCGTAGGCTTCTCCGGGGCTAGACTTGCCATCAAACTCCCTGCGGCCATTGAGAACGCGTGAGCCGCGATCTACCTTATGCTCTGGTGTTCCAGGTCGATATGTGCTAGATATATGGGACGTGAGCGTACTCGTTCGGCTTGGGGTAAACGAGTTCGAGTATATCGAATAAGCGGACGAGTTCGTTGAGGCAGTGGAATCATGGCGCAAAGGGCCCGCAGACTGTGTGGACAAATCTGATCGTGTAGGCTTCAGAGAGAGGTTGTATGACATTTCGATCAAAGAGGATGTTGGCCGGGGAATGAGCGCAGCAGCAAGAGAAGCCTATTCCTTTCAATTGCGCGCATACCGGCTCATATCCTAGGTTTGCTTGTAGTCTGCGCGGAGCGTGCGATCAACGTTGTGCACAGAAGAGCAAAAGCGCAGGGCGGCGATGATGTCCTTTGAGAGTAGAACTGATTCGTCAACAAGCCTTATGCAAGACCGCATCTCTGCAGAACTGGGAGCTCAACGCAAGCCACAAGTTGGTTGTTGATGGACATGGGGGGGCAACATCAAAACAAAGTACCAGAAGCGGTTAGGCGCAGCGCCGGCACTTTCTTCCGACTCCGATTAAGTCATGTGACTTACGCGGCAACACTCGGCTTACCTCAGCAGCAGCTCTCGAGTTAAACTGGTTAACTAGGTTGTCTCTTTTCTCCCTCTCTCTAAAATATGTAACTATATGTGTAAGTGGATGGCAGTGATAGTAAGAGATAGGATGCTCAGTGCCGGTGCCAGGGCTTCTGTTAAAAAGAAACATTTCCTCTTTTCCCGCTGTGCGGTGTGAGGCGGCAAGCTCGCGAGCTGTGTGTTGCGTGGAGCGATAAGAAGGCCCCGATAAGATCCAGCTTGCGCCTTTAGCGCCTGGGCAGGACCCCACACACCAAGCACCAGGTTAAAAAAAAAGTGATAAATTCTGGCCTCGCCGACTTTTCTCTCTCTTCCCTTTTTTTCCTTTCCTTGGGAAAGCCGCTTTCTCCCCGTCAGCAGAACGTTTCATTTTGTTGACGGTATTCTCTTTTGATCCATCTTTTTGTTCTCCCGCCGTCGCCGGCAAAAAGACCGTATAATTTCTCCCATTTTCCTTCGTCATGCCTATCTCCAATGGAGACGCCTCTGGCAGCGCCGTCCAGCGCCTGGGCGGGAAGGTAGAATTTCCCGACTATACCAAGGCCCTGGAGGTCTTGAAGACCGATTACCAGAACCGCGATGGCCTGGATATTAAGGATTTGCTTGATTCCAACAAGCGTGGAGCTCTCACCTACAACGATTTTCTGGTCCTCCCTGGCTACATTGGTATGCACGATTCTGGAGCTTCTTTCTCCACCCATACGTAGCAAGTAGCTAATCTGTTCTCGTTCCATCAGGCTTTCCCGCCTCTGATGTTAACCTGGAATCACCTGTCACAAAGCGCATCTCCCTGAAGGCCCCATTGCTCTCCTCTCCAATGGACACCGTCACCGAGCACTCCATGGCAATCCATATGGCTCTCCTCGGTGGTCTTGGTGTCATCCACCACAACTGCTCTGCCGATGATCAGGCTGAGATGGTCAGAAAGGTTAAACGCTTTGAAAACGGCTTCATCCTGGACCCTGTTGTCATCTCTCCAAAGACAACAGTCGCTGAAGCCAAGGAATTGAAGGCACAGTGGGGTTTCGGGGGATTCCCAGTCACCGGTATGTCGATCGATTCCACTTTCAACCCCGATTCCATCCCTCCTCCTCCTGTTCGATGATGTTATCAAATCTAAACCTTATAACTTTCGTTCAACTGAACCAACGAGAGTTGCTGTGTGGAGAATGGATTAAATCCTGAGAACCCCATGTGAAGCCTTTGCTTTTAATTGGATTTATTTACTTGCTTCTTTTTATCACCGATATCTAATTAGATTGTTGCAGAAAATGGTACCCTTCGATCCAAGTTGGTTGGCATTGTCACCTCCAGAGATATCCAATTCCACCCTGATTTGGATGAGCCTGTCACTGCCGTCATGTCCACCGATCTCGTGACCGCTCCGGCTGGCACAACCCTAGCAGAAGCGAATGAGGTGCTTCGACGCTCAAAGAAAGGCAAATTGCCCATTGTTGATACAGATGGAAACCTCGTCTCCCTTCTCTCCCGGACTGATCTTATGAAAAATTTGCACTATCCATTGTCATCTAAGTTACCCCACTCAAAACAACTAATCGCTGCTGCCGCCATTGGTACTCGCCCCGAGGACAAGGACAGACTAAAGAAACTCGTTGATGCCGGCTTGGACATCGTTGTTCTGGACAGCAGTCAGGGAAATAGCATGTACCAGATTGAAATGATCAAATATATCAAGCAAACCTTCCCCGAAATTGATGTTATCGGTGGAAACGTCGTCACCAGAGAACAGGCCGCTGCCTTGATTGCCGCTGGCGTCGACGGATTGAGAATCGGAATGGGCAGTGGCAGCGCCTGCATCACCCAGGAGGTTATGGCCGTGGGACGTCCACAGGCCGCTGCAGTCTATAATGTTACTCAATTTGCCGCCCGCTTTGGTGTCCCCTGTATTGCGGATGGTGGTATCCAGAATGTTGGCCATATCGTCAAGGGTCTTGCCTTGGGAGCCACTACTGTCATGATGGGAGGCCTCCTTGCCGGTACCACCGAGTCCCCTGGAGAATACTTCGTCAGCCGAGAGGGTCAGCTGGTAAAAGCCTACCGTGGTATGGGTAGCATCGATGCCATGGAGGAGAAGAAAGCCGGAGGAGGTGCCAAAGGCCAAGCTTCAAACACTGCCGGAACAGCCAGATATTTCTCCGAAGGCGACCGCCTTCTGGTTGCTCAAGGAGTTTCTGGTTCCGTTCTTGACCGTGGTTCAATCACTAAATTCGTTCCTTACCTTATTGCTGGTATCCAGCATTCCTTCCAGGACATTGGTGTCAAGAGCCTCCAAGAACTGCATGATGGTGTTAATAAGGGAACCGTCAGATTTGAAGTTCGCACCGCAAGCGCTCAGGCTGAGGGTAATGTTCACGGCCTCCACAGCTACGACAAGAAGCTCTATTCTTAATTGCTGGTACTGAATTTAGATATTAAGTTTTGGTATTTTATACTCCAAGGACATCTTTTTAATGGTTATTCTCGGAGGGTTGTGGCGTTTGCTGCAAGCTATTTTGAAGGCCAGGAGTTTTCAAGGGTTGGGGATGTGAAGGATTATGAACGTTGGCTTCCTGCCAGCGGTACAGATAAAAGTCTTACTACAGGATAACTAAACATTAGTGTGAATGAGAGGAATTGTCTCCTGCATGCGAGTCTCCTGAAACCATCCAGGAGGACCCCCGTAGTTTGCCGAGGCGTCTGCAAAGCTAATGTTGAATTTTCAACTCGACTATCCAGCACTTTGTCGTTGGCGCATCAAACCTTTTAAGCATCCTCCCTTGGTACATAGCCCTCAGGAAGCTCAAGTCATTTGGAGCGCTCCTTTGAGCGAGCAGAAGGCGATTTATACGGAGCATGGAGTAATCATCGATGATACTCCCGTATAAGAGAATGTCCCGTTTCGATCCTTTCATTCATGGAGATGTTAACTAGGATAATATCGGAGTCAATCGGTGTTCTGAGACTGGCGAGCTGTACGACTGGCTCAGCGGCAGCGAGGAGCTGGCAGAGGCGAGTGGGAGGCATGATGACACTCGGGTTGAACCTTCCCACTCAAAATGATTTAGGCAGCGAAAAGTGGTCTCATTAAACAGTCCAAGTGGTGTTAAAATGTAGCTATGTACAGAGTAGACACGATATATGATCCACCTGACCATACGGCATCACGTCATGCTAGGCCTCACAGAGAAGGGCTTCGAGAGCCCCTCGTATACAAGCTGCCAGTTCGCCAACGATTGATTTACAAGCCTCGCAAGACACCTACATCCCTACCGGCCTTCTTGCAGCAATTCTTGAAGCAGGTAGGGTTTCGGCCATCTTTCCAGCAGTGATATGTGCTAAGAGTGGTATCATAGTGTTTCTTATGACATTTCTTTCCGCACTTGTAGGTTGGGTAGACAGCTCCCACCTTGTGACCGTTCTGGCAGAAGTAGCAGTTCCCTGCAATGGCCTCAAGTGGGAGAAGCATGAGGAAGGCAGCGGCGCAATAGGAGAGCTTCATTTTGGCTATTTCTGGTCGACAGTTAGAAATGAACGGAACCTTGACTCTTCAAGTCGGAGACGTTACCTTCACAGCACCTAGATGCAATGATCACTTTAGAGAACAGAGATGTATCTTGATACACTCGACACTGGCTTAGCGGACACTAGCGAAAATTAGAGCCTATCTTTGTAATGGAGGAATGAATGTCCACTTTACCTGTTCTGAGGATGAAGGCCGTTGCTGGAAGGACAGGAGACTGGATCCGTTCTCGGCCTTTATATATACGCTCTACTCCGTACTCCGTACTCCGTCCCTCATGCTCATCGTCTTCGTGTTCAAAGGGGAGAAAAAAAAAAGTCTCGGGATTTCAAACGATCAGAACACCCTCCGACCCGCAGAATACGAAGGTGCGGCTCTGCCAGCTCATGATCCGAGCCTGAAAATGGCATGAATCATTTCCTCTCAATCATGATACAATTGGATCGCCTTGTTCGTCTCCTTATTTTTAGAAAACCCCCACACTGATTTGAATGTCATTGGGAAGCGTGCTACCCTAATGGCGCGCGGGAAGCGAGGGCGAGAGGATGGCCACTTGTAAGGTTCCTCTCTCCTCCACCCACATTCAAGAACCTAGTCCTAATCAGAGGAACGACAGGGGCACCACCTGTTGCGGGAGGATTCAGCAGATTAAAAAGCGTCCCGCCCATCCAGGTTTAGGAAGTCTCAACAAGAAGCGCGCACTTCTGGTAACCGAAAACTGCGGACGCTAGATTGAGAATGAGCATGATCGGCCGATGCGCCTGCGCGAACCTGGTCTGGAATAAAAGGAGGCTCCTCTTCACCATGTTGGGGACGGAGGATACCGAAGGTTTCAACCCGCGTTCGAATGTTTTCACGGGGGCTGTGGGTCCTCCGCTTGACGCTGAACCTATCAAGCTCCCCTGAGCGACAATTTACCCCTTTCGGTGCACAGCTCAGAAACCGCGGCGCGGAAATTTACTCTCCGACCCCGATCTTGATCAAAGGGGAGGCTACGACAGACACCAAGGGGGAGCTGTCGAATTTGGTGGGTTGACAGTTCGTGCGGTGAAAGGCTCTCCCCAGCTAGTAACACTCATAAAGGACGTTCTCTTGCGATGTCGCTGTTCACGAATCAGGAGCAGTTGTTGCCGTGAGAGAGAAACACGCCAGGCGCATAAGGCGCCAGCCTGGAGCCGCACACTGTGGAAAAGATCAAACCTTCTTGCGGAATTTCAGGGACAAACCCATGACTCCAACGATGATGGATGCGACTAACAAAAAAAAGCAAAGCCAAAAAAGAAAGGATAGCCGGGCACAGAAAGCTTGTCGATCAAAAAGATATCGACCGACGCAGGATTCGAACCTGCAATCTTCTCCAAGTTCCAGCATCAGCTCACCGGAAAGAGACGCCTTACCATTAGGCCAGCCGGCCCAAGCAAACTTTAATTATGTCCCGCGACCGCAGCTTTTCTACCCAAAAAGCGATCATATATGGACGCAGATTCAGCCATGATCCATAAGCTGTCTGAATCCGTGCTCAATAAGATACACAGTATCATTCTGGAATTACCATCTGACTCTGCTGATTTAGCAGACCAGTACAGCCCTCGCTGGACACATGCTATCCCAAGCCTTCCAAGCACCATGCTAATTCGGTGACTGTTATATCTGTTATGACGTGAGCTAGCACTTCATAGGCAGCTGTCATGAATGATATCGCAGCAGACGGCTGTCTCATTCCTATTGCAGGCACATTCTTGAGCTTCGTGCCCTACGCCACTGGGGGCGTTTGCCTGTCTCCTGTTGTCTCGTGTCCGTCTAGAAATTCGAATTACCCCTCAAGACGTTTCTGACCCCTATTGACTTCTAGGGAACATACGGAGCTCGCTCTCCTATTGACCGAGCCATAGTAATCTATGTAACCGGTAGTCCAGCAGATAGTTCTATCCACTCTCTAGTTCCTTGACAATCATGTGGCTCTGCTACGTCGCCTGATAGCAAAAGAGCATCAGGCGGGGTTTCGAACGGATATGTAAACCTCTGCATCATAGCAAGAGAAAATAATGTTGAATATTGCTAAATGTATCTGCTGCGGGGGCCATTATATTCAACTATACTGAATTGACGTTCGGGGATTTTATGTCCTTAGCTTGCACCTGCGTCCGGTTCTCGCCCTTCATGTCCGTTGTAGGGGGCTTGTATTGGTTCCGCGTTATCTGGTCAATAACTTGTAAATCGCAATTAGCGAGCACTGACTCAGGGTAACTATCTATCGGGAACGGGGTAGTGATTTCAAACATAGACGCCTGAGTGTCGTTTACCGTTCAACAAAAGCGTCGGGCGGTGAGAGCCCCGAAGATCTGAACATAATCTACTCCGTAGTTAGATGCAGATCAGATGCTGACTTCTGGAATCTGTTTGTGCACATGAATTCTAGATAGGACATGCGCCAGCTATTTGTTTTCCGCTTAGATGGAGGAGCCCGGAGCTGTTACTCCTAGGACGTTGGTGGCCGACACCGCTGAGGAGACCTCGGCAAACCTTGTGTGGCTTTCCCCGCGAATCAACCAAGGCAACTCGACCACTAGTTAGAGGGCCCATGATACAAGCTGGCCTGGGGCGGTGACCTTCCTTCAAATAAGGATGTTCTCCTTCGTTCCTGTTGGAGAATGCCAGCTTCTTGTCTCGCCCCTACGTTCTTCTTTCTTCGCATCCCTTGAGTATAGAGCCATTCTCGGAGTGTGTCGACAGTGTTGGCATCAACCTTTACGCGCGACGCCAATTGGCAGATCCAAAAGACTTCCTTACTCAACGGTACGCAGGTTACCGCAGTATCGCACCATGGGACCGGAAGCGAAGCCCAAGGCGAAGATCGATTACAAGATACCCAGGCCGAGCTCGAGGTAAGCCTGAGATCGTAGCGCGCTAGGAACTGTCATGCGGCGCGTGTCGCATGCATCTTGCGTCGGTTATCACGGCTAAAAGTTCGCTTGCAGCGTGATCTTGATCTCTCCGAAGAACGAAGTCCTCCTTCTCCACCGCGTCAAGACCTCGTCCTCGTTTCCCTCCGCCCACGTGTTCCCCGGAGGAACAATATCCCCCCAAGACGGTGACTTCCCTCCGGCCGGCCACCCGGATAGCCACGATGAAGGTATCCATTACCGTAGAGCTGCGATTCGCGAGCTGTTTGAGGAGAGCGGCATCCTACTCGCAAAGAACAGCATCACAGGTCAAATGATCCGCGTTAATCCCGCAGAACGGGAAAAAGGGCGGCACGCCATTCATATGAACGAGACTACCTTTGATCAATGGCTGAAGGGTCAAGATACCGCTGCGGTGGCTGATACTGGTCAGATACACCCAAACCAAAGTGCTTAATCTGAATGAATGATTTCGTTGACCGAAGGCACTCTAATGTGTTTCTTTTTATAATAACTAGACCCTCTCGTCCCTTTTTCGCATTGGATAACTCCCCAGAGGAACCCGCGTCGTTTCACAACTCAGATGTACCTTTACTTCCTACCGCATTCGAACGGAGGTATCTCTGATATTGCTGGAGATACTGAAGTACAGGTCCCTTCAACAGATGGAGGCATCGAAATTACAGAAGCGCAGTTCCTCCCCGCTACAGAGTGGCTCCGCCGTGCCAGAGTGGGAGACATCATTATGTTCCCACCGCAGGTTCTACTCCTTGATTTTGTTGCTCAATTCCTGGATAAGCCTGGTCCAAATGGGACCAGTCCACAGAGTATCTCGGGAGAGGAGTCAACCAAACGGCGAGCCGAATTGGTCAAGTTTGCTCATTCCGGAAACCCCCCATGGACTCACAAGTTTATTTCGCCTCATCCAATAGGCAATGTTCCTGATGGTAGGCAGATCCTCGATCTCAGCCAACCCGGACCCGAACTCAAGGGCACCGATAAGAAAGGGGAAATAGACCGAGTTGTGCTCGCTCGCTTCAACAAAGAAGGCCCGAGAGAGGTTGAAATCCGATGGAGACGCGATGTTCTGCCTGACGGACCTGCTAAGAGTTCACTGTGAATCTGGTCGATATCTATGTACGTACGTATACATTTAGGGATACCCAAGTATAGAGTAGATGTTTAGATACAAGAATGTGTATATACTCCGTCAACCAATTGGCACAAATAAGCTCGCTTCCGTACTATGGATTTAGGCGTACCGCGTAATTCCACGCACTGGCACGACTGATCACCACGACCTGCTGACCTAAGCGTTCGGCCCCGGGTCACATGACGCACAATCCCGAAATGGATCGCACACACCAAACCGAGTCGCAAGCGAAAAGCAAACGGCCAGCGGAACAATCACCTTGCGATTCGACCCCCCACGAGCAAAACCTCAACTCTTCCTCGCACCCGTCACCACTACCGACTCGCAGACTCAAGCAGATCCGCCAAAATGGAGAACGAGAAGGGAGAAATCGTCGATCTGTGCGTATACACCACCTCTCCTCCCCCCGACCATCCTCCCCCGCCAAGAATCACAAAGTCCTGAAGGAGACTCGAATCATATCTCGACAACTGTTTCTTTCTTTTTTTTTTTTTTTTTTCCCTCCTCAGCCCTTCGCTAACCAGTTTTTCGTTTGCGAAATAAATAGCTACGTCCCCCGCAAATGCAGCGCTACCAACCGCATCATTAAGGCCAAGGACCACGCCTCCGTGCAGATCAGCGTCGGAAAGGTCGACGAGAACGGCCGTTACACCGGCGAGAACCAAGTGTATGCTCTCTGCGGATTCGTGCGAGCCAGAGGAGAGGGCGATGACAGCCTTAACCGTCTTGCTCAACGGGACGGTTTCTTGAAGAACGTGTGGAGCGCAAGTGCCCAGCGATAAACGTGTTGTTGCGCTGGAAATATGAAAATTCGGGAATGGGTTTTTGGGGTATGTGATGTTTCTTTTCCATCGCGAGGATAGGTTTCGGGTGGTTGAAACAAGCTATTGAGTTTAAGAAGCCATGTTCAAAAGGAGGACGAGGAAAATGCTGACATTATACCCTCATGCGAATAGGTTACTTCGTGAATATTTCTACGGGTCGAAAGAGATCTGGGTTCGCTGGAGTTTTACGATAATCGTTCTGTTCTAGCTTGTACCCGCTCCGGGGTTTCCCACACGACGAACATGAATTAAAAAGGCATCACATAAACCCGTTTCCCAAAATGCTTTCGCTTTTCCCTTTTCTCCCTGGTCGTCAGGTTTCCATCAATCATCAATATTGCCTTGTCGCTGCTAGCTAGACCCCGTTGCATGTCCCTATTAAACGGATATGTTTCGTTATCCCACGTTATCCACGAAGAACATAATTCAAATCAACCTTTCCCGTGCCTCTCTTGAATTTTGCCATTTTTCTTTTTATTTTATTTTTTATTTCTTTTAACCTTGTCCTCATTTCGTAGTTGACCTTTTAGCCGGCACATCAAGGCTTCCTCACTCCACGCCTAAGAAGGTGTGGCCTTTTCCACTGTGAGTGAGGAGGTAGAATTACTCAACCATCCAGCCGGGATATGAAATCTGCCTTCTGAAGAGCTGTGGCGATCAAGATTACACGTCGGAGCACAGATACGGGCGGGACATTCTACATCTTTTCTATAATAACTATATTCCAAAAGTAGACGTTCAAGGTGGCCTTCAATAAGCACGAGCCTCAGAATTTGCAAAGCTAGGATCATGGAATATAAATTTGAATGAGAATCGTTCAATTCATCACCATCTAAGAGGGCGCTGTCTAATCTTTCTCTAGGCGCACAGCAGGGTTCGATTCAATGAAGTTGAGATCTGTCTTGTGGCCGAGAAGTTCACGGATGTTGCTCACACCATATCTGTAAAAGCATTAGTAAATATGCGGCATCCGCGGATAATGGCAGAAGGCAAACTCACTTGATCATCGTTGGTCTCTCCAGACTCAAACCCCATCCGTATACTCTCATATCTTTAGGCAAACCCATCGGCTCCAACATCTCAGGTCTGAACATGCCACTGTTCCCTATCTCAACCCACCTCTTCAGCGTCGGATGATAACCAAAAATCTCCAAGCTAGGCTCAGTGTATGGGTTATAAGCAGGCTTGAAACGAAGCCCGTGAATACCCATCTTCGCGAAGAAAACCTCCATAAAGCCAATCAAGCCACCCAAAGACAGGCCGAAATCAGCAATGACACCTTCGATCTGGTGGAATTCCGCAAGATGCGTAGCGTCAACAGCTTCGTTGCGGAACACTCGGTCAATACTAAAGTATCGCGCAGGGCGTGGGTTCTGCGCTAGTTTGTGAAGCATGTATGCAGATACAGCAGTAGTGTGTGTTCGAAGAACAAGACGAAGTGATTCATCTGCGCACCATGGGTATCGGTAGCCGATTGAGCCGTATTTACCGGTCTCATGCACAGCATGAATATCGTTCCAATACCGCTCATAATCTAATGGTTTTACCGAATCGCTTTTTGTATAACTGGCTGGGTTCGAGTCTCTTGAAACATGAGGATGATCTTTTGGATCGTCACGCGGCTTGTCGGCAACTGCAGGGTCTGAAATATAAAAGGTGTCTTGAAGGTCACGGGCAGGGTGTTGTTGAGGGACAAAAAGGGCGTCGAAATTCCAGAATCCGGTCTCGACGAATCGATTTGTAGGCATCTCTTCGAATCCCATTTCGAAGAAGATTTGTCGGAATTCATGACGCACTTTATTCAAAGGGTGGAATGCGCCGCTAGGAGTCACCGCACCCTTGGCATTGAAATTGTAGGGTTTGAGCTTCGCCGTCTTCCATGATCCATCAGCGAGCATTTCCACTGTGAGATCCGTCTGCTCCTTAACGAACTCCCTAGCATATTTTGGTCCCTTGGATATTCTATAGTTGATAACCTTCTGCATCGTAATAAGCTTTCTTTTCCGCAAATCTGCTAGGACCTTCGCATCGGGAAATGTCTTTGTTTTTTGGATAGTATGCAGCTGCTCTCGTGCCGTATCCTCGATAGAGTCAGCAACCGCTCTTAAAGTATCCTTATCCTTCTTAATCCATCCTTTTTTAAAGGCATTGCCAGCGCCGACTTTGGCTGCATCTTTCCCGACGACGTTTGGTAGTTCAGCGATCTTCAATCCGTCCAAGGCAGCTCGGACCGCTTCGAAAACCTTCGCTTCATGACTGCCATTGGCGACAATTCCTTCGGCTTCAGGGGATAAGATCGCTTCTTCTCGCTCTAGTGTTTCATATTGGACCATCTCTCTCGAACCCAGGCGGTCGAGGGCAGACTTGACGGACGTTGGTGGGGTTGAGGGGAAGGCATCGCTGGAGAGAATTGGCTTGTCCGTTGAGGCAAGGGCCTCCAAAACTTGATGAGTAAGATCGGAAGCCATTGTCGCGACAAAGGGACAGACAAAGAAATATCTCCAGCGCAAGATCCTCGACCGACTGGAATGTGCTCGCGGCGTCGCTTGCAGGCCTCCTCGTCCGATGACTCTTCAAATTTGTCGGGGAGGCCAGGGCCGCCAGATGCGCAGGGGCTTTTTTTGGTAGTCACGTGATCGTGACCATTTATCTCGGAATTTAGTCAGCGCGCCCCCCCCCCCCCACCCCCCCGGGCCGGGGGTGAGGTCTGCACCCTTTCCAAAGGCTATGTATGGACTATGCATATCCGTAGCTCATTTTTCAAGCCATGAAAACGAGCAATTGGGTAGAAACGCATCGATCCAGAGCAGAAAGACTTTCCTGACCTTTTGTTCAAGTTGCTTTCTTCCAAGACCAAACTTCTCAAAAAGGTTATACATGATATATATGTTTGATATTGTTAAATATTCCTTTGGAGCCATATATCATATACAATGTACTACTTAGATTACCGGCATTCCATTTGCCCCCGTCCTGCTGCTGTGTCCCTATCGTTCCATAGTCCCATATCATATAAACCAGGGGTATCAACAGCTGTTCCCGGCATTCCCAGCACCCGAGAGGATAAAATTAAAGAAGGGAGCAAAGAGACAAAAACCTCCCGACTCTGTTTTACCCGGTGAAAAAAACATCCCAAGTTCTGCATCTCCTACAGGGAAGCAGAGCCTTTCCCCTTAGAAACCCCTTATTCCCTCCACAAAAAGAAAAAAAGGAAGATTGAGGCCATACCTGTGCGCCTATAGCGACTGTTTCCCACGCGTTTCAATCGGAAACAAACACATCGCAACAAACGCCGCCAAGAACAACCCTCCGCTTGCATATATTGGAGCATTTGGATCCCGATCCCCTGCATAAATAGCCACAATGGGTGCCAGCAACCCACAGATACGATTCAAACAGCTTGCGATTCCCGTTCCCGTTCCACGGTTCGGAGCAGGGAACACCTCGGGCGTGTACGCATACAGTACTCCGTACATGATATTTTGGAAAAATGCCTCGAGACATGTGCATGTTAATTGAGCGTTCGGGTTCTTAGAGATAGTGAAACAGAAGAGGATGACACCGGTGATGCATGTTGAGACAGCCATAGTTCCCTTGCGCCCGATATAGGGGATGTCGACGGTATAACAGGCGAGGATTGAACCGGGAACGCCAACGATGGAAGTGATCGCGTAGTTACGATAGACTAAAAACATAGATCAGTATCCACGCCAAAGTCAAAGGTGCTGAAGATTTATATAACTTACCAATTGAGACGGGGGTGGATGCTTGGTTCCCAAGGTATTGAGGCAAAAACGCGTTGAACAGAGGGTAAGCCATACCGATTGTAGCCCAGCAGAACCACAACAAAAGAGCTATAGATGTGGGTTAAAACACATTTTAGTGCTGCTCAAAGGTAAAACACTACGTACTGGTAATCCCCAGCCGCTTGGTTGCAAATAAGGGGGCAATCCGGTCGGCGGAGAAGCTTGCAAGCTTCCTCCTAACCATCTCCATTGGACTCAGCTTCTGGGAATTGGTCTCTTCCTCTGGAAAGCCGCCGATCTCATTTAAGATGTCCACGGTCAACCAGGTCTTTGCTCTATTTTTGTAGGCAATAGCATGCACAGTTGCCACTGCTTCGTTCTGTCGACCCCGTGAAAGCAAGAATTTCGGCGATTCGTAGAGATGGAAAAGGAAAAAGCGGCAAATAAACATAACGAAAGTAATCGCTCCGAGGGTGATGGTGAGATATCTCCAGCCCATGTTGTCTTCCCTTCGGCACGGAACGCCAGAGGGACATGAGTAGTTTGGGATGAACCCCCATGCCACGAGACTATATATGTACATTAGGTACAAGTCTTCTCACGGTATTGTGATGGGCTTTGCAAAATCAAACCTTCCAATGAGTTGTCCAACGGGCCACCAAACACTGAGCATGGTCAAAAGGTTCCCTGATGCAAACGGTAAGAACTCGAGGAACAATGCTCCGTCAACTGGCAAATTTCCTCCCACGCCTAGACCTAAGCACGCATACATGGCACAAACACTATCCAGACAAGCTAATTAGGGCGAGGAACCGGGCTCTGTTTGCAATTTTGCAGCTTGACTCACCCAACCCAAGTCGGACCTCCGCCAGCAGCAAGGCCGAACACACCGCAAAGCAACAGAGTCATGTTGAAAGCGAGACGTCGACCAATGATGTCCGAAGCAGTTCCCCAGACGACCGCACCGATGCACAATCCGATGAACAATGCACAGGTCGTAAATCGTACATGCGACTCGGAGATTCCAAACTCTGCAGAGAGAGGGGGCAGAGTCAGAGCAACACCCTGTAACATATAGCTGTTAAGAAATTTCAAATATTTTCGGTCTACCATGGTTAAGCGGGGCATACCTGCAGCCAGAGACTGATGAACAACGGAACTGATTGTTAGTAGAGTCGTCATAACCACCGAGGAGATTGACAAGAAATACTATTCTGCGAGGCTATTCGCTAACTCACTTGTCTGCAGTCCAGCCAAACCCACAGAGAACGAACAATTCCCATTGATATCGGCCCATCCCAATATCCTGGATAGCCCGGTTAATGACCTTGGATTTCCCTGAATACCATGCATTAGATCCATCTTCTCACAAACCGCTGCCGGGCGTTTGGGATGTACGTCTGGGAGGAACTTCCGGGAGCAGTGCCAAGTGAAATGGCAAAAAAGGGAGGTTGTTGAGCAGGAAAAGGCAAGTTGTCTGCACTCAGGCTTTCCAAAAGAAAGAGTCAAAGGACAAAACAATCAACATGCGCTGCAAAACGTACGATCATAAGCAGTATCGTGACCAGATGCAGCCACATCACTCTCTACCTCTGCTTTCAGTGCTTCAAGGGTCAATGATGTGCCGGCTTGAGAAGTCTGAATCGATCCTCTTTCCGCCAAGCTTTCATCGGATTTCTTGTCATCGGCAGCTGGCGATTGACTATTTTGCTCCTCGGCCAGAGGAATTAGGACCCCCGGATATTCCAGAGCATCGTGCTTTTTGAGCGGATTCACAAAGAACGGCATGATAGCTTATATATATGCTTATACGGGTCTCCAGTAATGTTGATAACAATTGTGCTAGTCAACACGATTTGCTGCGACGGAGAGTATCAATTCGTGGTGTATTCGTTGCAACTGGTACAGGCGTGAATAGGCGAAGCTCTATGTATGTACGCTGCTAGGAAATGCTGCACCGGGCACGAGTTGGATGTTCCTTGAAGCTGCACTTGGGCAAAGGCTCGCGACGTGTTCACTGGAAGCTCCCCCTGGTCGCTCTGGGCTGAAGAGAGGAAAACGCGGAAATCGTTTGAATTTCGGTACGCGAAGGATAAACTGAAGTCACAGACTCAAGTGATTCCGGATCACTCGTAAGAGCTGAGCGCACGGGCACAAAGGTAAACCGGCGAAAGCGTCGAGAAATGAGCTCAATTTTCTCCTGCTAGACTCTGCAACATAGATACAGTAGCTTTGAACTTTTGTATCCCCCCGGGAGTATCTGGTCGACTTTTGTAGAGCCAAATCCTGCTGAAATGGGCCGAAACGTATGCGAAGGAACTGAGGTTTATCAGCAATCTAAGGATGGATGGGATGTGCCTTTTGTACACCCTGCAGTCGCCGTCGTCACGAAATTAAACTCCAAAAGATATTTTTCTTTGAAAAGGACGCCAACTTAACCCAGCAGAAAGACAAGCCCTCATTGGTGATTTCGATGATGGGCAGCGGGATGCGGTGGGGAGTGGGGGATCGTACAGTGCTCAGGGTGATTTTTATGTGGGCTCGTATTTTGCGTGATGGTTCTTTGAGATTTTGAAGGCTATCGCAGACTTGGTGGTGGGTTGGGCTCTTCGAATTAGCCAAGCAATTCAACAGTAATTTGCGCCTATCGAAGCGCGTCGGTTTCTTCCCTGTCCGCCGCTCCTGGGGGGAACATGTGAGTTGACGTTGGTGGGACAAAAGACGGGAAGGTGATCCATTCCACTTTGCGATTGGCCCAAACCGTGGTCCAAATTGTTTGATGGGTGCGGATAGTCGGCAGCTCGCCACACGGATGATTGTGCAGCTCGGGGTGGCGATGCCTCGTGTGGTCAGGGCAGCGTTGTTGCACATTGGGAAAAGAGCTGGCGATCATCTGCGGGCGATGACGACGGGGGCGCATACATGTGTAGCACCGGTGCAAATTAGCGCGGTGGAAAGTCAATGCTCATGCAGCGCAACCCGATAGGCTAGCTGTCCAGGGTCCCGGATCCAATTACCAGTTTTGTATTTTAGGTTCCCGCAGCCATTGGCTGGATCAGATTATTTTTGGCCAATGGAACTCCAACTAAAATCGAACGGAAATCAAGTGGGCCCGATCCATTCGCCAGAATTTGGGGGTGTGGAGAAATGTCACATGCGCCGACCCCGGCAAGCGCCTTCCGCCAGCAACGGACGGCTTTTGGCCGCTCTCTTGGCGACGGGCTCCCTCCCCGTCCCAGTCAGGGAAGCCAATCGAACCGTCTGCATTCACGAGGAAGGGGGAGCGGCACCGCACAGAGGGCTCGTATCGCCGGGGAATACAAAAATGGGTTTGGAATCCAATCTCAGATGCGAGCAGCGGCAGAAGGCATTCGAGCATGTTGAGGCGCACAGGCCCTGCTCGAAAAATCAAGCGATGTCCGTAGTACTCCGTACTCCATACCCCAATCAGAGACGGATAATATGTAACCTTTTGCGGTTGAAAGAAAGGATAAGCAATCCGCAGGTACCGCTGTGGAACCAAATCACCAAAAAATATTTTCGGCTGGTGAATCTCTCGCGACTCGGCCAGTCAACCCGTTGGCATATCGATGGAGCCGTGTATTCGATAACACATGTGCGGGAGATGTGTGGTAGAAAGAGTGCAACTTCGACTCACATGAGACGCAGGTGGAGCAAGGGACGGAGAGTCGGCTGTAACGATGTGGAATAGCTGAAGGATAGACATATATATATATATATATATATATATATATATATACATATATGTGCATCGAGTTTGCGCTGGTTGGAAGCTCTGTGCATGGTTCGCGAGGTCTTCAGAGAGGCATTGACCACTGAGGGTGGCGCAGGCTCTGAGTTGTTCCCCTGTATACCCCGTACGGAGTATGGCGGGATGTGTTGTCCTGCTCAAATTTGGTACTCCCCTTTCCTTTTCCGCTGCCCAAGATACGGGAGCCACGGCGTCATATTGTTCGTCTGAGTATGGAGTAACTTAGCGGCCGTTACGGAGTACAGTGAAAGAAATAACACCGCGGGGACCTGATCTGTGCACCATTACTGTCGACAAGCTCACCTTCCAAACACTGACCGCTCAAAAACGAAATTCAATGGCCATGGATTGGAACTTCTCACACCGGATCTGGAGCTGAAGAAATGTGGCCCGCCAAAGGGTGGAACGCTTCCACAATTCGAATGAGTTCCCTTTCCATGCACCCGACACGCTAGAAAGCTTGTCATCATCCTGAGATGGCTGGAGGCAGCAGCAGCTTGTTGTTCTCAATTTTTCTCTTCAGGGGGGGTGCTTCAAAGAGGCACATGGCACGGGAATGCTGAGGCGCTTTTCTTGCCATTCATCACTGAAATATAAACAGCCTATAGCCCAGCCTCAGCACTCCCGTAGTCAAAGCGGATCCGCGGGCGCGGACACGAAAAACACCCGTCAAATGACGATCCCTGAGTCAGGATCCGCCTGGAAGATTGGAGTTGAGCAAGGCGATAAAAGCAGCGACGGGCAAAGAACGTGCGGTTCGGATCTTAGCGCCTTGGCAACCTTCCCCTTCGGCGATGAAAAAGGCCATCGCGCGGAACAATTCCAGAAAGAAATCGATTGAACGCCAGCGCCGAGTGCCCGCAAAGTTAATCAGCTCGAAGTCGTGGTCTGCTACGAAGACCGCATCAATCCCGCAAGCCTCCTCTTGACCGCAAACTCCGGGAGGAGAACTCTACGCTGGCTTGAAATCCAAACTCCCGCACAACGACACAGGGTTGAGCTTTTTGGAGAATCGCGATCCCCAGCGAGAACCAAGTCGCCGACTAGCGAAAAACGAAGCAACTCGGCAGACTGTGTGCGCCGTACCCTGAATACATATTCTTTTTCTTTCTGCGAAAATCATTGTATCTGCATTCCGTCCACGGGCCCCGCTCGCAGTTTACGTACAGAGCATTCCTCCACCCTGAGAGGACGTTTGTACTGTAGCAAGAACCGGTGGAGGTCCAACGTAACCATGGTTGATCTCCGGGTAAAGACAAGCCCAATCAAAACCCCCGCCTCGCGGTCCTGCAATCACTACGGGTTTGGGGGAGCCCCAGGCGTGCCCCGAGGTCGGAATTTGGAGAACAAAAGCCTTAGTCTGTAAAGACTTAACTCCGGGACCCGGTGGCTAAAAGCGGCAACATGCTCGAGATTTGTTCCCGATTCTGAAAAGTAGGTTCTGATATTACCGCGTATTTCAGGTCTCATATCACTTTCTGGTCTTAATAACTATGGGTAAGGCTGACAGCCCATTCTCATGCATAGACCTACATCTAAAAAACGGTGGAATTGCGTTGATCCTTGCTGACGCCCGATTTACTGCATGCTATTTTGAGAGACAAAGAGAGAGTTTAGTGCAATGGCGCTGGGTGATCCTCAACGTGGATGTGCTGAATCTGCAAGCGAGGGTTCACAACATCAGCCCCAAGACGCACTTGGTTTGCAGCAGGATTTCCCGCCAATATCTTGCTCAATTCTCTCGGAGAAGCAGCCAACAGAGACAGGTCACGAAGTACCGCAATTCGTCCCCATCACAACCACCGACGAGAAAAATGGAATTGCGGAAAAAGATTATCAACGCCATGCAGAAAATGGTCGTCAGAGCGCGGAAGACGCATGCCAGCTCTCCTTCTCCCAGTACACCAGCGCTGACGGTGGCGCGCCGTTAAGTCCGCGAATGTCCACGGATCCTCAGGGGAATACCTACCCCGAAGGCGGGAGAGAAGCCTATGTGGTAGTAATAGGCTCCTTTTTTGCCCTTTTCGGCTCCCTGGGCCTCTCCAACACGATAGGAACATTCCAGGCTTGGATTTCCGTCCACCAACTCAAGGATTACAGCCAAAGCTCCATCAGTTGGATATTCGGAACCTATACATTTTTGATGTTTTTCGGCGGTCTTCAGGTCGGCCCGGTCTTTGATGCGAAAGGTCCCAAGTGGCTCGTCCTGGCCGGCACCATTTTGACCGTCCTTAGCGTCGCCCTTCTCGGCTCATGCGAACAGTACTGGCACTTCATGCTTGTATATTCCATCATAGGAGGCATAGGAATCACGCTCGTTTTCACACCTGCAATCGCCAGTCCCGGTCACTTCTTTTACCGCTTGCGAGGACGTGCCACTGGCCTTGCTGCCACCGGGGGAAGCATTGGAGGAATCGTCTTCCCGCTCATGCTGGATAGTTTATACGCGAAAGTCGGATTCGCATGGGCTACCCGCGCTGTGGCATTGGTCAGCCTTGTCACGATGTCGGCTGGCTGCCTTCTGATGAAATCTCGGTTGCCAAAGAAACGTGCAACCAAGGAAAATATCCTCCCTGACCTGCGCATCCTGATGGAGCCTGTTTTCGCGTTCACCACGGCTGGGATATTCTTCATTGAATGGGGCCTCTTCATTCCCATCACATTCATGACCTCTTACGCCCTCCATCATAATATGCCACGCGGATTATCCTATCAGCTGCTCGCATTGCTCAACACCGGTTCCTTTTTCGGCCGCTGGATCCCTGGATTCACCGCAGACTATATGGGACGCTTCAACACCATGATTGCGACAGTCGTGTTGTGCCTCTTGTCCACCGCTTGCCTGTGGCTTCCCGCCGGAGACAGTATAGCCATGATGGTTGCCTATGCCCTCATCTTCGGATTCGCCAGTGGCAGTAACATTAGTCTGACACCGGTCTGTGTCGGACAAGTCTGCAAAACAGAAAACTACGGTCGGTACTATGCAACAGCATACACTGTTGTTAGCTTTGGGTAAGCACCAGTCCAATTTTCTTTTTTTTTCCCTTCTCCTTCTCCTCGACTTTGTATAACTGGATACTGTGAAGGTACTAACCTGAATGAATCACCTAGAACCCTGACTGGAACACCCATTGCGGGGTCAATCCTTACCCGTAACGGCGGTGATTACTGGGGCCTCATCACCTTTACATCCTGCTGCTATTTTGCTGGACTCATCTGCTTCATTATTGCCAAAGTCCTCCGAGTCGGATGGAATCCACTAATCATCGATTAGATACTTAACCATATGCTCATGAAGTTGTCGCAAGATGGAACAAAATGACGCCACGTAACCTGGACTAATACTAACAAAATTAAAAAGTTTGAGTAGAGATACATCTCATGGGGTAGTTTAACTCCAAGAGACACAAAAAGCAAAGAGGTGTTTTGGCAACTCACGTTGAAAATTTATTTCCTCCTAAATTAACTAATCAGCAGCTAATGCTCGATCTATGCTACTGGTTCTCATAATAGATTTTTGAACATCATACCTTTCGTGCTTGGATAGATTAACGACAATTGAATCTGTTTCTTTATTCATTATCTATTCTCAATACAGGATAATAATTGAGAAGCCTTAATCTAGTCTATCGGCTTGTACAGACAACAAGCCAAGTCGCTGAGCCGGCACTGTATCAAATCAACACTTGCAATAAACGGCGATGCATTGTGGGGGGTGTGAAGTCGGCATCTGATAAAATAGCATAAATTGCGGACCTGTCGAAACAAAATCCTTCGACATCATCATTTTAATGAATATTCACCATCTCCGCCCAAGGCCTCACCTTTGTCACTGGTCCTTTATATGTATGCTTTGCGTGCATGAAATAGTAACCCAGCGCACAAATCACTACTCCTCCAAAGATTGCACAGCTCCAATTCATCGTTTCCAAATTTACCTCCCGCCTGAGCGGGAAGAATGCACAAACCCACACCACGAGAAGGAAAAGAATCGCAAGGGTCTCCACAGTGCTTGCCCATTTACCCATGCTCCACCGCGCAGGCGGTAAAGGCTCCCCACGCCAGCGCTTAAGACGTACGCAGGAAATGGAAATGATATAGGAAGATAGGAGAGAGGCAACACCAAGAGAGAGGATGGCGTTGAAGGCGACAACTGAGCCAATGTTGATGAGCGCGAGTAGGCAAGTTATTATAAAGCTAACCATGAGCGCGTTCAATGGGACAACAAAGCGGCGGTTGACCTATTGGCAAGTAAGCTCTTGTTTCCGGGAGAAGCATGAACAGGAAATACCTTTGAGAAGAAGTGTGGAAATGGGACTCCACCGTCACGAGCAAACGCATAAAGCTGCCGTGACGTTGAAGCCACATTGCTGACAGCACTGCAGGCCTGGAGAAGCATGATGATTACTGTCATGCCAGTGGTACCGCCAACAGAGCCAGTGGTTTGCAGGAACACATAGATGAATGGAAAGCCATGACTGTGCTTAAGAGCTTCCTGCGCGCTCGGGATACAAAACACGTATGTGATGAGCATGATAAAGCCGACTATGCCATTTAGGGCCAACGTTCCTAGCATTGCTACTGGCAATGTTCGCGAGGAATCTTTAATCTCCTCGGCTGCGGGCTTCGTGTTAATGTAGTCCGATCCAACCTAAGCTTAGAACGTACATACCCATGTGAACAGCAGCATCAGGGCCTAACTCGGTGTCAGAACCATTGATTTATCCTTGTCATGGCTTGGAACTAGATACTTACCTATAAGAGCGTAAACAGGACCTACCAGGCCGAGGATGCATGCCCCGGCCCTACTCCCCCATCCACCGTTGTCTTCTATGGTGCTAAACACCTTAGATGCTGAATTCTTCTCACCCTTCACCCACAAGGGAATTAGGATCCCGAAGAAACCCAAAACATAAAAAACTAGCATGGTACCCTCAATCAAAGGTAGCCTGGGGGCAAGCACGGTATTGAAGATCATCGCAATGAAGGCAACCGCTATGACGAGGAGCGTCCCATGCCATGGTTGTGCTATATATGTATCAGGGTGATTTATTTCAATGATCCCAATAATCATGTTGGCGACGGTATAAGCAGATCCCGCAATGCCTGTATGCCAACCCAGCACACAAACCCAGCCGCTAACATAGCTAAGGAGTTGCTGGTATTCATTGGGAGCAAACTCAGAAATCCAATGGTATTGTCCTCCCGAGATTGGAGCCCTGTGTGACATTAGACGATGGATTATGTACCTATAGAGAACACGAAACTCACATGGAGGCCATCTCGGCCATGGACAAGATCACAAACGTAAAGCCAATAATCCCGGCAATATAGCTGTACACCATCCCACCAATTCCGCCATTGGTCAAGCCAACGGAACTCCCACTGGGTGAAGAAAGTGTTTAATTCAGAAGGCAATATAGTTAACGGACACAGCGAAATATCACTCACAACATCACTGACTCCCAGGTGGCCATGAGGACTGTCGCGAACCCTAAGATGGTAAAGAATCGGAAGTTCCGCTATATCAACGGTCAAGAAAGATTGCATATGATACCAAAGCATAATATTCCTCACATTGAGCTCCTGGTGTACTCCGGCCCGCCACATGTCCTTTTTGTCCTGCCATGTCCCACCACTTTCCTTCGCAATACTGTCATCCTGGGTCTCGTCGTCCACTGGGACGCTAGAAGCACCGGTCTCCGTTTTTAATTCAGCTGCTAAGGTATCGGGCATGATAACAGTTCAGGCCCACGGACGATAAGAATTGAGAATTGGATTATCACCGGAAACCGAACGCGATGTAGGAAGAGTTCGTAAATCAGGGAGAAAAGAAGGAGGAAAGGCCAGATCTTTCCCAGAATTCAGAAGAGAACTCGGGAGGAATTTTGGTCCACTCAGCTGGAAATGTTTCGTTTTCGTCAGCCCTGTGGATGGATATGTATTGTAACATCTTGCTTGATTGGCATATTACAAGGGAATGCCGGATCCGTTGTGTAGGCGGTGAGAAAGCGATTTATCAGTCACCTCCCTCGCTACGGAGTATAATCACCCCCTGTCAAAAGAAATTGTGCTGAATTCCGGGCCTGTCGGGTGTAGAACATCCCTGTGTTCCCGGGAGGCTGGACGGAAGGGTACGAATGTAAACGGGATATCGAGTAATGAACCGGGAAGCCGAGTACTTGGAATATGAATGCGATAAAAAGGGACATGGCTCACTCTGGGAGTGTGACTCGCACAATTTAGAAAGAGAGAGGGGACACAGAGCTCTGTCATATCAGCAATTGCGCGGGGTTATGGAGAGTACAACACGCAAGAGTGTTAAAAAAAACCCCTGTTGGATTTCCTGGGTAGACGCATTCCTGCGTTGGGGGATTGACGCGCTCTCAGCGATATGACGAAACGATAGAATCCATCCCCTCAAGGATAAATGCCATACCCGCTAGCAGAACCTATGAAGCCGTCGAGAGCTTGGTCTGCCAGCCCATCGAAGGTGTGGTCGATGAAAATTTTTCGTCTTCTCGCCTTCTCGCCTTTTCACAGCTTCACAGTAGCTATGGTACTCCTGTTTTGGCACTCCGCACAAAGCACAGAGTACTCCGTACATAAAGTAGATATTTTACTGGATACCTTGGGCTGGGCCCCGTTGTGCACGAGGCCTCCGTCACGTAGTCGATCGTCCGAACGACTGGGATTCCCCTGCTACCGGAATCGCCTATAGCAAGTCCAGAGTTAATGTTGGTTCACGAGCTAAATAAGTTAAGCTTCCCCAGGCCTCGACCTGGGAAGGTTACACCTTTTGCACTCGATCGTGACTACAGATATCCCGAAAATTGAGCTTCCACTCGTCTGATTTCTCTTGTTGCCGCGGATGTTCCAGACGCCCTTTATGTCCGCTGAGTTCAGAGTTTCAAGGCTGCCGTAGTTCCGCCCTAGTTACAATGTCGATCCTGCGACTATTTCATCGCCAAACGCCAAACGCAAAACAAAAATGCCACCAAATGGTCTTTACTCCTGAGGGTGTGATAATTGGCCGGCTGGGAGAGGCCGCGAACCTTCCCGTAAAGTTGCGTGCCCAAGGCTGCTGACCACTGACTCTGGCTGGATTGGGTGACACAGAAAGATCGTCCTGTGATAATTCCGATGAAGAAATCGTATTAATTCCGAACGCCCGTCCTAAATATCTCTTGAAGCTCTCTCGAGCTTCTCGAGGATTCCACACTTCATCTTGCAGATAAAGTCTTTTGCGATGGGTTCCGCAGTGATTCGCTTCTTGCCGCTCTTTGGCCTTGCTCTCCTCAAAGTCCCTACCAGCAGTGCGCTTTCGATTGATAAAGAAGTTATCACTGCGGACGTATGCATTATCGGAGGTGGATCGACCGGAACATACGCCGGTGTCAAACTCAAGGATGAAGGCAAAAAGGTAGCCATCGTCGAGCGCAACGATTATCTTGGCGGGCATATCGGAACGTTATACGTGGATGGCGAGCCCGTCGACTACGGCGTTCAGGGTTTCTTCAACACCGAAACAACGACGAAGTACCTAAATCGGCTCAATGTACAATATGAGCCCCTTTTACCCGCAACACTCGACAACAGATACGTTGACTTTCGAACGGGAAAGACAGCGCCGTATGATGGGAACGTTGTCAACATAACGGCGACCCTGCTGTTATATTCTGCGGTGGTTTCGAAATTCGAGGGGATCGCAGATGGAAGCTTCAACCTGCCCGACCAGGTTCCAGATGAACTCTTGATGCCTTTCGGTCAATTCGTCCAGAGGTACCACTTGGAGGGCGCCCTACCCCTGGTTTGGACATTCGCTCACGGCTCTGGCAACATGCTGACCGCTCCCACCCTATATGTGCTCCAGCTTTTCGGACAGCCGCATGTCAACGCGCTCCTGCGAGGCTACGTCCGGGCAAAACGTGGAACTGCCGAGGTTTATAAAAAAGCTGCTGAGGTCCTCGGGTCAGATGTCATCTACAACAGCCAAATCCTAAAGGTGACACGTTCTGACAGCGGGGTCACAGTTGTTGTACGTATGAAAGATGACAAGTTCAAGCAGATCCGCGCCAAGAAGCTGCTGGTCACGATGGTTCCCACTCTTCGCAATCTCGATCCCTTTGATCTCGACCAGAAAGAGGAGTCTGTCTTTCGGCAGTGGATGTGGAAGAATTACTACGTCGGCATCGTGAAGAACAGCGGCCTCCCGGAGAAGGCAAGCATCGTTGATGTGGACCCAACAAAGGCTGCTTCCCTTCCACATATGCCTTTTGTCTGGCACTTGGATTATATGGGAGTCCCCGGGTATCACGCCGTCAAGATCGTAGGAGACTCGGAGTTCACGGAGTCCGAGGCCAAGGACCTCGTCCTCGGTGGTATCAGGCGTATGGGTGCTGCAGGAACTTTTCCAATCTCAAATCCCGAGCTTGCCACTTGGAGACGTCACATCCCATTAACCCTCGCTGTTTCGAATGAAGCGGTGAAGGGCGGATTCTACAGAGATCTGTATGCATTGCAAGGCCACAAGAACACTTTCTATACGGGTCTTTCGTTTTGTTCGGATTATTCAACGTTGCTTTGGGATTTCACGAACAAAGTGCTCGAGCAGATGGACGTATGAGAGCCGGGAAGGATGAAGCGGACCGGGGCGTGGAATGCGTTTTGCGATCTCTCATTGCGTCTTTGGTTAAGTCTTTGGAATTATTTCCAAAGAGTTAGGTTTGCTAGTGTGAAGTTACGTTAGTGACTCTGGAAACAGGCGAATGCATGAGCAGATATAGAAACCTGTCGATGCCCTTTTTTTTTTTTTTTCTAATTTCTTTTTTTATCTTTTTGGCGCGTTTCGGTCTATGCCAGCTTCTTGTTTCCTGTAATTATGGTTTTCGCTTTCTTTGAGCTAGGCATTTACATCTTTTTAAATCCTTCACCGGAACCAGACATCGCGACAACAGTACATCAAGATGTCTCCAAAAGTATGAAGATAAAGTTTCCTCCTTCAGAACGCGAGGCCTCAAACCGCGGGTCTAGCTGAGGTTGACCGGTGTGCCGGCCACCGTTCCCACCTGCCACATTCCTTCACCGGAACGTCGCGGCGATCCCATCTTCCGAGCAGGGCAATGCTCCGGAATGATGGCGTTCTAATAATTAGTTTACAATTAATCATAGTTAAACCTCAATCTGAAGATGTGTTGCGGTGGGGATTCCGGTTGTTCCGATCCGAGGCTCAACTCTTATCCCGAAATATGCCCGCTAGAGAGTCCTATACGGACTAGATAGATTGCAAACAGATAGAGAATCATGCTTATAAAGCTGTTGATCTTACAGTGATTGTGAGGCCTGTACGGAGTATGTTTAGCTAAATGGTTCTTAGTTGGCCTCCTATCGTTTTTCTCTCCTTTATTCAATATATCTTGAGCACATCACCCTATCACTTAATTCATTTGGACTGTAGTACCCAGTTACAAAAGAATAAATAATCCCATGCCCTTTGCAACCACCTCTCTTGTGTCTTCTTGACGGAACATTTGGAAGTCGGCATCTAACTGCTGCTGGCGCAGCTCATAGTATTGCTCAAGGTGCTCGTTGAGCTTACGTCCGTCAATCTTCAGGCGTAAAGGGGCTAGATTACCGCCGGCTGTGTTGCTGGAAATCCGCGTCATTGTGACAGGGATGACCTGCTGCATCGTACAATTATAAAGCTAATGAAACATGTCTATATGTTCAATGCTCCTGAAGAGTGATGTTCTGATGTTTGTTTCTGTTGTTGCCTCAATCACCGCTGGATAGTGGCCCATAAACCATCAGGCAGTTAGCCCTCGCGATTTTATCTTTGGTTCCACCGGCGTCTCCTTTTTCTTTTTCTTTTTCTTTTCTTTTCTTTTCTCCATTTTTTTTTTTTTTTTTTTTTTTTTTTTTTTTTTTTGGGTTGGTTGGGGGGAGGCGCTCTGGAGGCAGCAGGACTGCATGATTGCATGTACTCACTCTGCCTCCAGCGCTACTCTAGGATGAATGCAGGATTTTGGCAAAATCCAGGTTTCCTCTTAATTATATAGTGAGGTATCTCAGCATACAATTTTATATCAGTTGCTTGCTGAGCGTATACTGCCTACATTCGTCCTTTGTTTTCTACGATGAACACCAATAATACCACTTAATGGGCGGCGAAATGGAGTTTTAAGAGTTGGAGAAATTTGACGACAAGAAAACACAGATAACCGAGGTGACCATTTGGAGCTGCGAGACATGATCGGTGGAGTCTGTGGTGCAGTTGCGTCGAAGCAGACATGCTTTTTAACCATCCGATCGATACTGTAGTCCGGCTTGGCATGGTCACGGCCAGCCATCCGAGCTGATCCAACGAAGCAAATCGAAACCTGGTGCTTTATGCGTGGCGACCCGCCTGCCAAACCCCCATCCATGTTAACCTTAAATACTCCAACGTTTGACCAAACCCATGGCATCCAGCGACCTCCTCCGTTAGATCGCATGTCTCCGAAACCAATCTCCATCCCAGCCAGGGCTCAAATGCTGCCTTGTGATGACGGTAAATCAACGCGGGTGACCCTGGCAAAATTCTGGATCAATATAGCCGTGCGAGATGGTCTGTGTTGGCCAAAACCTGCCAACTCCCCGGCTCAAAGGGATCTTGCTCAGGTTCCAGGAAATGTGACTGTTGCTTGCGTTGGTACCCAATCAGGTCAACACTTTCCCGAGATAATGTCTGCTTTTCTCCGTCAGCTCGCTTCACTCCAAGAGATAAGGTCTCCAGAGTGAATGCCAGTGGTTTGTCCTAGGAAAACTCGTCACGTCGCAAAGATTGATCGAACGAGAGCAACGCCGGTGCATTTCCATGACTACACCTGTGCTGTACTCTGAAAGGCTTCTCAGCCCGTACTCCATCCTCTGAACGCCGTAAGCGTGTGCGGAAAAGTCTGTGTGCTTTACCATATCCCATGGTCAATCAGCTGATAAAGGGAAAAGAATAAGAGATGTGGTGAGAGGTAAAACCGGGTCGCTTTTGGGGGTACACAAGCGATGCAACGGATGACATTCGGGTCATGCTCGATGTGTTGTCAATAAGCCTCTTCTCGCCTGGGTGAACCCTTTGCCAGGATTCTGTACGGCAACTGGCCGTTTTGAAGGTCTGCTGCATCTGCGGTGGACGGCTGTTAATAGCTGCTCCGTCTGCACGCTGTTTAGTATTTATCGGTTGGAGAGTTTTTGCAAGATTTCGCTAGTTCTCGGACTGCCCCACTGCCTATTTTTGGTCGATACGGGAGCCATACGGATCCCGACGCAGCGTCTCTGGTGGAGGGCCATCGAGAAACGACCGTATTTTACCTGAGACATTGCTTTGTGAGCGCGGACGTCGGCTATCCCAACTGGGTAACGCTGGACGTCGCTTTGATCGATCGCAGTCTCGACGCAGAAAAGCTCACGGCAACAGACACACCGGCAGCCATTTCCCCAGCAAAGTTTATCCTTCCAGCCGTCAGCATGGTGAGTTAAACTTCATTTTTATTGTGAGCATCGCTAAAAAAATCCTTTTAGTGTCTTGATCCCATCTTGGCATCAAAGAAAAACGTGCAGCGCTAGCTCCTGGTTACCATGGTCACCTCCCAACGGCCCACATCAGCGCTCTCTCACTTCGGCGGATTGTTCTGTGCCTATAGCCGTATTCCAACGTATGGGTTCTCGAGACAGGACGCTCGACTGTCCTGATCCTCTGACACTCTCACGCTCCAATTCGCAGTGCGAGAGCTTCAGAGCTTCACGTGGCGAGAGAATGTTTCTATTCTTGTTCTTTGGGCGGCATTGTCACTAGCTGAATACCACGCCCTCTGTCGACTTCAACTCGGGTTGATGGCTGGGAACTTACCAATATTAAGACATTGTTCCACTTTGGCTCCAGCCTCGCCTCCCGTCTCCCGCCGCCGATGATGACATTTCCTTGCGCTATTATGGTTCCTATGGGGACCGTTTGGAAAACAGTGCAAATGTCCTCCATGAATATATATACAGAGAAAAATGCGTGTATATATATTGCTCCCCCCGTGCCCGCCTTGTTCTTCGATTTTGTGAAAATTCATATTTTGCCTTTAGGACATTCGTTTTACCCCAAGTGACGCAAAGAGCAACTTTCGCTGGATCAGCGGTGCAGTCGTTCGTTTGACCACAAACTGTAATATATCCAGTCGCTTCTCTTTGAGGGTTGCATTTACCTCCTCCATTTCACGAAATGCGGTCTCTCCACCCAGTCTTGCTGGGTGCCTTTGTGGGCGTAGCATTCGCTTTTCCGGGTCGTCACTACTACCCGAGCTCCCCGTTTCCCACGGGCGGAATCACGCATCAGCCTCCGTTATCAACAGGTGATGGTGTTGGACCCGGTCCGGGCCCTCAACCGACGCCCTCGGAGAATAATCCACCTCCTGAAGTTACTACAGCGACTGATACCATCACAAAAACAACTTTCATCCCTTGCTCAACGCCCGTTGCCTCAGGGAGAGGCACCACCTGGTACAGCACATGGCTTACAATGTCAATCTATACGACAACCACGTGCTATCCAGTCACTCAAACCCACACGCCGCCTCCGCCATCAACTACGCCTCCTTGTGAGGGAGAAAACTGCCACGTCCCGCCTCCGTCTCTATCTCTACCTCCTCAATGTCCGACCCAAGCCACTGTTACTGTGACAGTAACCAAGACGGAATGTGGAGCCGGATGCATTCCTCCCACGTCTACTCCAGAGATGCCATCGCCGTCTGGGGAACCGGGGCATCCTTCACCACCTCCCTGCCAACAGTGCTCGACCTTCACGATCACTGATATTCATAGTTCAACAATGACCATCGTGGTTCCGCCTCAGACACCTTCCGTCCATCCCACTCCATCGAAATCACCCCCACCATTCTCTCCTCCCCCTGGAACAGGAATTCCTCCACCGTCTACAACAAAATCTCAGCCGCCAACCACCGGGACAAACGTCCCTTATAAGAGATACGGCCAGCATCCAAGATACTTTTAAAGCAGCATCACTGAATTATATACATACAACAAAGTGATGTATTCAATTTACAGGAAGTTCTGCTTTGTTTTCCCATTTGCATGCTAAGCGACCGCAACTTTGCTGATTAGTTTACTCATCTTTTCATGTTTGCATTTTATCCTCTAATGTCAGCGTGCATGAGCGTCTGTCAATGTCTCTCCTTCTCTTACCCTGGTGATTTAAATTTGTTTGCATACCACAGTTTATGACCCCAACCATGCTGTCCTTAATGGCTATGGAGATATAGCCTCCTGGGAAGTCGATTACGCTCCCTTTTGAAATAATGCTGCTTCTGTGAAAGCTCGAGATGTTAGGTACTGAGTACATTAGGTAGTTTGCGGAATAAGACCGTGAAATCGAATATCTCGGAACCTAGGCCCTCCGTCCTCAGGTCTATTCGAGGACGGGCCGTCTGCTGGGTAGGCGCAATGATTTTTCTGTTCGCTCTCATCCATAAAGCTGTCAAGCCCCTCATAGAGCTCCGTTTACCAACTTTGTATAAGGGTCGCACTGGCCCCGACACTGAAAGCCATGGCAGGGAATAGAAGAGGAGACAACTCTCAATTCACAATTGACATGATTATTGCCGAGATAGAGGGTTGGAAACCCCTCTGGTGTGTGTTTCTGCCGGAATTATTCCAGTAGCTATAATGTGAACAAACGGAACTTCGGCACCAACAAGAAAATTTCACTTCACTCCCAAACAAAAATCTCGGAGCAAATCAATTCAAGTAGCGTAAACGGCCATGGCTACTTATTGAGTTGCCTTTTCATGCACTACTGGTCCAAGTATGCAGTGAAATAGCGGAGCTTCCCAACTTCGATTGTTGACGCCCACCAACCCATCTGACATCTAGGTCTGATGATTTCGATGTAGCCATCACGCCCTCAAATCCAAATCGTTCCCGGTACATAAGCCTCTCGGGATGTGGGTGGGGCATATAAGTTTGAGGATATCATTTCACAAAAGCCCGGGCTATTTGATTGGTATGGTCTGAGACATTTTCCGCGGCACGCGCTTTGGCAGGTGTCTTTTGGTCACCCGATGGGGTTATACCTACCTTTGTTTCTTCCCCCTCCAATAAATACGAAGCACTGGAGCTGAATCAACCTCTTGTCTCGATCACTGCAAAGGGCTTTTGACCAGAGCCTCGACGTTTGGCCTAGAGCATAGATAAAAATACCCCGTATATATGCTATCTAGGTTTCGTTAATGGACTCTTCTAGCCGGTTTGGCAAACCAATCAATGGGATTGACTTTAAAAACAAGTCAGAAATACTGCGCCCCCAGCTGGCGTTGTCGAATTGTCAATTACTGAGCGTCGATGGATACGAAAGCCCCGTCTGGCCGCATCGCAACATGACAGGCAACGTCGCTTCAACAGTGGGATCGATCACGAATACTTCAAGATATGTATTGAAATTCGAGTAGCTAAAAACAAAGCCCAGGAAAGAGGCACTGGAGGCCCAAATCATAATAAAGCGTGGCAAAGTTTTTGACGGTCCAAGCCTTCGTTAAGTAATGATTGATCCGTGCCCAAAAGTTGCTTGCACTAACCTGATAGCAGTCATTTGTGACTCAAAAATCATATTGCACTGGGATATATCAATCCACCTAATGTATAAACGAGAGTAGGCAAGACGAAGGGGAAAAAAAAAATAAAAAAAAAAAAAGATGACCTCTGTTCCCAAATCCTCATCCCACGGAGCTTTACCGAAAAAGTAAGATAGTTATCGGGGTATGCGAACCAACACATACATACACTGCAATCCATATTTCGCCCAAACGCCGTCCAACGGACTAAAAATAGGAGCGTAGACTGTCATGAAACAGATAGCCCATTTCATGATTCGAATAACCCAACCGGCTCAGTTAGGAAAGAAAGGTTAAAAAAGAAAAGAAAAAAGAAAGGAACACAAGAAATAATTGAAAGGAGAATTGGGCATAAAAAACCAGTGATCAAGAAATTAAAAAGCTCGTAAAATATATCTGCAGAAACCAATCCTTTTCCATCGCAGCAGGAAACAAAAAAGATGTCATCGTAAGAGTAAATTAGGTTTATAGCAGCATTCAAATCAGAAAACATAAGCGTGAATTAGGGGTAGCATTTAACTGCTATTTGATCGCAAAATCTGCTTCACAAGGAGTGTTAGACTCAACCATTGGGGTTAAATGGGATATTACTCACCGGCTCAGGAACGCTGGTTCGATTGGTGGCGGTAAGCGCACGAGACTCGAGCGATGGACGTTGATGTTTAGCCTCTGGCGATGACGCCCCGGCAAGAGTACTTGATGAATGGTGGCCTCCAAATCTTGAATCCTTGCCTTTTTCGAACAAGGGGCTACCAAGTGTCGCGCACTTGAGAATGGTCTGCATCATCTGGTTTTGTTTCAGCGGTTTGGCCAGATACTCGTCCATTTGAGCCTGTAGACATTTCTCTCGGTCTCCCAACATGGCGTGAGCAGTTAAAGCAATAATCGGCGTGCGCTGTAGGCCGTTTTCTTTCTCCCACTCACGGATCTTGCCTGTAGCCTCAAAACCTCCCATGATAGGCATTTGAACGTCCATCAAAATAACATCATAACGATGTTGCTTGACAGCCTCAACGGCAGCTAGACCGTTACTCACGACAGTCACGCCGTGATTGCATTTTTCGAGTATTTTAACTGCAACCTTTTGGTTGACGTCGTTATCTTCGGCCAGTAAGATGTCAAAGGATCGGGTATTATCCGTTGTGAGAGGAGTGGAGCGTCCTTCAAGTGCTGGAAGCATGCCATTACCCAGATCAATAGGCCGGCACGGAGTAGTCATATATGACGTGATACCCAGGTCCAGAGCCGACTTCAAACTAACCGACACAACAGGGCATAAGAGGACAATCGGAATGTATTTGAATTCGCCAAATGTTCGGAGTGTCCGTGCCGTCTCGACGGAATCAACAATGATGACATCGTATGCATGACCAGATTCCTTTCCTGATGAATCTTGGATTTCTGGGGGAGGAACGTTAGTCTCGCTGCGAACCACAAGTGGCTCCAATCCTAGTTGTCGAAGCATACGCGTGATGCTCAGAGCATCGTCGCCTGTTTCGCCTTTATCGATGAAAAGCACATGGTGGTTCTGATACGGCAAAAGCTGTGGTAAAATCACGTCAAGAGACTGATCAGCTAAGTTCACTTTGCAAGTAAAATGGAACGTGCTGCCGTGACCGAACTCTGATGTTACCCAAACATCTCCTCCCATCAGATTTACTAATCGCTTCGAAATAGATAATCCAAGGCCAGTTCCACCAAACTTTCGGGTTGTTGATCCATCGGCTTGTTGGAATGTGTCGAAAATCATATCCAATTTATCTTCTTCAATGCCAATACCAGTATCTGAAACAGAGAATTCAAAGGCATATTCCTCGTCCTGGCAGAGTTCTCTTGTCGACTTACTAATCGTAAGTTTGACTTCTCCATGCTCTGTGAATTTGATGGCATTTCCGACCAAGTTCAAAATAATTTGTCGCAAACGGAAAGGGTCTCCAATAACGTAATCCGGAACGGAACTGTCGACCTGGTATGTGAGGTTCAGGAATTTTTCATTCGCCTTCACAGCTAGAGTCTTCAGTGCGTTGAATACGGTGCCTCGCATCGTAAATGGAATGCTCTCGATGACCATCCTGTTCGCCTCAATCTTCGAGATATCGAGAATATCGTCGATAATTGTTAATAAACTGTTGGCAAGACTGTGCACAACATTTAGCATTTCACGAGGGTATGGTTTTAGATCATCCGTATCAAGCGTCAGCTGAGTCATGCCGATAATACCATTCATTGGTGTTCGGATCTCGTGGCTCATGTTGGCCAGGAATTCTGACTTGGTTCGATTGGCCAATTCTGCAGCCTCACGAGCCTGTGTGTTTCGCTGGATACTGTCACGCAAGTTCGAAACCATCTTGTTGATCTTCCGCTTCAACTCGTCCATCTCACCGGACGCATTCACAGTGATTAATTTAGTGAAATCTCCATCGGTGGCCGCATCGGTAATTTCTCCGAAAGCGCGAACTTGAGCTGTAAGGTTGTCGGCCATGGTGTTGACGTCCTCGGTGATCTCTTTCCATCTACCGGAGATGCCTTCAACGTTGGCTTGACCACCCATCTTGCCATCCACACCAACATCACGCGCGACACGTTTGAGTTCGTGAGCAAAGTTAGCAAGCCGGTCCACCATGTTATTGATCGTATCTTTCAAGGTAAGAATTTCTCCTTGAGCATGCACTTCGATTTTCCTGCTAAGGTCACCCTTTGCAATAGCTTGGGTGACATCTGAAATGGCACGGACTTGGATTGTAAGATTCTGCGCCATGGTGTTGACATTGTCGGTCAAATCTTTCCATTTGCCTTCAACATTATCTACCTTCGCCTGACCACCCAGGATTCCGTCAATTCCAACCTCACGCGCGACCTTGCTGACTTCGAACGCGAACGTATTCAATCTATCCACCATGCTGTTGATAGTGTTTTTCAAATCTGAAAATTCTCCCTTGACATCAGAGGTCACCTTCTTCGTAAGATCTCCCCTAGCCACGGCTGTGGTAACATCGGCAATTTCTCGGACTTGAGTCGTCAAATTCATAGCCATTCCGTTGACATTTTCGGTGAGGTCCTTCCAGGTACCCTCGACATCATGAACGGTGGCTTGACCGCCAAGAACGCCATCTGTGCCGACTTCCTTCGCAATTTTCGTAACTTCTTGGGCGAACTGTTTGAGTTGATCAACCATAGAATTGATGATTGTCTTCATGGCGAGAATTTCGCCCTTGCAATTTGCCTTGACTTTTTGTGTAAGATCGCCTTTGGCCACAGCAGCTGTTACGGTTGCGATGTCGCGCACTTGGGTACTCAGATTTTCGGCCATGGCATTCACATTGACAGTCAATTCATTCCACATGCCTTGGACGCCGTCGATTTGAGCTTGTCCGCCCAAGACACCTTCAGTACCGACATCGCGAGCGACGCGAGTGACTTCTGTAGCAAAAGTGCGGAGCTGATCCACCATGGTATTGATAGTTTGTTGAAGTTCCAGAATTTCACCTTGACCCCAGCTCTTAATCTTTTGGCTGAGATCACCGTGAGCGACAGCGGTGGTAACCGTTGCAATCTCGCGCACTTGATTTGTTAGATTGGAAGCCATGAAGTTAACGTTGTCAGTCAACTCTTTCCAAATACCGTGAACACCGGTGATTTGAACCTGGCCACCAAGGATACCCTCGGTTCCTACCTCCCTCGCTACCCTTGACACTTCGCTTCCAAAGACTTGAAGTTGGTCCATCATAGTGTTGATGGTGCGCTTGAACGATGTGATTTCAGGGTCCATTTCAAGTTGGTGGATCTGGACTTTCATTGAAAGATCGCCATTAGCAACCTGAGTAATAATACCACCGATTTCTCGTAAAGCTTTCTGGAAGGCCTCATTTGCCTGTTGATGCTTCTTCAACTCGCGTTCCAAAACACGGACATCTTCATGTTCAACCTTCACCAGCGCCTGTTGTGTGCGTTCCTCCTGGTGCCGCAATTCCTCTCGCACTTGAGAAATGATATCCTTTTGAAGTTGGATCTGTTCGGCTTGTAGCTGGACTCGATTTCGCAAGTAGCTGATGTTATCTTCATAGTTGTCCTCGCTATCGCTATCTTCGTCGTTTACTTCATCACTATTATCGACGGAGGATTCGTTGTTTTGTCCGTTTTTTAGACTACGAGCGCTCATTAGGCTGGAGGTACGTCCAGATCGACGGGATGGAGGCTATAGGAGGTATGGTTAGACATGTCGGCAATAACCGCAGGGTCCAAAAACTTCAGACGAAAACAACTCATAATAACTTTTGTTCATAAAAAAACAAAGGCTGGAGGTTTAAAGGAAAAGCTGAAAGCTACATGAACGATGTTAAGCTTACCACAAAGGTTTGCATGGTGTTCACCCTCCGAACCAAGGCGGAAAGCTCTCTTTCCAGAGCAACCTTGCCTTCAGAATCCTCCCCAGGCAGTTTTACCTTCACCGAGTCGATACCATTGGTAGGCTGGGTCTGCTTGCGCCCGTTGAACGGCAAAGAAATGGATTCAGGAACATCTTTGGCCAGTCCTTGGATTATAGCGGCGGCCGCCGCGAGGGTCTCATCGCTGGAAGCCATCTTGCCTTCCTAAGAGGCAAGGTAAGTTCTACCTCCCCCCTACCGTATATGCTCGATGGATATGAAGACGAAGACGAGATAGATAGATAAATAGATAGATAGATGCGTGCGTGCGTGCAACACCAACTGCGCTAAAGGAGTGGAATGGACATGGGTGGCAGGACGCAGGTCAGAAAACGGGAGTCCAAACTCTGGGTTAAAAGAAGGATGAGGATCTTAGGATTTTGGAGAGTATGCGAGGAAAGCGATATTGAAAGTGAATTTTGGACAGTGAGAGAGTCTGGGGAAGAGAGAGAAGATGTCGAGAACGGTATTGCTTCGTCTGGGGATGCGGAGGAGGCTGCACTCGCTCAGGTTCAAGAGGGCGGATGAGGTGCAACGAGGTGGGCGGTTGTAAAATATCGGCTCTGTAAGGAGTTTGTATCGCCCAAAAGGCCGTAACTGAGGACACAGCGCTAAACCTTACATGGGCTAGCTTGGAGTCCTGGACCCACCCGATCCGCCTGAGCTTTGCTTGCGGGCTCTCCAGGAGAAAGGAACCGCCGCGCCCTGGGGGGTTCAGGCCAGCGTGCTCGGTAAGGCAGAGACGATGCGAGGGGTTGTGCTATTATTCCGTCATTATCCTTATAAAAAAGCAGCCATTCGATATGCCCAGAGTGGCGACCCTGCGAATGTGATATCACCTGCAGGCCAGTCGGGTGTCTGTTTTTGGCGAAGATCGGTGGTAAGTAACTAAACTAAGGTTAGGTAGGGTTTCCGACAAAATTACCGAACACCATTCTGTTGTCGGATCACCCTGCGCAGAACCCTGTACGCCTAGCGAAACCCGTATTGTTGGTTACCGCCGGATACGGGTTATGTAAGTACGGGCCTAACCAGACGTGGCCAAGCGTCATCGGCCATGCACTGACCACTTATTTTTATCTGAATCTGCATCCTAAGGTAGGTAGCCGGAGGTTGGACTGGAGGCTCTGCTCTGGTCGTCAATGAAGGATATCCTAGGTCTCTTTCCTATTACTGCCCGAGGTTACCGTGGGGGTTTGTGACTGGGTCTTTACATGTCTCTGCCCTGTCGCACTGGGCACCACAAGATAACTTCTGTGACAGCGCATCCTGTCGCCCAATGCTGAGTGCCTTGCAAGCCCTGCCGGGACGCTAGAGGCAACTCAGATGCATCGCACCCTACTTTCACCCGTGAAAATCTTGGAAAATGTAGGACTGGGAATTCCATACCGCTTTCCTTTAATTTGTTGGAGACTTCTTTGAGCAGAAAATCTGCTTTGCGTGCGCTGTCTACAGCGGGATAGGTTTCGCGCTGCCGTGCATCCATTAAATGTGTGGCCGGCTATTGACCCCCAAGTTCAAGATCATTGGCAGGAATTAAAATCCACCTCATCATCAGACCACACAAAAGCAGGTTGTGCGTGGACGGAAAGGCATGCTATTAGTATGAACCCCGCGGTAAGCTAGGACTTGGGCCACATTTAACATGCCATTCCCAGCCCTGCCAGATGGCGCCTTTAGCCCCGAGTCCTCAACCACTGGTAGTGTTAATCGCTTCTAAATCTACCGAGTCCAAGTCCTAAATTACGGGCCTCAAACATCATCGTAACTGATCACCATGAATCTAGGAAAGGCCTATGGAGTGTCATCCAACTTTTCCCTGATACATCCAGGCTATCCCGACATTGTTTTTCAATTTTGATGCAACGGTTTATATCCTATCGTACTATACCGCCCGTGAATTAGGTCTTAGGATCCTAAAAGTGCAAGCACAAAAAGCGTGGTGATTGCGACTATGTGCCAACGGTGGCCATCAGCGCCCATCGCTGATGTTTGATCAACTTCCACATCATCCTTGATCCAACGGCAATGATATCAAGACCAAATTAAGGCCGCGACAGAACCGCACTAGCTATCGGATACGCAGGTGAGATATTATCAAGAGTTTGGAAGGATTAGGATCCTGCGTGATCGGGCGTTGTAAATTGGGCGTTTCAAATAGTAGTGAAGAGGCATATTCAGATTCAATCTGCCGCAGTGAGTGGGATTGAGTATGTACAAGAGCCTCTTATACAGATCAATCCGGAGACATTCAGTTAATGAGCCAACGCAGGCAGTGATGCACTAAATTTTTGGGGAAAGGAGCTCAGCCAGCAACATGATACTCTCTATTTCCAATATCTTTCACATTGGGTCTCTCTTTACGGAGTACCTGGAGCTTCTCTTCCAAATAGGGCTGCCAATCTCATCCCTAGCTATCTTTTATAATATTATCAGCATACAATCATCTCGTAGCTTCAACTATTAGCTTCTCTAGGGACAGGGAGATTCAGGACTTCAGGTTATTCTCTATTGCACCTGTCTGAACATTCAGCATCTGCATCAGCTTACCCCTAAGTCTTAGGGTAATAGGTTGGGGGGTTCTAAGGTGAGATGTTGTCGAGTCTCAAATTCATGAAGTTCCTTCTGTCTAATGTGTCCTCTTTTATTCCATTCAAGACTAGTTACCCATGCTCCTTCATTCTAGTGCTTAAAACCTATCCGAAGAATGCATCAAGAAACAATAAGGGCTGTGTAGTGAAGTTTTGAAGAGAATCTTTCCACGAAATGAAGTCCTGCTTCCCCACCTGGGACGGCATATGTGTACCATATTTCAGAAGAAAAGCGAACTTGAATTGAAGCAAGTAACTCTTCCACGCAATGATGCAAAAGCCATTCGTGGGGTTTCGATATGACCTTCATGCTGAACTCATATGCCATGCTAAAAGGACACAAAGATCCATGGCCAATATTTATAAATTGGCGTTGAAAAAAAAAAAAAAAAAAAAAAAAAAAAAAAAAAAAAGAAAGAAAGAAAGAAAAAAGAAAAAAAAAAGGGAAAAAAAGGGAAAGAAAAAGGTAAAAGTATGTATACTCTGGTATCTACAGCCCAACTCTCGCGTGCAGTATCGAATGGCGCAGATGGCGCAAATGCAAAAGAAAATACAAAATAACACCGGAAAACCAAACCCGGACGTCAAGCCCCAATAATTGAAGCCTTTAGTTTCAAACAAAAGAAAAGGGGAAGATAGAAAGGACACCAATTTTCGGAATTTTTTTCATGTTTCTTTTTTTCTCTTTACGAAGCGGCCTGTCCTAGCCGCCGTCCTCTCCTCTCCAACAAGGTCGCATTGTCCAGACTCAGTTCGAAGGGCTGGTTCGCCGATCTAGCCGCATTCTCCCGTGCCGCTGCTGCAACGGCGGCGCTGTGTTGTCCATACCCGCCAGGTTGCTGATAGTGATGATATCTGCGTCCTTGACCCGCACCGGCAGCTGCTTGTCTTGCCTGTGCTGCGGCACTCGGCTGCGATGATCCCAAGTTTGTTGCACGGAGCTTTGATTCCATTCCTGCTACATCGGTAGCATCTGTGCGACGGACCTTGGACGGGAGAGAGGATGTAGCAGCGGCATAGTTGTCGTGGTCGTAATAAAGCATTTCTTCATCATCATCGTCGTCGTATTCATCGTCATGGTCTTCTGTGACGGGATTGAGGTCGCCCCGGTAGGGTCCTGCCATGTTGGCACCACGGTAGCCTTGTTTGAAATTTTTCCGCCGCTTGGCTTCTTCTTCTTGCCTATGGACGGCGTATCCGACATCAAAGACTTCACGAAGGTTTATTGCGCCGGGGGAGCGGAAATCAACCCTTCTGTCGTTAAAAGGTGTCTCGAGAAGTTGATTTTGGATCGCCAGAGGGGTAGCTAGTGGCGGGGCATCCTCCGCTGCGTGCGTCTCCTCGTTTGTTTGACGGATCCATGGGTGGTTTAGGAACTCACGAATTGTGTAGCGTTTTTCGGGATCGACCGTAAGTAAGTGTGACACAAGATCTTGCGCAGACTTTGAGATATCATCCCACCAGGGGGACAAGAATGTATACTGGCCACGCGCAACCTTCTCGGTCAAGGTCTGGATACTCTCGTCGTAGAACGGAGGAAAACCGCACAGAAGTGTATAGAGAACACATCCCAGGGCCCACATGTCGACGCTCTTAGAATATTTCTCGTCTTTGACAATTTCAGGAGCCGTATAACCGACCGTGCCACATGGTGTCATTGTTTCACTGTCCCAAATGACCTTTGATAGACCAAAATCGGCAACTTTGATCGTGCCAATTCCGCCCGCACCGACTCCTGGGATGAATTCTCCTTCATCCACCTTGTCTTCTTCACCAGGGACGGGAGGCTTGGGATTTTTTGTCGGAACATGAGGGATGGAATAGAATAATAGGTTTTCAGGTTTGATGTCGCTGGGAAATTATCAGTATCACGTCGGGAATACCAAGGACTGGTGTCTGGGGCTTACCGATGGACGACCCCGGACGTTTCATGCAAATATTCTATCGCCTTTGCAACCTGAACGATGACATGACGGCTTAGATTCTCGCTAAAGTAGGTTAAACGAACGATCTGATGGAATAGCTCGCCGCCGGGGCACAATTCAAGGACGATGTAGTAGAATTGTCGAGATTCGGAGAATTCGATCAACTTGACGATATTTGGATGATCTAGCTGGCGCATTATTTGAACTTCTTTGAGGATGTTGGCTCGCTACATGGCAAATAGACTATCAGCTCACGGAACACAGTAAGAGCTGACTTCTTGGCATCTTAAGAGGCAGAATTGGCATTAAAGGACCCAAGAGCCAACCCCAGAAGGATGAGTGGAGGCTCACCTCTACTACGTGAGGCTTCTTTTTGAGGTCCGGATGAAGATGACGATCTCCCTAGAAAAGGATCGCCAAGTTGGCACTCGATAAACCAAATAAACCCCTTTTTTCTGTTTCTTTTTTTCTTTTTTTTTTGCAGCGATAGGAAGGCAAACATTCTAACAAGCGAATTGGGTATAACTAGGAAAGAAACGAAGAGCAAAGGGTGATTCCCGCAGGTGTTATAGAGGAGTAATGTTTGGGGGCGCGTACCTGTTTGGCGCTCATCTCGAACTTGCGAACCACCTTGATCGCGACCTCGCCGTATTTTCCTGTGCTGTCCCGAGCGCGGTACACATTGCTGAACGCACCGTCGCCCATCTTCTTTAGTAGTATCCAGCGCTCCAGGCCCGGGTAGGAAGGCATTGTAGAGCTGTTCAATTTCTCCTCGGCAACAATCTGTTCGATCTCCTGTTCATGGGCACGAGAGGGTTTCACGGTAGCGGCGGACTCCTGCTGCGACGGCTGCGGGTGTTTCTGGTCGTACTTCGCGGCCGTGTGATCAAGGCCACCGAACCCGGCATATTGTGGCTGCTGTGACTGTGGTTCTCTCTGGCGCTCCACGTGGACGGCGGTGACATTGGTGGTAGGTTCGCCATGAGGGGTACCAGCGCGGGCTTGTTTCCCATGGCGGATGAAATTTTTAAGGCTCTGTATGGTACTCATGGTGGATTTGGCTGCGTGACTCGCATGGATGATGGGAAGAAGAACAGGGAAAATCACAAGGAAGACTCCCCTTCTAGGGATGGAATCTCGGAGACAGGTAAACGGTTGTTGGTGCTAAGAGTTGGAAAGGTGACTAAACGGGGTATGACGACACCCGGGGGGTTGAGAGGGATGGGTGGACCTGGGTCGCTGACTGTTAGTCCTCTCTGTGTTTGGCCCCAAAATTTGGAGCGAGAAGGGTGGGAGGAGTCAACCAACGGTGGGAAAAGGCACAAGAGGGAAAAAAAAAAAAAAAAAAAAAAAAAGGGAAAAGAGAGAAGAAGAAGCTGACTACAGACCAAGCAAGCGTCAAAAGGCCGCGAATCGAAGAAAAGAAGGGTTGTTGACTCGGGCTGTCCTAGAAGCAGCCTTGTCCTTCTGGCGGGCAACAATGAAAGTAGAAAAGTTGTTTTCTTTTTTACACAGTGGATTTTTCCCAGGCAGAGAGGAATCAAGAAAATTTCGGAACCTGACTTTTGATGCACTGCTTGCGGCAAAATTCTATGGAAGATACAAGGGTGGACAGGCGGGCAGCGATGACGATTAGTGATTAGTTTGCTCACCAGCGCCGCTTGAGACAGCCGGCTGTCCGCCCCACCGCCAATAGGGGGCGTCGCTGGGCGCCATTTCCTGGGGCACTCCGCGTCACTCTCCACGCCGCCGACGAGCCTTCAGTGCCGGATGGCGTCTTTTTTTGTTACTCCTTTCGTTTTTGCCTCCCTTGTCCAACTTGGTTACGCACTGCACACATCGAAACATGTCCTGTTGAAGGAGCTTTCTGCTTGAACTGAACAAGAAACGATCCTCTCTACGCCTTTTGAAGAGGGGGCTCTGGATCACAACACAGCATCATCCAGCAGCTATAATGAAGCGCACATTTCCGGTGTTGTGAAATCCAAACAAAAATTGCCAGCCAAAGGCTTGGGCAAAATCCAATGCCCGAACAGCTTCCCCCTGTCGTTACCACTCTGTGATCGACAACGAGTCCACTGTAAATGGATCAAAAAAGGATCTCCGAATCGAGGATGCCAATAATAGTAGTGTGTGTGCGGAGTATCCGTACGGAGTTTCTCATTTCCCATCTCGAGTCCGCGGAGAACGACCCGAAGCGCAGCTGTTGTGACGGCGATTCAGGTGACCGCCGATGTCATAGCGCCAAGCCTCATCGCGAAAAAAGCGCGGAACGGTGGGAAAAAAACGCCCGGACGCTGACGGGCGGGTGTCGGCAGCGACATCGGCGGGCATTACCTCGAAGGGGGACGGCGATTCAAGAGACCAGATCCCTCTAGGGCGTTCAGACAAATGGGGGTCTCGGAGCAGCCAGTTTCCGCCACTGGCCTGGGCTTCCTGCTGCTCTCTCCGCCGAATGACCTTTTCCCGGATTCCTCTCGGGCCGCCCCGAAGCAAGGTTACCGGTAACTGCCCGAGACCAGCTTGAATTCAGACCCGCAGTTGCATAGCCACCTGCGGTCCCTTGTGACCCATAACTTCAGGATTGTAGTTGAATGGCCTGAGGTGATCATTTCTGCAAACCTAAGCCATGGTAACTACCCTGTGAGACTGTGGCTGAAAACCTGTGTGGTGCTGGTAGCCACATCGCTATAATTTGAGCCAACCAAAGCGATGGTTACAAAAGTCACGATGGTGGAGTCGACACCCTGCTTGAAAACAGCGGCTTAGGGCGAGACATTGGGTGGTTCCTCATTGAGTCATTCTATTCATAGAGCCGGATGGGTCATGATTTCTCGCTCAGAGCTCGTGGCGTGGTCATGATCGAAGTGTTTCCACCACTCCCATCGAGGCTCGGGAGCGTGACCAAGCGTGAACAAGGGTCGGCGCGAGAAAGCCATCGATACCTCGCCCGTGTCCCAACAATTGGTTTCTGCAGATGTACTTATATTGACTCACGGCCTTCAAAAATATGCCGGGAGAGAGCCGGAGAGGCCGCCTCCCATCCTTGGAGCATAGGAAACTTTCACACGGATCTTCAAATGTAGTATTTACGAAAGTTAGCAAAGATTAGAGAAATCGGGTGCTAAAGGGCTAGGTAAGGCTAGCAAACCATGTGAGTTTCGTTAGAAGCTCTGGTCAGCAGGTAACATTTAAATAGTTGAGGGCGGGAGCAAGAAGGGGGGAAAAGGGAATTCTTGAGCGAATAACTGGCTGATGTGATAACACTGATTGCTCATTCTCGAGCTTTATGTATAAAATTTGCCAGGAGTGATAACCGTTTATTACAACACCATCTATTTAGTTACCCTGTACTAATTCAAAACAAATAAGAATTCCACCCTTTCATCTGACCATCCAGAGGAGGGAGAAGTGCCTCAGAATCAAGTTCCGTAAGACGAACAAATGTTGCAGGTCCGCCTCCTTTGACCTCGACGTCTCAATAGAGATCTAGGTCTGTCCCCAAAGACTCAATCATATAACCCAATAGTGAAAGGAGGTGATGAGAATTCCTCCCAGTCTCTCTGGTTGTTCAGATCACCCTTCCATCTAAGTGCTGTGGCCTTCAAGGTGAATTTCCCTTCGGCTATTGATTTACCATCTGCCAACAGCGCAGAAGGAACAAAAACAAATTCCAACGATCCAGAGGGAATAGGGCCGAACGCAGGGTGTATTGTGCCATTAAACCCTGATATCGGGGTCTCCGGAACAAGGATTCCACTCAGCAAGTCTGCATGAAAGTTCATGGCCACCTTGAATGTTGGAGGATCTGCATCTTCGAGCGACGCGTTTGCACGAGGTAATCGGTATATGTAACCAGGCCCAACTTCTTCCATAGATCGACCGCTCTGCAAGCTAGAGCTGCGCCGGTTCATAAGCGGGCGAACTGTTGAAATAGTAGCCGTGGTTCCAAAATATGGGAAGGAGCGCTCCTCTTCTTCATTTCGCATGAGCATGTAGCCACTGTAGATGGGCAACCGATTGTTGTCAATCTCGGCCGGGGGTGCAAAGTGATCTCAATCTCTGCATTTGAGTTGGGAGGTACAATCACAGTGTCAGGGAGAAATTCAACAGTAGCCTGGGCTGGATCCAAGTTAGGTAATGATCGCTGCAAGTCAAGATTCTCGGAAATGGCGTAGACAGATTGAGTGCCCTCATGTGAAAGAGTGTACTTCTATGGTTTACCAGCTTCATTTCGAATTTTAACTGTCCTCTTTGGTTCGAAACTCGCTGCATCTCTAAATGCCAAAAAGGACGGTTCTAGTGTGGTTTGTGAGCGAACAGCAGCTGCCGCATCCACAAGACCACCCCCTTGTTGAATTATAGGTGCAATAATATCATCCATTGTTTCATTTCCATCATTCAGTTTTAGCCTCTGGGCTGTAGAGCCAAGTAAAGATGCAACTGACTTGGGATCCATCTTGCCTCTGGCTTCCATTAGCAATGCAACAACACCAGCAATATATGGAGTGGCCATTGAAGTGCCAGACATGATTCCATATGCACCTTGTGCTGTTGGTATTGTGGATAGGATTGACCCGCCTGGAGCAGAGATAAAAGGAGCAGGATCCAACTCCAAGGTTGGAGCCCAGGAACTGAAAGAATTCATAGATCCTCCAGACATTGTGTTCTCCGTTTCAGAATAGTGCTGTACTATTTGCTGTGGACGGCTAAAAGTGATCTGGAGCTTCTCACCATCCAATACTTTGGACTTGAAATCGTCGCCTTGAGTCCGATTGACAATGCCAAAGCCAGACACAGAGTCTAGCCCCGAATCAATTATCATGTTATCGGGAAAATGGGCTAGGATATACTCTGCTCCTCTGCTCGCTATTTCATCCAAGGTATCCAGGCAAAATGGAGCCAATACGATCATATTATCCAACCCAGTGGTATTGGATGGCAGGGGCGGGCAATTGAAAAATTGGATTTCCAGGGCCGAAAGAATAATCCCAGGTCCAGAGTGCTTTTGTATCGATGTCGAATGGAACGCTTGACTGATATCCGAAATAGCTTTCGCTTGCATTGTTGATAGAATAATTTCCAAATCAGTGTCAAACCAGAGATCTTCGTCCGCCATGATCCAGGATGTTAGTCCCGGAAAAATGAGGACGGCTGAATGTTAATGAAACTGCCGCTACCGCAGTCAGCAATGGAAAACTTTGGTCTGCTATTGTCGGCGGAGACGATTCCGGGGAAGCTGAGGGCACGAGGCACTCGTGTTGCAACCCAAATCTCTGCTCACGAAATAACTGCGCGTGTGAAAAACAACTAACTTGTCTGAGTACTCCGTCTGGGGGTTCGCAAACGGTTTAAAAAGCTTGGCGGGCGATCCTTTATCAGCTCTGGCTGCAAAGCAATTGCTCAGCGAGTCTGGGAGTCCAGGCTCTCGTGTCAGAACCTTTTAAAGCTGATCGCCGATCCGGAAATTCAGTGTACGGAGTAGTGTGCACCACATAGCTCTGCTGGGATGGCCTAGGATTGGCTTTACAGATAATCCGGCAGGTCTAACTTCAAGGAAATATTACCTAGCTCATTTTTCAGTTGTGCAGTACATAGCAATGAGAGATGTGTTTACGATGCCGGCTTTGATGGGTTGAGCGCTTTTCCCTCTCCATCTTTCAAATATGCTCTCCGTTTCCTTTATCAGATGCGCAAGCGGGGCTCTCTCAATCCATTTTCTAAACGCCACAGCCATTGATCATAACCATGTCAATCCCTCAGTCTCCCGCCTTGAAAGAAATATTGGAGAGCCGGCAGAAGCTTCATCCTCCACCGGACGAGAAATATGACTCTGAGACAAGTCTACGCACTGTCAGATAATCTTCGAAGACCAAATATGCATCGAAATTACCAAGGGGAGTATCATGAAACTGAAGGGAGATAGAGATGATCACCTATTTTTTGCGTATTTCTTTGAAAATGGACATCGCTGCAGGAACACGATAGGGCGCCCTCAACAGGGGCGCCAAGACGGGCACCAGGAACCAACAACGCGGGGGAAGTGAGTTCCCTGAAGCCGCAAGGGATCAGCTCATGGCGTATGTAACTGACGGTTCGTCAGTGAGCAATACGCCTTGTCACAGTAAGCCAGGCTTACTGCTCCATGTGTTCATCCTCTCTGCATTTTGATATTAGCTATCGTCCGACTCTCACGGCATCCTGGACCCTTCTCGACCAAAAGGTCAGGGTAGGTATACTCTTCCCCGTATCTCATCTCTAACACACCATGAAATCTACGAAGGGGTGGAAACAATCAGCCGAATAGATTCGAACCGAAATGGGGTGATCAGCCACCTTTGATGCGTTTATTTCCCCCCAAGGTGAAATTGGAGTCAAACCTCCTAATTTTGGTAGCATCGACTCTAAGAGGCAACGGGCGCGGGCTGAGGAGATCTAGCATGAGTGCATCTTCCACTCTTCCATCGCGCTGATATACCGGGCCATATAGATAACCGGTGTGGGTCATTGTCCCTTCCTTGCCTTTCAGCGACTTGTCAACGCCGTTTCTTTGGTGCTTTTAATTCGGGGTCAAAACAATCGCGGCGTGGGGGGATGCGAATATTCTGGCATCCCCAGACCAAAAGGGCCATGAAGACTTGGCTTTCATCAACTTCCACTCCAGTGCCAAATTCCCTTTAAGCGACAAAATTGTGGCGCTGTAACTGAAACCCTGCAAAACGGGTTTCGAAATGCGGGTCAACAGGGTATCTTCGTCCGAGCACGACCGCCGCCACAGCCAGCAGCTAATGGCCAGGGACGTAATCCTCCATCCGAGAATCAAGCCGGCAAAACATCTCCAACTGGAGACGCCTTCCCAGTTTTAATGAAAGGGGATGGGTTGTCTCAGTTTCATGTGTTGTAAGGGCATTTGCAACTGAATCGTGTGTCCATACTCGGATAAACAGGACAATACTTCGTGGGACTCGCGGCCACTACTATACACCCGAGAAGTGAGGCGCGGCATCCCGAACCGCTACAGCTCGGATTCTTGGAACCATTGGAGTGCAATAGCTCTGTGTTCCAAGCGATATTGACCAGACAAATGTCCCCATAAAGCATGCTGGATCAAGCCAGGTCCTTTTTGAATCGTCCCACAAATTCATTGCAGTGGCAAGGCTGTTAGACATCTAGATTGTCTCTAACCTGGAACAGAAACCGGTGCTCTGTCCGTTGGTAGTGAATGACGTGCAGAGCTGCCATCTTCATACTTCTTCTTCAATGTCAGAGTTTCAGATTCGTGGGGGCGTGCCACCACGTGGACGGAATTGCATGATTTCCAATACGGCTTAGCTCCATTTACGTAACCATATCTGATTGGGTTTGCGTTCGACCAAGAAGCTTAATTAGGTTTAGCTGTGAGTGTTATTAATGGACACAGTGCGTGTAACTAAGATGTAACCGTATCTCCTTTCTAAGTCGTCATCATACCATGATCATCAACTCAAGCTTCAGTCACCCTCCGTCTCCGTCCATTCCTTTTCTTCTCAAGTCTCTCTCGCTCTCGACACGCCCCCCCCAAAAAAAAAAAAGAAAAGAAAAGAACAATACTTGTAATTTTTCCTTTGGATCCCTTCCGGACATCACACCTTTGTCGTGCAAATCCCGTACATCTGCCCTGTGCCAACCTCCGTCCTCGCACGCCGCTTTTTGAACGCTGCTCGTTGTCTGGAGGGCGAATACCACCCGGAACTCTGAAAGAAGGACACCCCCCCGGTGGAAGCTTCCCTTGAGTTATTTGGCTTTGCTATATCGGGATCGAGGCTGGAAAGGACTCATCTACTCGGCTCTCTCGCTATGGGATGCCGTGTTAGGTATATCCTGAACACACTCTTCGATCGAGTGCTATGTTCATAGTGGTGTGCTCTCGAGATATCGCCACAGCTTTTGAAGCCACGATCTGCCAGTCACGTTTATCGTAATAGGATATGCTCTCGCCAAGATAACAGCAATGGATATATCCCAAAGCGTGTTGCCAACGGTATCTGTTGATAGACCACACCTGAAATCTCACAAGGTGCTTCCGAGAAAGAGGGATGTCACCCACGATGTCGAACTTACTTCATCTAACGATAGTGATGGCCCGCGCGCTGACATCCCTCTGCTAAATGGATTTATCTTTCCTCAACCCGCACCGACCCTACCCCTAACGCCACCGTCATTGACACTCGAATCGAAAAAGCAGTCGCCGCCAACCTTGCCTATTGACGCTTCGCAACCCCAAACGTCCGATTCCACAAATGCAACACCAACACGCCAAGCAAACATTCTGACCCCAGATATAACACCACCACGGTCTGCACCGGATGGCCGCAAACGACCTGCGCAGTATCGCAATTTCACATCCATGTCCTCCAAAGCCGAGTCCTTCAAAACTGCCCGTGAGGTGTTATCTTCAGATGACGATTTAGAAGCTATAAATGGAGCTGGAATATCTGCTTTGCCACCGCCGAAATCTCTACTACCTCTCCCTCTGGTTTCGTACGATACAGTCGGTAGTCCTGGCCACCACTCTAGCTTGGGCTCTCAAGAGAGTGCGTTACGGACGAAGAAGGAAAATGAATCGGCATGTTCTCGTCGTTTTGATGCCTTTGACAGAGATAGGAAAGAGCATGGACCTGACAAGGCTGATTTACCAAGAGGAAGGGATCAGCGGCAAAACAGAGACATAGTGAATGGTAATAAAACGTCGCCGGGAATGAAATCCTGGGAGGAATCACGTCAAGGACTAGAATCGCAAACTAATCGCGAAAGGCCTCTGCGGGAGCGAGTGAAGGAAGGAAAGGGTGTCCTAACTAGCGCCTCTGTCGAGAAATTTGCAAAGGCTATTGGGTGGCAGGTGCCTGAGGACCGTGACAAACATTCTTGCCGCCTTTCAGCAGTATCTGCATCATCGACAATTGAAGCGATTATCATCGATTCACCGCCTCGAAAGAAGCAAACCTTGCGTCATACCGGAAAAGCGGAGTCCTTACGTTCCGTTAGTTCGCCGGCTTCCCATTCGAATCGCGATATGTCACGAGGTTTAGGGCAGGGGCGTCGCCTAGTTCGTAAGAATGCGCGAATAACTGACCAGGACCGCTCTAGCATTATGTCTGACATGTCTCTGGCATTGACCACGGCCTATCCCAAGCCAAAAGAAGCGGAAGAAATCATCCCGGTTGTGGTCATCCCTCAGCGGCGATCGTCCCTAAGATCTTCCACATGTGGCAGCAGGGAGCATTCACGGACTCGGACCATAGTTGAAAATCGTCGGCCAACCACGGCACCTGAGGGTAAAAATTCATCCCATGCATTTTTTGACTTCCCAAGAAGACGACGTACTATGTCTGAATCGTTCCCTCACCCGCGAAAGTCAAGTGATACTGCTCGCCGAGTTATAACTTCCCGGCCTAGGATTCCGGCAAGGCGGTCGTCTCTATCAGCACCCACCAGTAGGACCGCATCTCGAACAACATCGCTTACTTCCGATAACTTGCAGCAGTATCAAATCGCACAAGAGACGCAATCCTTTGCACACCAGAAATCTCAAGAGGGCCAGGAAAATGTCCGAATTTTAGACCCAGTTGCTTTGAAAATTGAACAGTCGGTACCCAAAGACGTTAATACTCAAGATAACACCGAGAACCGTCTTTGCGTTGACAGTCATTATAATGACTCCTTATTACAAACTCCTTCTTTGCCAAAAACACCATTTCAGCACTCAATTCAATCTTTGTCGCCTGGCCCTATAGAAATCTCGGAGGCTCGCGCTATACCTTTCTTTGTCCACAACAACAAATCACTCTTACTAGTTGAACAATACCCGCAGCCCGAGTCTCGCGCGGTACAAAGACTGCAAACTTCGCCTACGGATTTAGAGGTGACTTAAATTGACACACATACGTCTATTATGGAGCCCCAACTTCAAGCAGCTTGCATTAATTCCCCGCTTCGGAACCCGAGACCACCACCGAAGCCTCCAGCACTTAAAGTTATCCCCCCAACACCTCTTGAAATAAGTAAACACCGGCCTAATCATCTGCCATCGAGCAGCACAGAGAGCAGCAACGGACTTGCACGCCGCTGGGAATCCCTGCGTCGCACCTTCAGCACTAAGCAGTACTCCAATACCGGGGAGCTAGGTCAACCTGTTCATAAATTTCGGAACCGCAAAGCCGGGAAGGACATTGATAGCAAGCTCCATCCATTCTGGCGGCCACGGGAATTCTGGGAAGATTTCAAAGATTCGGACACCGATGGCGAATCCGTCCAGCGAATGCCTATATCTCAGAACGTCCGCCAAGCCGGCGATGTATACATTGGAAATTCTCTAGGTATACCGCAAAAGCGGATCTTCCAAGGCCCGCTGACGCTCATACGTCGGGTCTCGAATCGAAGTCGGCTACGAGCACCGGGCCGTAGGAATGACAGCCATACTAGCATTATTAGCACCACTATTCCTCTCTCTGATCGACCTGCCCACGATCGTGTTCTACCATACTTCCTGTCTTTCAGCGAGATGCAAAATTGGATTGCTCGAACTAAGCGTAGAAACGCGCGGGAGCGACTCGAGGCGAAGAGAAATAAACTGCGACAGATGATCAATATGAAGGCGACTGTGGACCCTAGCTCAGTCGAATCTGACTATCCTCAACCAATCAGGTCCGCATTTGATAGCTGAAACTTTGCTGTGCCATTCCCTGTTGGGAGTATCCTCCCTGGTGGATGTGACATTATTATGATTTACGATGTTACGATTACTTACGAGATATGTGCCTTTTGCATTCGTCTTTCCCTTTATGTTCATCATTTTCTCGTTTGAATGTTGAAGTTTCCCCCCTTCCCCCCTTTTCACTTGCGAATTCATGTGCTTTGCTTCGGATTATCAAGGAGATGTAACCCTTTACCCTTTATCCAACACATATGATGTGATTAACGACTTATGTTTGATGAGCTGTGTTTCCGAAGTCATATTGGCATTTCTGTTTCAATGAGTTTTATCGATTTGCATTCCCTTTTTTCTTCTTTGGCAGTCTTTCAGTCTTGATGTGAATTTCAAACGCAGCAGTGTATGGGTCTTTTTGATTCACAGAATAAAGACCTCAGACTAGAAATAGTTTATAACATTCTTTAATCCGAAGCTCCTGACCAGTATATCTCAGAAATTTCGACAATGCTGCGCTCGATTTGATAACAGGCTCAGTCTCGGCGAATCGCAATGTGGCTGATCGACACTTGTGGTAAGATTCTTAGGGTGGATAATGGCTCTCGTCACGAGAGCATGCCAACTACCGTACGACATGTTGAATCCTAGAGTACTGGGCTTCTCTGGATCAGCGAATTGGAATCCTAGATGGCAATTGCAAAGAGCTAAAGGCCATCTGGATATGTTAGTCCTAGCTAATTCCCCCGTGATTGTCTACTCGATCATGTCTTAATGACCCTCTTTTCCACGATCCGGATGGCCCCCTCACAGTTGTCCTGCTGATTCCTCAAAAAAATTCTTGATGGTTGCTCTATCATATGCCTTAGCTGTACGAAGTACGGAGTACCTCCCTACTCCCTTCGTTACACTCCCCAACAATCCTGACTATAAACCCCTTAGAATATCCCTTGTTTCTCCTTTGCAATTCAGGTCATAACCTGTGAGTTTGTGACTACTAGGCAAATTTTGACTCCATGCAAAACTAGGTGTGAACTCGAGGACTTGGGCATTGCTCAAACTATCACATATATATATATATATATTGGCTATGAGTTTTGTACATACATACATACATACATACATAGGTATATAGATAGGAGCCCTCAAAAGCAAATATATATAATGCATATATATAAGGACCTGGAAAGCTATAAAAGACAGTTCATAGTTTGTCGTTATGCTCAAGGCGTTTTCCCCTTTAAAGGTTGGTAAACGCAAGTTCGTAAACAAAGCCAATGACCAGCTTCCCGTGTTGCTCTACGTGGTCGAAGTTGACGTTGCCGATAACATCATTTGTCGTGTGAATGCTAGGGTTGGAGTGTGGCTGATCGGCCTCGAAAATGAATGCTGATGGGTAGCCATTCCTGGTGGCAGACGCGTGGTCGGAGCAGGCATATCCACAGCTGGAGTTGACGAAGGTGATATCAGTGTACTATTTGCAGGTCAGTAAGTTTTAGCCTTATCTTCGGCGGAGAAATGGCGTCTCCAAGCGGAACAGGGATTGTGTGCTGAGAAGGGGGGGCATTTCATCTTACTCCTCTAATGACCAGTCTACAGAACTCGCTCAAACCAGCATCGACGTTGTCAGTGATCACGCCGAAAGCTTCTGGCAATCCAGCACTCTCTCTCCGTCGGGTGAATCCGGTCATATCTTGGTTAAGCATGGCCTTGACAGCACGGCCTTCGGACCTGTATCGTCTGAAAATGTCTTGTGAGCCGAGCAAGCCCGCTTCCTCGCCAGCATACCAGTGGAATTCAATCGTGTTCTGCGCCTCTCCCTGGGCAATTTTCGGCGATGTCAAAAGGGCACGGAGAGCATCAAGGATAGTGATCGAACCGCTTCCATTATCGTCAGCTCCGGGGGCACGGCCATTGGTGGGTGATCTGCTGTTGACGCTGTCCTGATGAGCACCAACCACGATGGTATTCCTGCTCTTTCCAGGAATGGTGACGATAATACTAGGCTGCTGGAAGTTATGCGAGAATTTCCTCACAGTTGCACCGCGTCTCGCTGCTCCTGAGTTCGAGACGATCGCATTGGCCTGTTCGAACAGCCAGTTTGCGGATTGTACTCCGGTTTGCGATCTGTAGTAGCGATTGTGGAAAGAAGAGAACCTCTCGAGGTTCCTCCGCATAGTGTCCTTGGACAAACGGGCTGCCAGAGGTTTTGCTTCTGCCACATATCTCAATTGCGTAGGAAATTGGGCAAGGACTTTCTCGGCGGCAAAGCTAAAGTCCAGGTCCTGTTCGTCTGTAATGTCGAAGAAGTCGATGTGTTTCTTCCAAACAAAACGGGGTGTCAGCTTGGTTGCACTAACGACTTTCTGCATCATAACTAGCTGTACGCACAACGTACGCCAATGCTGCGACGCGCAGGATGTAGTTTATTAAAAAAAAGAATATGCATACCTCTTTCAGTTCGAACTTCTCGGCCTCTGTAACCCAACGGGTCTCTCCAGGAGCGGTTTCAATCAAGAACTTCTCCGTTGCGTCAACCGGCTTGAGTGCCCAAGCTGAAGGGCAGACAATGGCGCTCAGCGCCAGTACAGCTAGAGTCTTCATGTTTAGATAGCAAATTGCTAAGAGGGCCACAGATATTCCACACGGTTCTTGTGACAACAATATTGCAATAAGTGTCACAGAGAGCTCCAGGACCAGAATCAGCAACGGCAAGACGCTGGGGGTTTATATGAGCTTTGGCATTTTAGGCTCTGCGAAGGAGCCATGAAGGGCTCACGCTCCCGCCGCAGTCATACTCAATGACACCCTATGAAATAGAGCCTTGAGACCCGTTGTTATCCGAGAAAATGCTTCTCGTAGGATCACACTAGGAGTACTTCAGGCGGGCCGGATAGGAGTTTCGGCGGCAGAGTCGCATGCCCCGCCCATATCAGGCGGTCAAAAACGGAAGCATGGGCAGTATAACCGAGGGCTGATTCTTCATTTGAAGGCCGAACTACATGCGGGCCCTCCTATATATGTAATTAAGCACCCAGGGGACTCATGTGGATCACTCCCGAAAAGGGTTCTGCTTTCTAGAAAAAGTCTAGGACAAGCCGGATAGACCGCAGCTCCCCGAGGGAGGAAGACTCCTTCATTGAGTCTGTTAACAGGATCACGCCGCTTGAGGTCAGGGGGTTATGCAGGAGGCAATAACGCTGCCTTCGGTAGAGAGTTGGAACACTGGGATGTGAAATGGAGACCGTTCGGCTTCTCTGCGGAAGTGACAGAGGGACCAAGCCGGGCATATGATGACCGGGCAACCCCCGCAATGCACAGTCGTCCCGTACGTCTCTGAGCCGAAGCCATTCGGCGTGGGAGTGAGCCGGTCCAATGCCCATGGGGAGAGATTCTCTTCCCGCCGAGCATGTCTCAGTTTTGATTGATCGAGATTAGATTTGTTTTTTCTGATGATGTAGATGAACCTGAACGTCTGACAGGAATCCCTTGCAGAAATTTTCTCTTGGCCTCTGTGGCGCGGCTTGTCCATATTAAATAACATGAGGATTTGTTTGGATCAGCAGGGCGGAGGGGGATGGTTTGAGGTCAAAGGCCAGCAAGGAAACAATTTCTGGGTGCATTTGATCCCGCCTATCTCCGACGAACGGGACTGCAATGGAACCCAGCTGGAGGGCCTCTCTTGGCTAAGGCCATTCGCACCATGCTTCCCTCAGCACTTTGTTAAATCTTGGTCAGCCGAAATCATCAAGATCTGTCCAAAATTTGTTCAAAAAAAGAGGGGGGATTGCATGTTCCCTCCAATTCTCTTCGATGTCGAGAATGACCTGTCGGTTTCGACGAGAACCCCTCCCGGCAAAGTGGTTTAATTTCCCTTCAAAGATTGCATGTTTTGGAAATCAGACCATACTTGACACTCTAAATAGAAATTTGCACTGTGGTTACATTCGAATGCTTGGTTTCCCCCAAATTCAGAGGCACCAAGACGTCTGGTCAGATATGTACCGTATTAGGGTCATCTACTCCGTATAAGGTTTGGGGTTCCGGGGTAACAGACCAGGGGGAGCTTAACTTATTCCCCTCCATGACCATGTGATAGTGCGATTGGCTTCTCTTAGGGTTACCTTTCGGCAAGAACACAGCATTTGACAAGCTTCCACGCTGATCAGTGGGGATCTTTGCTGCCCAGAGGGAGTGTGCTATTCGTTCTCTTGGGTGGCACAGAAATCAGGGCCCTGCAACGTCAATAAATTGGTGTTCGAGTTTGCGCGCCCGACCATATATTTTACGTCCTCCATGGAGGGAAAGCATTGATAAACCACGGCTGGCGTGCAAACGCCCTTGGAGAAATCATGGCATCGTACGGAGTACGATTTCGGTAATATCATGAATAAGGTGTGTTACAATGGATCCCCGGGGAGGGGGAGAATGCCCTCTCTCAACGGGTAGTTGTCGGCTTTTAAAGCGGCCTGCTTGGGGGGAACACCCCTATTCGGCCGGTCCGTTCTAAGCTGGTCACTATAATCTGGGGAGACTGCTATTTCGCCTTCTGAGTTAACAGATGTCGTCTTTTGACATTCCATCACAGGAAAACATTGAAGCGTAGTTTGAGAAGAAAAGAAAGGATAAAATTAGGATACATACCGGTAAAGATCTCGAGGCCCCTTGTTTCAAACCGAGTTCCTTTACCCGGATCTGCGATCGCATGCCCCTGCCATCCCAGCGCGACTGTCATGACATGAAGATCTCCCGATGATCAGCAAGAAATTCATGGAAAAGACTCCGAAAGTTACGATGGACCCTACATACGTGCAAAATGTGTTTGTGGGTTTTGTTCCTGGATTTACACGGTAGGTGTTTGCAACGCTCGAATTCCGCACTCAATATAAAAATGGAACTGCATATCCCTCCAAGTTTCGACGAAAGTTTTCCGTAAAGAGAATCACACTCCGCGATCACACGCTCCTCGTGGGAGCTGCTTCTTTAACCATTCGAAGATCTTTCATTTCCTGCAAAACCTTCTCGCCATCGAGAAACGGCTGGGGTACGCGTGAGGCATCGAACTCAATGACCCGCAACTCGCGATCCTGGTTACGTTTCGCGTTCGACCCGGCGGTTCCGGCGTCGTTGGAGCAGAGTGGCATTTGGAGCTGGATTTCTGCACCTTTAGAGGCGGGGTTCAGGAGGCGGGGTACTTGTTTGGACGGCTTCGGGAGCGGCTGTTTGGCAAGTAGACTGCGGCGGGGGGGGGTCTTTGGAGATTGCAGGGACATAATGGTCGGGCAGACTTAAGATCACTGGGCTTAGTATATGGACGTAAAGCGATGAGCACAAGAGGCAGATTGACCCTCGGTGCTCCGTAACTGCGTGATGCTCCCCCACACACAAAATGCGAGGCCTTTCTCGGCGCCGGGCGGAGACTTTGGGAGGCGAGTCTTGGCATAAATCTCACGTGATGCAAACCGATTAAATAATCAATAAATCACCTGATCTGACATAAAGTCCACGTGACGCGCTAGTCCCGATACGGGAAGCGACGCCTCGAGAGAGTCGAGTCGATTTGCGATGCGGGTGGATCAACCGCCCGACATCGGCCTGAGTCACAGCCAGAACTGCTTGTCAAACCAACCCGGCGGCACAGAAAGAAGACTGCGCAATCAGGCCGGTCGATCTACGGCTTCATATCGCGATTGGACCGCCTGCCGAGGGGCCCCTTTTTTTTTTTTTTTTTTTGTTCCTTCGGCGGGTGACGCAAACTAGGGGTGGGAAAGGGCCCATCGCCCTGGGCTCCCATCGGTGGAATCCTTGGAAAGAAAAAAAAAAAAAAGGAAAAAAGAAAATTCAACAGGCCCTTACCGATCTACGGAAAAGCTCCTCGCCTTTGGGACCTCCCCGCCGGCTTCGAGGGGCCCAGAGGGATCTTTTTTTACCGATCTAACTTACCCCGCGGTCCCCAAACACGACGATCAGTGTGGCGGCTCGAGCAGCCAGCGACAGCCACAGAGCCGGTGGCATTGTCGCGGGCCGTCGTGATGGCAGCGGTGTCGGAGATGCTGCAGGGGAGGAGAGTCGAGGTCGAAACAAGGGGTTAACGCCGGCAGACATGCGACCCACTACGTCAGATAATGAGAACGATCTTGCCTCCAGCCCGATAAGAGGCCCTGCGAGCGTCCTGGGCGGTGCTAGCGGTGGTGTGACGACGGCCGGAATCAATCCTGGCAAACGGCGCCATGTGTCAGTTGGTTGTTCACCAGGAAGTGCGAATGGAGGTGATGAGGTCGAGGGGCAGGAAGAGAAGAGGAAGCATCCAGTCAAGAGAGCCTGCAACGAGTGCCGCCAGCAGAAGGTGAGCTTTTGCGATTTCCCGGCCCTTCCATTCTTACCCTTTCGCCTCGATGCCTGCAAGAGCATTGCTGACAGGCCCTTCTGCAGCTACGTTGTGACGTGATTCAGGAACCATTCACAACATGTACCAGATGTCGCCGTCTCAAGCTGGATTGCAAGATCGAATCGAACTTCAAACGGATTGGGAAACGGAGCAGGAATGCGGAGATGGAGCGTGAGCTCATCGAGCTGAGGAAACAAATCGCCAATGCAAACGCAGCCGCCAATGCGCACCATTTTATATCGCAGCATCAGTCCCCGACCCAAGCATCACCACCGCTGTCAATGACTTACGGCCCTGCTATGCGGGCCGTCCCACAAAACTCGGCCCTGTTTTCGGCGGATGAATATATGAGGCCCCATGAAGCTGTCGCATCGCTTCTTGACCTAAGATCAGGTTTAGATTCCTCCAACTTCTTACGAAGTCCAAGCGGGCAAGTGGTAATGCAAAAAAGAATCGAGGATGTGTCTGTCTCTCAGGAAAAAGTCGCTGACTTATTCGGCCGGTTTGTTTCTCCACCTATACGATACCCCAGCATTACCCGTGTCTTCTAATTTCGCTGTAGATTCTTTACGTTTTACCATCCATTCCTCCCTTTCCTCGATCGAGATAAGCTACCCGAGGACTATTTTTCCACTTCTCCCTTACTCTTTTGGACTATCATTAGCGTAGGCGCTCGTCGATATCAAAGCGATGCGACTCTGTTAAACTCCCTCGCTGGACCCGTCATGAGATTGGTGTGGAGCACCCTGGCGGATGTCCCACAAAGCTATCACATTGTCAAAGCGTTGGCCTTGCTCTGCACCTGGCCTTTTCCAACGAGCAGCACGTCAACTGACCCGACTTTTATGCTATGTGGGATGATGATGCAGATTGCCTTGCAGATTGGATTGCATCGGCCGTCCCATGCACAAGATTTTACCAAGTTCAGAGTAGAATTCAGAGAAGGGGAATTGAAGGATAGGATAACCACGTGGGCGATCTGTAACATCGTGTCCCAAAGGTACTTCGTCCAATCTTACCCTGTAGTCTTTTGGACTGTAGGACTGACCTCTCTTTTCTAGGGTCGCAACCGGTTATGGGCAGCCGCCTTCAACATTATTCGACTGGACCCTGTCTTCTGGAGAGACCATAGACTCCACTTTTAGACTTCTCCCCGATATAAAATCAAGGCTGGACATAGAAAAGTTTTCCGACAAAGTTACAAAAGCGCTATACAGTAGCCATCGGGACCCCGTCGGCGTGGTTAACGACGAAGAAAGAACGGTGATGACATCAGTGTTATTAAGGGACTTCGAGGACTTAGAAACCCGGCTCCATTCTCAACAACAAGATCGTGCGTATCACAATTCAAAGGCAATCATCACACAGCTAACCAAACTTTTACAGCACTTACAAACATGTATCTTCGAGCGGCTGGACTCCATTTGCATTTGTCAGTTTTCTTCGATGATCCAACGACTAAGAACTACCTCCAAGGGCTGTCGTCGCTTTATGTTGCAACCACGGTCTTTCTCGAGGCCGCTTTAGGCCTGGATCACTCGGGAGGTCCCGGCCTTACATATAGCTCTAACTACATTTATCAAATGACCCTCGCCGCTGGATTCACCTTGCTTAAACTGTGCAAGAGTTTTTTTGCTGTTCACATCGATATGGACTACACCAAGTCGCTGTTTAATCGGACCATCTGGGCCCTCCGCAGTATGTCCGTTTCTAACAATGATCTGCCCGAGCGTTTGGCCGAAGTACTTGCACAGATGTGGAAGATGGGCAGCTTACCCGCCCCTCAGCAATCCAGTAATAAGGGTTCCGGCCAGTCAGAGAAGGATGATACTCTGCGATTGAAAGTCCGTTGCCGAATGAGCATGTCGCTTGTCTACGACTCTGTGTGGCGTTGGAGGGAAGATTTTCAGGCACAAGGCAAGAATTTAGAAAGTAGGTATCATTTCTTTTTTTTTTTTTCGGTTAAATGCAGAGGGAGTTGCCAAAGCAGTTAACATCATTTTCGCAGCCTATCTTAAAAACCCGACAAACCCCGATTCAGGCCCAGATTCCTCGTCCTCTTCAGTTTCCCACCTACGAGCTTCTACTTCTACTCCAGGCGCGGTTGGGACTGCGGATCCTAGTCTTGCACCGGCTCCGCTACCCCCATCAACGGCGATTGGAGGTCTTCCTCCAACGGGAGGAAATCTTCCCGCCGTTGGTGGCTTGCCAAGCGGGTACTTAGAGCCAATGTACGAAGTTTTTGATCCATTGAACTGGATCTTGGATGGTTTAGTAGATTTTCCAACCTCCTACAATTCTGTCCAGGGGATAGAAGCCTAGGGGGCTGCATAGATTTTTTTTTTTTTTTTTTTTTTTTTTTTCCGGCTAATCTTTGCCGTATTTCGCACGTCTTGACCACCATCGGAAAGTATAATTAACCTACTCCCAACGACCGCCCTTTTGAACAAAGTGTAGTTCCTAATCCTATATAATAAAAGGCTGGCGCACAGGTATTTTTGCTTGAGCGATAGCTATGATAACGATGTTATGAGCTTCCTTTATCAATTTCACAGCATTTCTACAGAGTACAGGTGTGCTGTTTGCTTTTTACCCGGGAGTATCATCCGTGGCTGTGAATTGGAGCTCGTTTCGCAGGCAAATAAGGGGATGACGGTCTCCAAGATAGTCCGAGCGACATATAACGATTCAGAGAAGGAAATTAAAAAGAAAAGAAAAAAAAAGGGGAAAGAAGGAGAGGAAAAGATAAAGAAGTATTTTGAATTACGAAGCATTAGATGAATCACTGGCAATGCCATGATTTCCGCGTGAAATAGTTCCGTTCCGCTCCGCCCGCTACTCTTAGCAGCCACCACCACCACCACCACAGCCTCCACCACCACCTCCCCCTCCGCAGCCTCCACTTCCACAACTGCTGCAACCGCCTCCATCGCAGCCGGCCTCACAAGCGCCCAAAACTGCATCGAGCGCACAGGTCCCAGAGACACAGTCCGCATGCTCACCCTCTTCTATGGGGATACAGAGCGGGTTACACGAGTACATTTCGCAATTGATGGACGGATCCGGCCCATAAGGAAGGTAAAGCGGTACGAAGACAGGGCACCCGTATACCATTGCCATAGCACCGTATGCCCTACTTGCAGCTCCAGTATCATTGTCCGTGTCCAAGGATATCTTTTTCTTATTACGCTTCTCCCAGCGTCTTGTCGCTCGTTGATGGGCATATTGGAGTTTCAAAGCCGTCGGATCCAATAGACTGATATCCCTGGATCCTCGAAAACGCGTATCGATGGAATTATGCGCCGAGATATGTGGACTTTTGGTTGGGTCGGAAGGAATGTCTGGTTGATCGTGGAAGGCGATAGCATTCTCCCGGTTGGAGGAAAAGCGCCCATTGGAACCGTTTGATTCACGGATTGCCTCGCAGTACCAGCAAGTACATTGGCTGTATATCTCGCCGTAAGCTGCCTCGTAAGCTTTGGCGGTCCGCTCAAAACCGTCAGATAATTTACTTGACTCGATTTTGTCATCATGATTAATAAATTTCCCTGGAGTCATAGTAACAGAGTAAGTGAAGTAGCGCTGGGGAGAGAGCTGGTGGGTGTGCCATGCCAGGTCGACATCGAGGGTTGGAACAGCTACGACCTCGGTATTGGAATGTAGGATCCGGAAGAACCGCCTATATTTTTTGATGATGCGCTCCATTGTAAAGTCAAGAGTTGGGGAGTGAAGCCAATCGATATCATCCATCTTTCCAATAAAAACTCCTTGGCGAATAACGGCGCCAATGAGGTCAAGAGCGAAGGGCGAAGAATTATCCCAATATCGAGACATCATCCTCCGAACGGGAATTTTCTCTTCCCTAGTTAGCTGCCCTGAAATAGAACCGTTCGCGGTGGATCTGGTTCTAGGGGACTTCAAGGCCTGTTCAATCAAATCCCGAATATCTGATACCGAAGCACCAGGATTCTCTCGGAAATTCAGGGCCGCGCGGAGTTTGTTTTGGAGACAATTCAGGATTAATTTGCTGGGAAATAGGACAGAGTGCTTTGCGCGGACCGGTGTTTGCGGCACGCCTTTGAGCGATAAGATGGTCCCGGGCATTGGGATTTTTAAATTGGCAAGCTTCTCCATATCGTTTAGGAATTTCACCACACGAAGCCTTTCGTGGTCAAATTTAAAGTAGCACCTGGCACAAATAATTTGGAAGCCTCTATCGGCATAACCAGTGCAATTCTCGAATGGCGCTTTGATGGATCCAAGTTGAGGCCGCTCTTGCACCCAGGGAACTTGCAAATTGGTTTGGCATGCCGGGCAAGCTACAATCTTATAAGGCGAATCGTGAAGGTTATCCCACGAACATGACGTTTTCGATTCAAATCTCTCCCGTGCGCCGTCACCCGGCCTGTAATCGAAGGAAGAGCTGTCTATGGAAGAATTCACCACTTCCCATGGCATTCCGGCTGTCCAGACACTCATCTTCCCGAGACGGAGACAATCTTCAAGGTAGTCCCTCGGATTAAGCATATATGCATGCCACACCATGAGCACGTCTGGGAAACGGCCTGATTAGCAAAGCGAATACACTCTATAGAAACAGCTAAAAAAAGAAAAGAAAACAAAAGAAAAAAGAAAAAAAGGGGGGGAGGAGGGTTTGCGACTTACCCAAAGGTGGCAAAACATCCATGGTCCAAATGACCATGTTCTTCCATTGTGGAAAATTCTTATACTCTGGGTTACTAGTAACATCATCTATCGTCGTCGCGCCCTGACATTCACCAGGCCCATCCATTGGGAGGGTAAAAAACCACTTTTCAAATCGGCTGACCGCCCGAGCAACATATACCCCCCATCTCTTCTCCCTGACCAACGCAGTGATTTTCGTTTTCTGCTCTTCTGGTGTCTGAATATGAAAATGATCTGCTTCGTAGAGACCGAAAAGGCCATCTGATTGGGAAATAGTATCGCGAAGGTCTGCAAAGGCGGCCAGGAGCTTTAAATGCGCGATGCACTCATCCACTATGATTAGCGCAGAGGGCCGTCCTAGGACCCGGGGAAGCTCAAAATTGAGGGGCCGCATCCCCGGCAGCGGGATTTGCTCAGTGGATGGAGGTGGGTTATCCGAAGGCGCTCTCGGGGGTGATTGTGGCCTTTTGGTTGGACTCTCCTTTCTTCCTGAAAACAAGTCTTTGAACATGGCTGCGTACCCTGGGGCTCAATACAGCCAAAGTGTCAAGGCTAGGGAGGCGGGAGAACCTGCCTGTCGAGCTGAGGCTTTCTTAAACCAGTGCAGAAAATCAATGCCAATCTTGATGTAGCAGTAGATGCACAAGCAAAGCGATCTAGATTTAAATGAAGCGGGATGTCGGTATCACAAGTACGTATATAGCACCTCGCCAATGCGCCAGGGATGCACAGACCTGTGCCAGTTGATAGGTTGGGAAAAGGAACAGCCATAACCGCTGAAATCGCTATATATGATACTGATTCCGGAAACGGGCTTGCCGCTCACAAGACAAAAGTGGCTATGAAGCCCCGGAGGGAAAGGCGGACTCCAAGGCACCACGACCCTAGAAATATCAGCCTTACATGGGGAGGCCCAGACAATTTTAGCTAGGGTGGAAGTTAGCGGGTCACCAGGCACTGGCTAACGAATCTAAGTCTCGGACAGTTGGTTAGGCAATTCAGGACATGCATGCAGCTCCGCACTATTTTTAGCTGAATCAGATAGCCAACTGGGTAACGAACCAGGGCACCGCCCCATGATCCACCGAGGAAGGGTGACCAGCGCTAATGGGAAATCATGCTTGCGAACAAGGCAGCGTTGGTGTAACACGTTATTAAAACATCGGCATTGCACGGAGCATGCAAAAGACTGCACATGGAAGCAAGAAATTTGCTCATGTAAATCAGCCTCAAGCTCGAGCGAATGTGGTGCCATTGCCTCCCTCTTATACGGAGTACTTGGGAAGCAGAAGCACCCGACAGAACCGTGAGCAGGGCAGCGTCGCTCACATATACTGACATGCCTTGTATGGATACTTATTCAGCCATTATGCAAAGTATAGGGATATCCATAGCCCAAAAAACCACCAAAAAAAAAAAAAAGGAGAAAAAAAAAAGACAATAACTCTTCCCAAAGACGCATTCATATCGTCATCAGTATCATATCAGAACTAGTTAATAAAACGTCCGTGAGGCCTTAGCCTGGCCCCTTATATCCTTCTTCTCCAAACGCCTCTCTGAATTTCCAATTAAACTCGCAAGAAGCAAATACCAAATCAGTAAGACCATAAAAGTATATACATATGCGTACATCGCACCAAAGATTAAGTAATTGAAGGCAAAACCTGTAACTGGTGCCCCTGCGTCACATCACAGCGCATTTGCCGTCCCTCCTCCCACCTTGACTACCTCCCTCACTCAGCCAATCGCTCGACTGTGAACCCAAAACATTCCTTCCGGTACGTCTATCGCGAAGACCGTAGTTGGCCAGAGGCATGAGCCTCCCTGCGTCTTGCGAACGGGAGCGGGATCTCTGGACACCGTGGCTTCTGGCGGCTAACACATGGTCCGCGCTTAGGCCAAGATTGTTGCGCTGATGTACGCGCAAACTACTGGCCACCGGATTACCATGTGATGCCGGGCGAGGGTGAGGAGTGCCGTGATGCAAGTTATTGGCTTGTGGTCGAGTATTATACCAGCTTCTCCGGGTTTCAGCCTCGACCGGAGTGGGTGGGAGGGACCGCATATTGAGAGCATTTCGGGGAAGCGGTGCGGTGTGAGGGGCCGAAGGTACAAGAGATGCGTTCTGATTTTGAATTCTGGCCTGCATGGGCCCTTGATGACTTGTAGTGGAGGTAGAAGCCTGACCGGCAATCGTGTGCGAGGAAGGGCGGAACTGCGTGGTCTGTTGTGACGCGGGAGCACTCTGGCTATTCGCGTTATGTGGTTCTGATAGTAGAACTGGAGCGTTCTGTAATGGCGATGTTGTGTTGGGGCTACGTGCGGAATAATTTGACGCACGATAATTTGTGTTCAGCATCGGGAGGGGCGGGCGGGGAGTTGGAGAAATATCGGGAGGTTGCAAGAGAGTGTTAGAATTGCGATTTACTCTTGTCGAGGAACGATGGATAACTGACTGCGCCATAGATTCTAAGCGGGACGTCCTTGAGCGCCGCAGTTGATTGCGGCCTACATCGTTTCTGGGAGTCGGCTCGGTCGCAGCCGGCAAGAGGGTTCTTCGTAAGTGCTCTGGCAGCGGAGCTTCAGCATTCGGCGTATACGGCGGCGGTGGTGGCACCCAATTGTCTGCATCGCTCTCATGCGGAAGATATCGAAACCTTCGACCGTCCGATTGTACCTGCCGAGCATTTCTGTATCGTGGATCAAGGCGATTTGTAGCAGCCGACGCTCTGTTTATCGTATCCCTAGACCTTGGCGATGAATTATTATAAGGGTTGTCTATCAGCGCAAAATCCTCGCCTTCGTTTGCAGGTGAAGTAGGTTGCAAGCGCTGGTTGCGCCACGGTCCGCGCGGCGGATTCATCGAGGACGGATCGCGACAGCCACCAAGCCCACGTCGACGGTTCATATGGGTCCTTCTCCTTTCAAGCTCGACCTGCTGGGCTAGATTCGAGCCTGGTTCTGGTAACTTGGTGGGCTCTACCTCTCCCAATTCGATCGTTATCTCGGTTTCCTTGCCGTTCGACGGAGAATATTCAAAGTCGTATATCAGGATTCTTCCGCCATCGATTGGTAGCATGTTTCCAGTTGCTGCACCCAACCATGAGCTGACCCCGCCAGGGGCTACGGCTGCTAGCCTGCAGAGTTTACGAGACATGGTATCTCCCGAGCCCTGGTCATGAACCCATTTGATGGCCGAAATGCCGCCTAGAACGCGCAAAGAGGATCCATGGACGAAGGTTTTCGCCCCGTCGATGGTTTTCTTGAGACGATTGAAATTTGTTGCTACCGATCCCGATTTCCAAACCGGGACTTTTTCTTGGCCATCCGCAGCCTCCCCTAGCGATGAATCGGTTGATGCGTGGCTCTCCATATTCGGAATTCCATAGACCCACAGTTCGGATTCCCAGAATCCCACAGCCAGGAGCTCCCCGTTCCCGCTAGCAGCGGGGAAGATGTAGGGCTTCGGTTCATCCCTGTCAGAATCCGGTCCCGGTCCCACAAAATATATCGCCTCTGCATTCGGGCCATCGATCGGGGCTAGGCAAAACGCTTTCGACTCAATGTTGTACCCGGCAAACCACGGCGAGCCGTCACCTCCTTTTATGGATGGAATCAACACTGCATGGCTATAGCCTTCATGCACCTGTGGGAATAGAATTTGGGTGGTCCACAGTCGGCTCTCTAACTCTCGAACTGAGAGATCAACGTCAGGATCATTGCACAGTGGAGGGGAGATGGTGACGAAACTGGAGTTCCGTAGATTATTGGAAGCTCCGAGCAGCATTGATCCGTCACAGCAAAAAGTTAGGAGATCCACGCCGACGCATCTGACGGCCCTGCGAGCAGTGGACAGAACGTCCTCTCCGATGGCGTAGACTTCGATGCCTCCATCATAAGCAACAGCGAGAATTGCTGCATCTGGTGAGAATGCAAGCGCACGGGGTACATCGCTCAATCCTATGCTTTGCACCAAACGTGCGGTGCCGCCGTCTGCGAGTGTATATATGTGTGCCTGGTGCTCCGAGGACACCATGGCCAAGACGGTCCCTTCGTCGGCGATGGTGGCTATGAGAGGGCGACGCATCGTCTTCAGCTCGTGAAGTACTGAGATCGGGTCCATGGTCAGGTCGATCACAAAGATCCTTGAGGAACTAAGCGCGAGCAGCTGCCGGCCTTTTGCAGAAAACTCGAAGCGAAAAGCTTCCCCCTGTGGAAATGCAGACGACGAACTAGCTGACACCGAAATCAGATTTACTAACGTCCGTCTTGGCCGAAGGAACACATCAAAGGCATTCCTCCTTGCTTCGCGTGTAAATCTGCTTCTTACAGTCTTGATGTCATCCGACGCCGACAGGCTCGAAGCGGGGTCGTGGCTGGCAGAGCCTGGGGTACGGCAGCCCAGGAGGTGATGATGGTAAAGCTTGGAGCAAGTAGAAATCTCTCTCCATTTCCTGTTGAGCAACGCGAGAGAGGCGAAGACATTTGCATCCACCGTGTAGAGGATCCTGATTTGACCAAATAAGCATACATAATCCACCACCACCACGACATCGAAGGAGTGGGGATTCAAACAGACCGTTCGATGACGTCTTTAGGAAGCCTGCTAAAGGCATTAAGCTGAGGATCCGTTTTCCCCTCTTCAGCATGCCACGCGGTAGAGCCGCAGCCAGCTACACGGCGAGGGCGAGTTCTGCGAGGGCCCGGGCCACTTGCCCTGCGCTCTGGGCTGCACGCACGAGAGCATTGCTGCTCGCTATGATTCCCGTCTCTTGCTGGCAGCGTGACGGGGTCAGATTCCATAGTCCTGTCGAGCACGTCCGATCAACCATCATCCATAATAGCGGACTCGCGCAGCGATTCGCATCGGTCCGTGGCTCGAAGAAAATCAGAGAACTCCGATCTTTGAGCCAGACTTGGCGGCCCAGTCGTTGTCAGTCCGTCGGTCCCGTCCGTCGGTCCGTTCGTTCGTTCGTCGCGGACACTCCCCTTTTTTTTTTTTTTTCACGGTGCCGGTTGATGGGGGGTGTTCATGAAGAGAGTGACAATCCACAGCGCAGCAGCCTGTGCTTCTGCCAGCGAGCGGGTTTCATAGTCGACGACTCGACGGAGGAGGAGGATGGGATGCACAGAGAGAGAGAGAGAGAGGAGAGAAGAGAGAAGAGAGAAAGGAGAAAGAGGGGGAGAAGAGAAAGGAAAGAGAGAAGAGGACAGCGGCCGCTCCGCCTGTTCCCTCGTTCGGCGCAAGGATTAAAAAAACGCGGCAGACTGGCAGCCAAAGGCGGTTTAGCGTACTGAACAGCCACCGCTAGTCGGACCAATCACAACGCGCATCCAACAGCGGGTAATAGACGCTAGTCCCAACCAGGCATGGTTTGTGATTACCTCATGTTGGCTCACGTGACATGCGCAATTGGCCAATCGGAGGCGACGCAGCGGCAAAGATGTAACATCGTCAGACGAGCGAGAGAGCGAGAGAGAGAGAGGGAGAGAGACAGAGCGGCATCGCGTCATAAGGAAGCTGTGCCAGACAGACAGACAGACAGACAGACAGACATGGCAGCCCGGCTCCCATCATAATGGATGTGTGTGCGCTGCCTCCCATCATAGCTGCTCTGCGTCCCCGTCCCAATCCAATCCCCTCCCCTGGCAACCCATGACTTTTTCTCCCGCTGGACTGATGATTCTCTGCACCGTTGGTCCGCCATCCCGCCGAATTCCACCAAGCATAGACGCTCCGAACCCGCTGATGGGCCCGGTTTGATATACCGGCACCCTTTTCCTTTCTTTTTTTTTCCTTTTCTTTCTCTCTTTTTTTTTTTTTTTTTTTTTTTTTTTTACTTTTGTATATAGAATTATGTCATCTTCAACGACGACTTCTGCGCCCGCGCCCAAAAGCGCGCCGGCATATACAATCAGTACGGGTTCCAGGCCGTACCGATCTCACAAGGTGAGAGCTTGCGATCTATGCCGGAAAAGAAAATCCCGGTGCACCGTGGATCTGCCCGGCCAGTCATGCCTTCTATGCCGGATTCAGGGTGCCGATTGTCACTACAAGGAGGACCCGGCCACAACGGGATCTTCGCTGCACGGAAACAACAACGGCGAGACGAAGCGGTGGTCTCCCGCGCCAACTGCTCCTGTCCAGCGAAAGATTAAGAGAAAATATGAAGACTCTTCCTTGGATCAGCAGCCCGCGCGGGACATCATGTCGATTCCCTCTGTGACCACCGCCTCACAGCCTCCGGTCACCCATCGGCACGACCAGAATCCCGAGCACCGCAAGCATAACGGGCTGGGCGGATCCATGAATGAATCTGTACACATCATTGGACCGGTTGCAGCCGAGGACGCGCAGGTCATAGAACGCTACATGCCTTCCGAAAGGTCCAAGAAAAGCCCCGACGATAAAACCCCATATAATGTTTACTCTAACGACCCACGAAAACCCATCCTCTACACGACTGTCGCCAGGCAAAGACAAGGGGTCCGCTGCAGCGGCGTTCCCGGAGAAAACCAGAAAGATATCATTGAGCAAATCTTAGGTCCCTTTAAGCACGACCTTGTCACAATGTACGTCCTTTTCTTTTTTTTTTTGTTTTTAACCAAACCCTATCCCAATCTAAGTAACCTCTCCTCCCACCTCCCGCCTTCTAACCTTGTATCTTTGATCAGATTTTTGGAGAAGATTAATGCCTCCTTTCCGCTCTTCGATGAATATGTTTTCATGGAAGCTTATAAGGCCGGGGACGGAAGTCTACCGCCGCCTCTAATGTGCCAGGTATATGCCATGTCTCTCATTTACTGGAATCAGTCGCCGGTTCTGGCTCCACACCCCAAACCCGACATCAGATATGCGGTGAATCTCGCCGTTGCTGCTCTTCATGAAGAGTTCTCGGCTCCTGGATTATCGACATTGAGTGCTGCATTGATTGATCTGACTGGACGACCAATCTTCTCCATGACCGGGAATGCCATCAATACGGGACGTACAGTTGCGCTTTCTCACTGCCTTGGTCTGAATCGCGACCCTAGCAGCTGGAAGCTCTCTCCCTCTGAGAAGAATAATCGCATCCGGCTATGGTGGGCTGTAGTTATCCACGATCGATGGTGAGTGGTCTCCACCCTCCCCAAAAAGAAGTAGAAAAACAGCCCCGATCCATAGAAATGGGAGACCGCCTGTCTGACATGGAGGATTTCAGGGCGAGTTACGGGCACGGAGTGCCTCCGCAGATCTGCCGAAATCAGTACGATGTCCCACTCCCCACGATAGACATGTTAGTCCCACAAACTGGCGCCAGCCAACAAAGGTTCCGGGCGGCACATGGATATATCTTCCTGTGTCGTCTCACCGAAATTCTCGGTGACCTACTCCCCTTGGTGTACGGTCTTCAACCGAAGAACGCCAAGGAGACATCGAAAACTGTAAGGCGGATGAGAACAGAGCTGGACAGGTGGGAGGATTCACTCCCCGAGTGGCTGAGATCTCCTCACAGTGAAAACGGCGTTCCAACATCCGGCTCGAGCAGCCTGCAGTTGGCATTTTTGGCAGTGAAAATGCTTGTCTGTCGAATAGAGCTCCAAGTATGGTTCAATTCTTTTCCCTCCCCCCCCCCCCCCCCCCCCCCGGCAGGGGGGCCATTTTCTCTTGAAGCCAAAGCTGATCTGTTTCTTCGCAAGGAAATTAACCACTCGGAGAACTCCAATCCTGAGGCTCGACGTTATTTCCAGACAGAATGTAGGAAAGCAGCTGAGGATATAGTGCAGTTCTTTCTTTCTCTCAAGAGACCCCATTTCCAAGAGTTTTGGATGTCATGTATGTCTACTCACCCGGTCCTCCGTTCGTCGCGCGGTTCTCAATGCTAACTGCCTCTCCGTAGACAGTGCATACCATCTTACGTCAACGGCCACGTTTCTTTTCCGCTGCGCGTTGGAGACCTCTGACCCTGATATCGCAAGATCTTGCCTAGCAAACGTCGACACATTCTTAAGCGTCCTCCGGAGAGCTCGGGCAGAGCATGAGTGGGACGTCGCAGATATGTGCCTTGATCACTGCGAGAGGATCTTGAGCAAGCACCCGGGAATCAACCACGACGATCCACAACCCTCGATCGCGCCTCCCTGTGATGTAACTGACACGCCCGTCTCGATGACCATGCCGATGCCGGAGACTCCTTGCCATAATGACATTGTTGGGGATATGATGTCCATATCGGGGACGTTTGGCGCGATGGACGGATTTCCGTTTGACATGACCGGGATCTGGGACGTTCCCGGGCTTCAGGACCAGGAGAGCCACTTCATGAATATACCAAGCACAATGTGATAGATAAATAGGGATACTTCTTTAGTGATCTGTTTATTTTTTTTGTCTCTTTCCCTGTACATGTATTTAGCTGACGTTCTTGCGTCCACTGCGTCTTTTCTTGTTTTGCTCCTTTTGAGTGTACATACAGACAAGCTTTGTGATAATTCAAGACACCATACTCCGTACCCCGTACTCAGTTCTCCTCGCCGTCTCTAGATGGGAAAAAGAAAAAAAAAAGGAAAAAAAGAAGGGAAAGGTGGAAAAGTTTCCCACGGGGCCGCAGGCAAAAGCAGTGCGAGAGTGCACTAATGCCGGTCGAATCTCGTATCAAAGCTCAGGCCAACCGGCGATTCAGCGTCCTTCAACGCCGGTCGGCGTTAACACAGACACGCATTCTCGGCAATAACCAGCGATTAACTCGGTTTCTTTCTGCGAGCGCTGGCCAGGCGAATGTCCCCCGAACACGCAGCAACCATATGGCTCCAACTAACCCTCCACGGCAAGCAAGAAAAGGATCGTAATGCCTCCCCGCTATGCGTCTCCGGTGATCGCAGAGTTTCCCGATACCGTGTCTCAAGTTTTCCGCCTCTGTTTTCCGTAGTTCTGGAAGGAGACAAAAGATGAATGCTGATCGACCTGGCTCATGACTTATTCCTTAACTACACTTATCTAAAGAATTGGGTGCTAGTTATCTGCTGTATGCAAAGAGTAGTAGTTACCAACCCCGGTATGAATAGTAGACAGGCGATTCCCATCCGGTCGTGGAAAATCACAACGAGCATCGCGGCCGTGGGAGTTGGCTCTGTGTCAGCCATAGTGACAGGCCTATAACTCGGGGATAGGGAACCTGTACTGGTGCTGGCCGGCGGTTGGACAACGCCGAAGGTCGTATAAACGGCTTATCCAATATTTTTGCTGTATTAGGGTTAGCACCGTAGCCTGCTACCGGCCGGGGATGAACGATTGACCCCAGGGCAGTGTATCTTCACTCGGATCTTCCCCCAGAAAGCGTGCAGATTTCCGTTTTGCAGCCAGCAGACCAAATTCCCGCGCACTCATCCAAAACAAGCTGGCTATCCCGCACTCTCTCTGCTGCTTTCCCCCACACTAAAACCGCAAACCCCACGGGGAAGCTTGACGGGGTCTTGCAGTCTCCGTTGCTCTGGACAATTGGGAAAACCAAGGCCTATATAAAGAATCAATTCCCCTTTCCTCGGGCTCCAGAACCCTCCTTGGAAAGGAAGCGGCGGGAAAGGCCAATCGCTGAGTTGCATATCAATTCATCCCCTGGAACGGTTTCCACGGGCACTTAACACATACTGCACACAATCCCTGTCGCAATCTTTCTTGACCCCATTATCCTTGTTGACTCTGACACGTCTGACCAACGACCTCACCCTTGGTTCACATTTTCCCGATACCAGATACTTTAGATATCGATAAGCTCTTTTGCTCCGGACGCAGTCGCCCAGTATCGACCATGGCGCCCACCGTCGCCCAAGTGGCGTCAAACGGACATAGCGCGGAAAATGACGGGGGTTCTGGCTCGAAGCGTCTCTACTCCGCGCAGACCAACTTGCTCGCTGCGCAAAAAAAAGCTTCACATGATTTCCGCTCGGATGTCGTCACGACACCGACGGAGAATATGATGCAGGTAATTATGAAAAGAAATCAATTCCTTGGGAAACACAGAGCCGGGCAAGTGAAAGCCCCGGAGTACGTACCTTGCTCGTGGCCAATTACATCCTGCGGGAGCTCTTTTGCGAGTCACTTTTGATTCTGCATTGCATGTATTGTCAATATTGGGAGTTTGCTTCTGCAGCTGGCTATTTGCTTTTTTTTGCTTACGTCCCTGTGCGGTTAAATAGTGCAAATTCGTCTCTCTTTTGATATATTTTTTATTTCTCGGCTCACCGATAATTCCCAGGCCATCATCGATGCAACATTCGCAGACGATGTGTTCGACGAAGGCGGTGATCCCTCCGTCACGGCCCTTGAGCAGAAGCTCGTGGAGCTCACGGGCATGGAAGCCGCCCTCTGGGTGCTCTCTGGGACCATGGGCAATCAGATCTGTCTACGTACACACCTGACACAACCTCCACATTCGGTTCTGCTGGACCATCGAGCACACATTTATACCTGGGAGAGTGGCGCGCTGCCGGTGATGTCACAGGCGAGCGTGACTCCAGTTCACCCGGCAAACGGAATCCATTTGACGTTGGAGGATGTGAAGAAGAATATGATTCCCGAGGAGAACTGTATGTGATCCACTCCCAGTGCCCCTGGCTCGTGAAACTTGTCTGATTCAGATTTCCAGTCCATTTCCCACCCACCCGGGTCGTGGCTTTAGAGAACACCCTCAATGGAACCGTGTTGCCTCTGAAACATGCAAAGGAAATCTCCGACTACGTCCGCAGCTATCCTGTCCCTCCGGGCCAGAAGCCCGTCGCCATGCATCTCGATGGAGCACGGGTTTTCGACGCTGCGGCCGGAGAAGGAATCGATATAAAAGATTACTGCGCCTGCTTTGACAGCATTAGCGTATGTCTTGCAAAGGGTGTCGGTGCGCCAATCGGTAGTGTAATCCTTGGCTCCAAACCATTTATTGCGCGAGCAAAATGGTTCAAAAAGATGTTTGGTGGTGGAACAAGACAGGTATGAGCTCTCCATTTTCCCCATTTCCCCAAACTTTCAACCAAATCGATAAAAGGGGGGAAACAAGAGAATGAATGGAAAAATATGAAAACAATACGAAAAATGAAAAAAGAGAGAACCAGGCTGAATAAAACAAATTTAACAGCCTGGAATGATGGCCGCGGCTGCTCACGCGGCGCTGACAAATTCCATTCCTCAACTGCCCCGCGTCCATTCACTCACCAAATCCACCGCCGCCCGCCTCTCCGCGCTGGGCTACACATTCTCGTCCCCGGTGCAAACAAACATGATCCTTCTTGACCTTGAAGCCGCGGGAATCCCCGTCGCGGCGTTCGTGGACTACTTGACCGAGGCTGGTGTGCAGGTGTTCCCCACACCAAGATTGGTGTTTCACTATCAGACAGCCCAAGAAGCGGCGGACAAACTTGTCGATGGGCTGGGGCGGTTGATACAGGATAAGAAAGCTGGGAAGGACCTGGTTGCGAGGAAGATGACGGGTGGCTATGCCAAGGGTGGTTCAGAGTAGGGGAACCTGGGGCGTGTATTCTCTGTGAAACTCCAGCAGAGGGCTTTAACTTAATGAACATGCATGGTGAATGAGTATGAATTGTCTTTTTAGTCGTACAACTTTTGTTGTTCAGACAGTACAGCAGAGTTGGGTTGATGATATTGGGATAGCTGCTAGACTAAACATAGAATGAGGCCCATCTGTTTATCTTTGGCAGGCAATTCAAATAGGCAGATATGAATTTGAAGAATGGTGGATATTATAAAGTGTGTTTTCATTTCAAAATATGGTACATAGAATTTCCAGTTGTATGGGCTAGACCAGGTGTCTTGCTAAGAGAACATGAAGGGAAAATGTGTCAATATGAACTCTAATGAGCAAAGGGCTAGTAAAAATGGACGGTGGGAAACTGAAAAAACAACGATGATGACTCCAGGTCCAAACCCATTAAGGCTTAGAGAGGAGAATAGGACAAACCCCCAAAAGACGGAGTAACCTAACCGCCAACATGCACGCGAGACCCCAAGACAAGATAAACAGGGTGTATGTGAACCCCCCAAAAAAGAACTTCCTTTTATACAAATGGCAGCAGGTAGGAACATTAGTCTTCACATCATCATTTGTCCCCTCTCATGATCACCGGGGAGGCACTTCAAGAGTTCATTTCTTCTCCTGGCCGCCACCTCCAAAGAAACTTGTGAAGCTATTTTTCATCCCTTTCATCTGCTCATCTCTCATCTTCTCTTCCTCTGCAGCCATCTCGGCAAGCCATTTCTCTCCATTTTCTTGGATCTCCTTCTCAATCAACTGGTATTGCTTTTGGCCGCGTTCTCGGATCTGGTCCCAGAGCATCTTGCCCTGCTCCAAGCCCTCAGTGGTACTATGATCCAACCCATCGATAGCCGTTCCCATTGGCTTGATACCGAAGAGTGACGCGATGCTGCCGATGCTGTGCTTTGGTCTCTTGGCGCGTTCTTCGGCTAATTGTTGTTCGAACTTCTCACGCATGATCTTTTCCCGTCGAGCGAATTCGGCGGGGATGTACGTGCCCTCGAAGGATTTCAAGACAGTTCTGACGTCATCCATACCCATTCCCGCGACGTATTCAAGGAAAGGAATCAGAGCAACAAGGGATCTATCTTTCGGATCACCGTTCCATTTAGGAAGGATGATGGCATTCTCGGGTTGGCGTTTAGCGTGGGGCTCATGGGTGTCGATCAAAATGACCTTGGAGAGGTCACGGTTGAGGTAAGAGAGATCCTATCCAAGGTTAGAGAAAACGGTCGAGTGCGCAGGAATAAAAATGATAAAAAGATACCTTAACATATTCACCATCCTCGTATTTCGTGGCTTCTCTGAATAGCGGCCAGCGGATGATTCGATAGGGATCCAGCTTGCGAAGCACTTGGTCGGCCATCATGCTAGGAACGGTGGTGAAGAGGACGAGCTCGTAGTACTGATTAAGATACCGGAGGAAGTAGTCAACTCCTGGGCGTTTAGCAACTCGCCATCCGTGTTCCCGAGTCCATTCGCTGTGAACAAGAAGATCTTCCAAACTGAGCACCAGTGTGTATGGCTGCCTCAGCGCGGGATCCTCTTCGGGCAAAAGCTTCTCAAAAGCTGGGTCTTTGTAGTAGCTTGTCAAATCATCGAAACGTGCCTTGATACGGTTAAAGAACAGGCCGAATCCCCAGCCCGAAGGGGCATCTGGATGGGCTTTCTCCTCTTCCTCTGTAGCCCAGTCTCGACCAAGATATATCGTCCCAGCGAGGCCAACGCTGAGCATAATGGCATACGTCAGGTTTGCAAGTCGGGTGCGACGGCGATCAAGAGAAGATACATAGGCATTCTTTGGAATATCACCACCGCCGCCGCTCTCATCTCCAGCACCACCCTTTTCGGGATCTTCTGTGAGGTTCAAGCCGGTGGGACCACGGCGTCTCGATTTGGCAGCCAACTCTTCGGCTATCGTAGACGGGATACCTTGTGTAAGATCGGGAAGAGGCTGCTGCGGTTGCTGCACAGACTGCGACTCCGAGGCATCTTCCGTGGGACGGCTCTCTGTCTCGAATTCGGTCTGGTTATTTGAAAACTCCGGGGATTTTGCACCGGCACCGGATGGCCCCGTTTGGGCGTGGCTCACACCAGCGCCAGCACCGGTAGACTGTGGAGCTTCATTCTGTTGCGATTCGGGGTTTGATTCAAATTCCGTCTGTTCTTCGGAGAAGTCCTTTGGTTTCGAGGGATTTGGTGGTTGGGAGACGACTCGTGGTTTTTGAGAGGGATTGACATGAGAGCTAGATGAAGGGGCAGACGAAGGGATATCGTAGCCATGGGGTTTGTGGTTTTTGGCATAATACCTTGACTGGAGCGTTGTGTAGGATAATCTGATAGTGGTGGGAATCGCTCTGTGCCTCATCAGAGGCAGAGCAGCACGGCTGAGCATCTCGGCGGGGTGCTATTCACATCAATTAAAAAGTAGAAACAAGCTCTGTGCTCATGTTCTGGAACCACAGAGCATTGATTGAGAAACGGTGGGAGGACTGGGGCTGGATGGCTGAGGGCTGCCTCTCCGCGGTCAAAAATTTGGAAATGATCTTTGAGCTCCAACCTGGCTGGCTACGGCTCTCTCCAGCGGCCAAGCGTGCAATCCCGTGATGCTCTGTTTTTGGTTTAGTTAACTTTAGTGGAGTCGAACTACAAAAAGGCATATCACAAAAACTTTCAGTCTTTTTCTTTTTTCTTTTTCCTTTTTTTTTTTTTTTTCTTCTTAACCAAAATGAAAGTTGAACAACCCAGACAATTGAAATTTGACACCTTGCATGAGAAAAGTTAGTTTCTCAATTGGTATGCATTGTGTTGTATTAGCTGGGGAGACCGAGGTCTAGTTTACTGGCCGTCTTACCCCCAAGAACGACAAGTGAGATTCCAATGACCATGTCGTCCCGTTGGTTTCGATACATGCACTTTAACAATAATGATAATGATGTGTCTCTTGAGTCTCTCGGAATCTGATGGCTATTCGGAATTCCACTACTCCGTACACTCCTGTCACAAACTTTAGCTCTATGCAGCCGAGACATGGCTCGTGGCTACGGTTTAAGGACCGCCCGGCAATCGACCACATGATTCTCTAAGATTCCGTCAGTGGTAGCACCTCACAGCAGGTGCTTTTCTTTCATTGCTTTTCATACTTGTAGTCACAATTTTGATTTGTACCCTGACCGGACCAGAATAACAGGCTGACTAGTTGTTCTGTGGCTGAACCCTGATGGAAGAATCCCGTGGATCATGATGCATCTCAGTTTTAGGCGGAGATTGTTATCATACCATTGTAGATGAATCACCTTGTTATCCCAGCTCACTGGTTGTACACTCACAGCGCTTCTATTAAATGGAAAAGAAAACCAATGCCAAAAAAAAAAAAAATTCACCACCTTGACCTATATCATAGGTCTTCATCAGTTTCCATCTTGTCAACCTGCTGCTCTGCCTTATTTGCTTCCCGAGCTAGAGAGGCTTCTTTATCAATCATTTGCCGCGATATAGCCACAATGTTGTCTTCGATGAGCTGTTGACCGACGTCTTGAATGTCTGTGTGTATATAAATTGAGAAACAGGGTCCGGACTCAACAAGGATTAAAGAATTACTTACGCTTCTTCGGGTCCACTTTTCCGACATATCTCGTCTTAAGCTGATCCTTTGTGAGCTCGGTCTCCTCTTTCACTCGCTTCTCGTATCCTTCTGCAAGGCCAACAAGTTTCTGTAGTCTCTCGACATTCTGCACTCCATCTTCACGGAAATTCTTCATCTGCAGGGCGTCCGTCCAAACATGCTTGTGTAGATTCATCAACATATTTTCCTCTAACCCAGTCTTTCGATAATTGATAGCGATGCTATAGTAATGTCGGTTCAGACCGTGGATGAGAGCTTGGATCGACGGCTTGTTGAGGTGGCCCAAATTGGAAGTGGTTTGACGAGGCTCTTGGCCCATTACAAGAGTTTGTGGCGCGATCAACCGGAATGCATCGATGACAACTTTTCCTTTAACAGACTGAATCGGGTCAATGACGACAGCGACGGCACGCGGAGTAAGTTGTTCGAAGGACTGTTGGGTGTTGATATCGACCGAGGAGAGCCAGCATCCAAAACCAGGATGGGAGTGATACCATCCAACCACTGTCTCTGGTCTACACGTAGGTTAATACGTTCTGTCACGCTTGGGAGGGGGAAGAAACTAGATATATCCGGCCGTCAACGAACCTTCCTGTTTGTCGGAGCATGTCCATCATGTTTGTCTGAAATACGGGGTCGACTGCCTCAACGCTGACACCGGTACCACTCTGCGGCATAGCAAATACATCGACGACTCTAACAGTATATTCGTCCACGAAGTCTCCGAGCATCAAGCCCATGACCTCCATTGGCACACCGGCACGACCATGCCGCAGCATCTTTAAGAGGGCGAGCGAAGAAATGTGGACAGTCTCTGAATTGTCTATGAGGTTCGGGGTATCCTGGAACGGGCAATTTGTCAGTTCCGACATGGAGTAAAAGTCATGCCCCAGGGTCGAGGCTTAAAAGACAACTTTCGACCAGCTGCCACAGCTGAAGAGCAGGCATACGTACCCCACTGGGAGCAGCATTCATACCCATCCCCTGGGCAGCTTGGAGCATTCGACTCAGGCGCTCCATTTTGAATATGAGACCTGTCTAGCCTTGCGAGCAGTAAGGAGATAGGAAAACGGGACGGGATGTAATATCCACGCCCAAAGGGCAAGCTAAAGGGCAAGCTGTTGAAACAAAAGAGCGGAGTGGCGCGGGTGCTGGAGAAAGAGAGGCGGCGAGATAAAATGGATAGGGAACTCAGAACAGCCTGTTGCCCTAGACGGATTTAAGATGGAGGTTTTGGATGTGGTTGTGCGGGTGTGGTTTCTGACTGAGCAGATGGAGCAGCGCGAGTTCGTCCGTTCTCTCCGTCCGCTGCGCTGTCCAGGTTGCCTGTCTGGATCGCAAGCCACAGCAGGCGAGGCGCGAGAGCTGTCGACGGGCCAATCAGCACGAGGATACCCATTAGTCAGCAGAGGCCAAACCTTAAGCTTGTGGCTCCGTCAGTCAGGTGCCCGGCGGCCAATCAGCAGGCGGTGCCGTACTTTGTGCTTGTTCCCCCCATGAAATCATCCGCGCAGCAGGTCTTCCTCTCTCTCGGCCCTCCGTAGTAATTCTCTGCCTTTCTCACTCCGTTCTCCTCGCATTCACTGCTGGCTAATGTGCCTGTGCCATTCTCTTCTGTTCAGCGCTCTGTTCCAGTCAGTCAATCCTAGACTCTGGCACTTCACTGCTTGCTTCCACTTTGTTCAAATTTCACTCCACCCCCCGTTGCCCTCGTCGCACGCACGTTTGATAGCAACTAAGCGCTCCCGATTTGGCCGATTGCAGCCATGGCTGGTCTCGGTCCCATTGATCTTTCTATGACGAATGGAGCTGCTGAGAAGAAACGAGTTGCTTATTTCTACGATTCCGACGTGGGCAACTATGCTTACGTTGCTGGGCATCCGATGAAGCCTCATCGGATTCGAATGACCCATAGCTTGGTCATGAATTATAGCTTGTACAAGAAGATGGAAATCTACGTAAGTTGCTTCTGTACACATCCCTTTAATTTTTCCTCCTCTTTTTTTTTTTTTTTTTTTTTTTTTTTTGGTTTGGTTTTTTTGGTTGCCTCTTTGGGGTCCTTTGCGTACGTGCTGCTGGCCCGGTTTTGGGTAAATTTTACTGACAAGGCTACCCCTTCAGCGCGCCAAACCGGCCACCAGGCTAGAAATGACACAGTTTCACACTGATGAATATATTGATTTTTTGTCCAAAGTAACCCCCGACAACATGGAAAGCTTTCAGAAAGAGCAGCAGCGATACAACGTGGGTGATGATTGCCCCGTATTCGACGGACTCTTCGAATTTTGCGGCATCAGCGCCGGCGGCTCCATGGAGGGCGCGGCGCGCCTTAACCGGGGCAAATGCGACATCGCCGTGAACTGGGCCGGTGGTCTTCACCACGCAAAGAAGAGCGAAGCCAGTGGCTTTTGCTACGTTAACGGTAAGTTGTTTCCTTGGTTTGTATCCCTAATTTCCTTGTTGACGTGCTCAAAAGACATCGTTCTCGGAATCCTCGAGCTGCTTCGTTTCAAACAGCGCGTTCTCTATGTCGATATTGATGTACACCACGGTGACGGTGTCGAAGAGGCCTTCTACACGACCGATCGCGTTATGACCGTCTCATTTCACAAGTACGGTGAGTACTTCCCCGGCACGGGCGAACTCCGCGATATTGGTGTCGGTGCCGGGAGGTATTATGCAGTGAACGTTCCGCTGCGCGATGGTATAAACGACATCTCATACAAAGGAATTTTCGAACCCGTGATCAAGAACGTAATGGAGTGGTATCGACCTGAGGCCGTCGTCCTCCAGTGTGGCGGTGATAGTTTATCGGGTGACCGTCTTGGTTGCTTTAACCTCAGTATGAGAGGCCATGCCAACTGCGTGAAATACGTCAAGAGCTTTGGACTCCCGACCATGATCTTGGGTGGCGGCGGGTACACCATGAGAAACGTTGCCCGTACGTGGGCATTTGAAACGGGTCTGCTTGTCGGGGAGCAGCTGCCCACCGAATTGCCCTACAATGATTACTATGAAGTAAGCTCCCCACATCCTTTAATAACCACGCTTTGCTAACGTGTTGTTGAAAAGTATTTTTCGCCCGATTACGAACTGGATGTTCGGCCATCCAATATGGATAATAATAACTCTAGAGAATATATCGATAGAATCCGGAAGCAGGTCATTGAGAACCTGAAGCGTTCCGCCCACGCGCCTTCCGTGCAGATGACGGATGTTCCCCGTGACGCTTTGGTCGATGGCATGGATGACGAGGCCGACGCTATCCTTGACGATCTGGATGAGGACGAAAACAAGGATACGCGATTCACAAAGAGACGATTCGATCAATATATTGAAAAAGAAGGTGAACTAAGCGAGAGTGAAGATGAGGAGATGGCAGCTGAGAATGGTGTCCGCCGCCAACCCAATGGCACAAAGCGGCGCAATCAAGTCAATTACCGAAACTTAGAACCTGAATCTGGAATGAACAGTGGTATTGCCACTCCTCGCGATGCGTCTTCCGTCGCTGATGAGGAGGTTTCTGATACGAAGATGGACGATGTTGGAGATATTGATATCCCGGATAAGCGCTCACCTACCCCCACTGCGGAACCTTCAACTCGACCTGAATCAAGGATAGAGACGGAGGAGCCCTCCGTTCCAGAGCAACAAACAGCCCCCACGACTGAAAATGAAGACAAAATACCGGTAGCATCTCCTCCAGTGTCGCCACAGGGGTCGGCACAACCGAATGGTGACGAGGATACCAATATGGAGGACGCAATCGTCGAGCCAGAGCCATCCGAGCCGCCAACGGCCCCCAGCGAACCTTTGGTCGCTACTCCCCCCAAATCACCTCAACCTGAAGCTTCGGCCCAATCAGCCACATCTCCTCACCCCGCAGAACCTGAGGAGGGTCCTGCGAATGCTGAGTGACGGATGCGTCTACTTTACGACAATATGTAGCTCCAAGACATGTACTCATGCGGCATTTGATTTTCAAGGTCTGGCGCCAGGAGAATACTAGGCGAGGTTTCATCATATGAGAGTTCTAGCAAGGCGTGGAAAAGCGGCTTGGGGTGGTGGGTAATCTACTTTACTTCGGCAATGGGGTTTTCTCTTCATGTTCTTGTCATATATCTATAGTGTCTATGTTATTTTTAGTTTCTACGGCAATGTACAGCGTTGTGTCTGCCCATTCGCTGCTCTTCCAGCGCTCGGCCACCCGATAAGCTTTGCGATTAGGGTTTAGGGCTACTCACGTGCTCAAGACAGAGCCCCGTGACTCCGCAACACGCGCCAAGATTTTTGGAGCCCACACTAAGCGAGCACCGAAGCTGAGGAAATTGGAATATCGCCAGCGAGGGAATCGAAGCCAACACCCCGTCCTCGATACCGCGACCTCTCCAATCCCCGACTTCGAGTATCCGCCGACCGTATATTTTCCCTTGTCTGTTGGGTCGTCCAGTTAATAATTCGCCAAAATGTCTAAGAGAGGGTGAGAATTGATGGTCCCACTTGTTCTTTTTTACTGGATGGGTTAGGTGAAAGAGGAGGTTACAATCCGTTATGAAAGAGAAAAAACCGACACGAGGCCGATTGATGATGGAGATGGGAACTTTATCCAGTTTTTACCAGCTGGATTTAAATATGAGAACGAGAAAATGCTAACATTTGGGGGTTTACTTAGTCGTGGCGGTGCCCAAGGCAACAAACTCAAGATGACTCTCGGTCTGCCAGTGTATGTTCCCTCTCTTTTTGCGAATTCCCAGATGTATTGGTCCTCCGAAGATATTCAGGCGTGCGAAATTTGCGAAGAAAAAGGGGGGGGTTTGAATCGCATGGCGCGTTTTGAACGATACAACGGGGGATCCCCGCGAACAGTGAAGTGTGATGGGACAGAAGACTGATTCTCTACGAACAGTGGCGCCGTGATGAACTGCTGCGATAACTCCGGCGCTCGAAACCTTTACATCATCTCCGTGAAGGCCTGGGGTGCTCGCCTCAACCGTCTTCCCGCTGCTGGTGTCGGTGACATGGTTATGGCGACCGTGAAGAAGGGAAAGCCCGAGTTGAGAAAGAAGGTCATGCCCGCTGTTGTTGTCAGACAGAGCAAGCCATGGAGACGTCCCGACGGCATTTACTTGTACTTCGAGGATAACGCTGGTGTGGTGAGTGCTTCCTGGAGTGGTGATATTCGATCGCTCCTGCGTTGCTATTACACGAATCGCGCAGGGTTTACTAACTATACCTCTTTGTTGCAATGCAGATCGTCAACGCAAAGGGTGAAATGAAGGGTTCGGCTATCACAGGTCCTGTTGGAAAAGAAGCTGCCGAAATGTGGCCTGTAAGTTGAAGCTCCACGACATTTTCTATGCCGTTGTTTTGAAATACAGTATCCGGCTAACCTCCCTAATAGCGTATTGCTAGTAACTCCGGCGTTGTGATGTAAATTGGGATTCTCAAAATAAAATCATGAATACAAATTCTAGGCGTTTGATGTGATACGCAAATTCAATATTCCAATTCTCAAATTTCCAGGATCTTACCGTGTGTTTATTCCATCTACATGCTCCTACGGCCTCCTTTTGCCTGTGCTCAAATCACTCGCTATACCGTTCGCGCCCGACAAAAGGAGAGTAAGGGACAACGCCATCGAGTAAGTCGAGTCGACGTCCTACATTCATTATAGGCGGTGCCATACGTGAACGTTGCCGATGGTTACAGATGCGCTCCAACGATTCTTGCTCTGCCAATGCTCTCGAATGCCAGGATGTTTATACTGATTTGTTTTTTAATCGTATCTCAATACACCTCCGCAATAGAGACTCTTTAGGCACTCATCCGAGCCTCGTCATGCCATGCTTCACAAGGGCTTCAAAACACAAAAAGCGCTTTTAGAATTGACCATTAAATTTCTCGGCCAAAGAGCTGTAATTACGTGACATATGTCAAGTATCGTATGTATCCAAGTCATTATATATATATATCTATATCCAATTACTACCCAACGTTTGCTCCAGTCGCCGTTCCCTTCTCAGTATTGACATCCATCCCATTCTGCTTTAGCATTGGTCTGGTCACTGAACCCGGGGCTCGAGATGCCTTTGGGGGAGAATCGCTCTCTCCAGACGGAGTGCTGGCTCCATCTGCCAAACACAAGATCAGCCAAGCCATTAACGCGCCCAACGTTATCACGGCAGCAATGTGCACTATCCACCAGATATGCTGTACCCCCAACTGGCAAGTAATGATGTCGTATTTCCATTCCATGACCGAAGGATCGGCGTCAAACCAGAGGGATAGAAGGCCTGCGTTACCGCCAAACTCGCCCATCATAGAGCGAAGGGTGACTTCCCTAACCGAGGGCGTAGATGGTGAAAGGTGATCACTAATGAGTTCCGGTGTATACCGTTGCGCATCCCATGACCAGCCCGCCTCAACATCACTGCTTGAATTCTCCGTATCGCCAGATGTGTGATTGACAAAGTGGACAATGTCGCATCCAGTATGGTCATGGCCAGTCAAGATCAGCCCTTTTCTCCCTCTGCCTCCAGCGGGAGCGTGAGCATGTCCGCTCATTCCGAAGATGCCTTGGAGAATTCCCACGCGACTCAGATTGTCGCTGATATGGTTCTGCTCCCGCAGTCCTCCCTTTTTAAACCGCAGCTCGCCTTCGACTGGCCACTCATCGTCCTGGGCGAAAAAGTCAAAATGTGGAGCATCGGTGCAGACGCCTGCTTTTTTATGGAGGGGTAGATGAGTGAGAAGGAGAGTGAAGGTGCTTCGGTCCTCCACCGGACGGGAGCGATAAGAGATCACGTCGTTTAGAAAGGTATAAGTCTTGTCTTGTAGTGATTGCCTGAGAGCCGGGGTGTCGAGAAGAAGGCTGTCAAGAACGATGAGGTGCAAGGATGGCGTAGGTCGTGCATTTTTGGCGGAAGAGTCATTCATTGCAGGCAGAAGATACTCAAATCGCATATCCCAATTATGTCTTCCAAACTCCCTCTCGAAACGCTCAATGCGTTTCTCCGAAATATCTCCCGCATAGCCAACGTCATGATTCCCAGCAATGCTGATAATGCGGCTTGACCAACTCGTCTCTTTGCCGGAACGGGGGTCTGGAAGTCTCTCTATCCTCTCACCCCCTGCACCGTACCCATCGCTCCCCGTAATGGTGATCTCATCATCAACCCTCACGCCCCCCTTAAACACCCGATTCCAATACCTTCCCGTCCGCAGACCAAATTCTGTATCAGACACCCACTGGCTCCCAATCAGATCTCCCAAAACCGTAACGTGCGTCGGCCTCGTCCACCAGGATAGCGTTCGATAAATATGCGCAAGGTAATAATCATTGCCAAACAGATCTAGTCGTTTTCGCGCGGCGTCTAGAGAACGAGGGATATCCACGACCACTATGTCCTTCGCAGCCTTGCTGAGCGTAGCTCCACGCTCACTCCACGTTGATGCAGAGACAACTCGCGTCCAGTGTCTTTCAAGATGGTTCGTAAACCCATCATTGGGCCCGGGGAGCGAGCTATCCCCTTCGATCTGCGGGTCGGCTAGAACCAGGAGCCGAAACGGCGCTGGAGGAATCGCCCCCTTCACAAAGTTATTACCACCATTTCCACTGTCGCCGTCGTCATATCTGTAGCCAAAATGTTCTTTTAAAATATTCGTAAATGCGGTCGGCGCGGGAGCGGAGTCGGCAAGACTAATGTTGGGTACGGGGAATGCGCAGCCGTGGAATACGGGATACAAATACAGGTAGACGAGTGATGCTATTGATAAGGGTAGCAGAACGGCGAGAACTCGCTGGAGCACATGGCGGAGTAACATAGATATACACGCATGGACGCTGCGAGCAGCTGTGTGCCATGCGTTGATTCCGAAGGAGCAGGAATTTTCTTTTTTCAGGGGCAGTTTGGCAATGGCGCTTTTTAAACTGAGCCAGGGTTGTCCTTGGCTCAACGCAAAGAGACGACCCCAGTGCAAACTCGTTATCGGCCAATCCGCCAAAAAGATTCTACGACGCAACGGTCGAAGGGCCAAGCATTCCACGACAGCTACTCTAACTCTATGTTTAAAGGAGTCAATCTATAAAATATCACATTATCAGGATATTGAGAATACAGTTAAAAAATAGCTTGATTAACTATCATACATCTGCCGATCATAAAAAGGTTCCTTGACATTGAAAGAAAAATTTCTCACCAACTTATCTCAACGCAAATATTAAAATAACCTACAATATCGTTAAAAAAAAAAGAAAAAAAAAAAGAAAAAGAAAAAGAATAATGAGGTAGCATCCTGGCCTAGGAACTCCATTTAAAGAACAAGAATATCTCCTTGTCTTCTGAAATATTGAATAAAATCAAGTCCATGGCCACACGCATCATAACTTAAAAAAAAAAAAAAAAAAAAAAAAAAAAAAAAAAAAATTTCGAAGGTATCGGGTATATCTCAGTCTCACATGGCGCCGGGTAAGTATCCCAACGCCAGGTTGCACATAGTAATCGAGGAAATAAAGCGGAATTTAACAAGAATTTAAAAAAAAAAAAAAAAGAAAAGAAAGAAAGAAAAATTGAACTAAACAGGCGGCATACGAGGACAAATATTTCGAGTCGCTCCGCACACACAGGATAGAACAATATCGAAGTTCAAACTAGGTTGAATAAGAACGGGATGGAGGCGATTCGGCGTGCAAATTAGAGCTTTCCGTCTCAATGGCCTCTTTATTAAGCTCATCTAGATCTTTGCGGCTATCAGACGAGAGTTCTTTATCACCATTGGATGGGGGACTCTTTTCTTTAGATTCCGACTTTACGTTTTGTTTGCTCTTCTGGTTCATTAATGCTGGCGGACGCTGATTCATCTGGCGAGCCTGCCTCAAGCTAACTGTTTTCTGTTTGTTTGTGGTTTTCACAGGCAGGTTGAGGTCTCGCTCAATGGTGGCCTTCATCAGAGCCGCCATCCATAACCGTCCTTGTTGAATATTGTCAACTTGGAAATAGTGAACTGCTGGCTTTGTGAATTGCACAGCACGAGAGAGCCCGGCTTTCGGTGGAACGAGTTTGAAAATAAATGGCTGATCGTCTGGATTGGCCTTTGGTCGGGGGCTCTCAGAAGTTGGATCGGAATCAGTTGGTACAACTTGCGAACCGTTCGAGTTGGTTGGCGATGTTGGCGAAGCCTTCGCTCCAGTGAGAGTTGCATGAAGAGAAGTTATCGTATCATTATCTGCACGGAAAACGCGGTGAGACGATATATCGATCAGTCCTCGCTCTTCAGTATCGTCTTCTGAATAGTAATAGGAGAGCCGGCGTCCACGAAGGATAAACAATCGTGGCTTCCAAGCAGCCATCAAATTCGACGACTTCTTCTTCATCCATCCATAATAATCACAGCCTATCATCTGTTCTTGCGGAGTTTTCTTTTCTAAGCCACGTATATACGCGCTTGTGTCTCTCTTCGTTTTTGTCCTCTGGGAAGGAGTCTTAGGCCCAAGGGCCAAGCTTATACCCGTATCTGAAACTTTCGACGAGGCATCGGTTCCCTCCATATCAAAGCTTTTAGAAGTACCGGATGGTGTGGTGGAATTGGTGCGGGCCGGTGATTTGGGGAGGTCCTTTATAGGGGAAGATGACGTCGAGCCCAGCTGAGCCTTTTCGTTGCCTGTCACTGCATCCGAGATGGCACGGAGACCGATAGCCCGGCGAAATTTAGGGGCCATACCCTTACTTTGAGAAGCTATCGGAGATGAGCGGCCTGAATCATTGTGGGGTTTCGAATGAAATGACGACAAAGAAGAAAGGATCCCACCACCTGAACTACTGTCCTCCAAATTGGTAACAGTTGGAGAATGGGAGTCATCGTCAACTAGTACCCGACGTGAATTGGCCTCTGCGGAAGAACCTCCAGTATTACCGAGTTTTCCAAAGGCTGAAAAGTATGGGGCAAACTCCCTAAAGGAATCCACACTGCTAAACCTCGAGTGTCGCTTGTTATTACGGCCCTTGGCATCCTCGGTTGCGCTGGATTGTCTTGAGTGACTCAAACTTCGACCTTCTGAATCTCGTTTTCGCAGAACATTCCGGGATTTCCTAGCATCGATTTCACCACCAGAAAAGTACCCTCTGTCTGGGTCAGGAGAATCATCAGTTGCAATCTCTTCACTTGTTGCATGGCGACCATATACATGGCTTTGGTTTCGGTCCTGAGCAGTGGTGGTCCCCAATGCAGTTCCTGGTCGCGAATCCGTGCCCGCTTTTATCGTCCATCCCCGATCAAATGAAGATTTCTTTTCGTGAGGGTTGCTTGCCATTCTAGAAGACGCACTTGTTAGAGGTCTCGTGGTGCGGGCGGATGACCTAGAGGCCTCCTCTGTCGATGAGTGCCGACGGTGGTAATTACTCTGCCTGATAAAATCCGGTGAAGGTCGTGACGCACTGTCACGAGTTCTTGGGCGGCTAAAACCAGCAGGGGGGACGGGAGAGGGCGCCGCCCGACTCTGATAGCTTGAGAAGGTAGAACCCCTGGACTGTCTAGTCACAGGACGATGCGCTTCACTGACACTGGGGATCCGCGGCAGGAAAGAGGACGCTGTCCCGGAACGGCTTTGAGAGCGATCGTACTCTGCCGGCGAAGCCCCGCGTCCAGAGTACATGGATATCGATTGTCTAGGATGTCCAATACCCTTGACCTCTTCCTGGAAGGCCTTAACTATGTGCCAAGTTTTGAGCCGTCGACCCATAACACCGAAATCAAAATCCTTCATGTATATGAATTCTTGGTCCATCTCAAGTAGGACGTCTCCCGTTATCTCTTGCTCCTTGAATA